TTTCCTCTTTCTTCTCAATTCAAGGCTATGTTCTGGTGCTCTGAGATCGCTACAGTGTTATAATGCAATGTGTTAGAATGACAATTACAGTAATAATAGGATAACGTGAGTATAGCATTTTATTTTTTTCTAAGTAATTTAAATACCAATATCTTTCAATGAGCATGGGAAAGAAAAAAATTAAAATCCTTGTGAATAATTGTAAGACTACCTATAGAGAAGAGATGTCAACCATAAGTCAGCCAACCAACCATGAAGAATGGTGCTACCATTAAAGAGATCAAGTTGACTAATACTGCCATCTAGAGTTAAAAATCAAAACTACCATTTCTTACCTGTAAGGAAACTGAAACATCAGGGTTTGGATAGGTCAGCTTTTTTGGTTTGTTTTTGGGTTTTGTTTCTAAATTTTTATTTAAATTCCAGTTATTAACATACAGTGTAATATTAGTTTCAGGTGTACAATATAGTGATTCAGCACTTCCATACATCACCCACTGCTCATCAAAGCAAGCACACTCCTTAATCCCCATCACCTATTTAACCCACGCCCCCCTCCCCTCTGGTAACCATCAGTTTGCTCTCTATAGTTAAGAATCAGTTTCTTGGTTTGCCTCTCTCTCTCTCTTTTTCCCTTTACTTGTTTGTTTTGTTTCTTAAATTCTATATATAGGTGAAATCATATGGTATTTGTCTTTCTTTGACAACTTCACTTAGCATAATTCTTCTTTCTCTGCTAAATTTCACTTAGCATAATACTCTCTAGCTCCATCCATGTTGTGCAAATGTCAAGATTTCATTCTTTTTTATGGCTAATATTCCTCTGTGTGTGTGTGTGTGTGTGTGTGTATGCACATCTTCCTTATCCATTTGTCAGTCAGTGGATACTTGGGCTGCTCCCATAATTTGGCAATTGTTGATAATGCTGCTATAAACATTGGGGTGCGTGTATCCCTTTGAATTAGTATCTTTTGGGTAAATACCTAGTAGTACAATTGCTGGACCATAGGGTAGCTCTATTTTTAATTTTTTGAGGGAACTCCATGCTGTTTTCCAGAGTGGCTGCACCAGCTTGCATTCCCACCAACAGTGCAAGAGAGTACCCCTTTCTCCACACCCTCGCCAACACCTTGTTTCTTGTCTTGTTAATTTTAGCCATTCTGACAGGTAGGTCAGACTTATACCGGCTATCCTAATTGTCTTGTCCATTCGTGAAGAACCAGACGGCTGGACATGCAGTGGACATGTGAGAGCATCACGACTAAACACCAGATTCACCAAGACTGTGAAGCTGAGAGCTGGGTATAAAGCTTAGAGATGTCATAACTCTCTCGCTACCTCTAAGGAGATTCTGGAACTCTGGAGTACATTGTGTGGAGCTAGAAGATGAAACCCTCAGAGCAGGAGACAGGGTGAAGAGATACAGAGACATGGAATCATTAGAACGTTGAGTTCTTGTTTTCTTTTTTTAAGATTTTATTTTTAAGTAATCTCTACACCCAGTGTGGGGCTCAAACTCACCACCACGCCAGCCAGGTGCCCTGACATTAAGTCCTTGTTGACAGCAATTCCTGAAATCAGCCATACTGATGGACTTTTTAGTTACGTGACTGTCAGAAGGGGCTAAGTTATGCTATCTGTGTAGTAACACCTCCCCAAAGCTCAGGAATTTAGAACAACAAAGACTGATTTCTCACTTAAACTACATAAATTAGCTACAACTCTGCTAGGCTGTTGGTTCTAATCTGGGACCCAGGATAATGGAGCAATCTGTATCTGGAAAATCACCAGTTGTTGTAATAGAGGAAAAAGAGAGGAGGAAAAATAAGTATTGACCCTTAAGCCATCTGCTCAGAAGACATTCCCTGCTTGCATGTCATTGGCCAGAACAAAATCACATGCTCAAGTCTGATGCCATAGAGCAGAGAGGCAAATATTTTTAATAATAATAATAATGCAATCTATAGCTTAAGTCATATTTTCTGTCACTTGCAATCAAAAAAATCTTAACTGAGAAAAGTGAGGAAAGAACTAAATTAGATATTTTCTAAAAGATTTATTTATTAATTCGAGAGAGAGTGCACTTACAAAAGAGTTGAGGGAGGGACAGAGGGAGAGAATCTGCAAGCAGACTCCCAAGGTGAGGCTCAATCCACGACCCATGAGATCATGACCCCAGCTGAAACCAGGAGTCTGTCGCTTAACTGACTAAGCTACCCAGGCACTCCTAAATTAGATATTTTATATAAAATCGCCAACACATGGTAAACATTCAATAAATGGAGCTATCATTTTCAAGTGCATGAACACAGATGAATTGAGAATTATATCTTTCTCAAGCAATAAAAGTATGACCAGCTTCTTTAATTTGCATTAAATTCACTTTTATTGCATTTTATTCACTTATCTCACATTTTATTCACTTATCTCACTAACATTTATTGAATTCCTTTCATTTTTTTATTTTTTATTTTTTAAATATTTATTTATTCTAGAGAGAGAGCGCGAGCATGTGCAAGCAGGGCGAGGGACAGAGGGAGAAAGAAAATCCTGAAGCAGATTCCCTGTTGAGCACAGAACTCAACGGGTGGCTCAATTCTAGAACCCGGAGACCATGACGCTGGCTGAAATCAAGAGTCAGCCACCCAACCACCCAACAGGCACCCCTATTGAGTTATTTTTATGTGTTAGACGCTGTGCTATGTGGTGGGGACACAATACATTTACATGTTAGCCCTCCAGTTGATTTGTTTTAAAGAAATATTTAATATGGGGCGCCTGGTTGGCTCACTCAGTTAAGTATCCGACTTGTGATTTGGGCTCAGGTCATGATCTCATGGGTCATTGGATTGAGCCCCATGTCAAGCTCTGCGCTCAGCAAGGAGTCTGTTTGGGAATCTCTCCCTCTCCCTCTGCCCACCTGCCCCGCTAATGTGTGTATGCTCTCTTTCTCAAATAAATCAATCTTTATTTTATTTTTTAAAAAGATTTTATTTATTTATTTGACAGAGAGAGACAGAGAGGGAACATAAGCAGGGGAAGTGGGAGAGGGAGAAGCAGGCCTCCTGCAGAGCAGGGAGCTTGATGCGGGGCTTGATCCCAGGACCCTGGGATCATGACCTGAGCCGAAGGCAGACGCTTAATGACTGAGCCACCCAGGCGCCCCAATAAATCTTTAAAAAGGAAAAAAAAAGAAATAATACAAGGGCTTAGTGTCTTATGCTGATGATACCAAACTCTTAAAATTTGGCTGAGGAAAGTGATAAATATTTAGGAAATTACTATTCAGAAAAAGGTTATATATGGTACATACTGAAGTGGACCCTAAAGTCTGAATGCTATTCATTTATTCACCACTCATCAACTCTTTTGTCCAACACATATTTATTAGTATCTATCATGTGCCAGGCACTCTTGAGATCAAAAAACAACATTTATCCCTGTCTTTAGAGAACTTAAAATGTAGTAGTAAGGAGAGTGCAGCTGCGAGTATATAAATGGATGCTGTAAATAATAAAAATAAAACAGTAATGCCAATGATGGCTAACATTGTCATAGTCACAATGACCTCTTTTGCTAAACGTAAAGATCAACACTCAATGCAGATTTTGCTCAACAAGCAGCTGACAGCGGTGATCATTTCCTTGTTCTTCACCTGCTTAGTACACACCACCCTTCCTGGATTCCGACGTCTGTTACGTGCTAGTCACTTTTACCTCCCACTGAGTGATCTCATTCAGCCATCTGATGACTGATTTCTCATTTCTATACTGAGGACTCCCAATTTTATGACTGCGCCTTGACTTCTGTGCACAACTCCAAAATGGTTGATCTTATTGTGTCCTTATAAAACAAGCATCTTACAGTTATTACCAGACTGGACTCCTGATCCACCAGCCCCAACATGGAGCCTCCCTCAGGGTTCCACATCCCAGGAAAGGGAACCACCGTTCACCCAGTTGCTCAGGCCAACCTTGGAATAATCCTAATCCCTTTCTTTCTTTTCTCCTACATCCAACCTGTCAGCAAATCTGTGTACTCTTTCAAAACATCTTGTAGTCCCAAGGTCATCCTTCAGACCTGGCCTCCTATAGCAGCCTCTCCTAACTGGCTTTTCTGCTTCCATTTTTGTTCTACTATATTACCATAGCCAGAATGAATCTTTTTTTTTTTTTTTTAAGATTTTATTTATTTATTTGACAGAGAGAGAGAACACAAGTAGGCAGAGTGGCAGGCAGAGAGAGGGAGAAGCAGGCTCCCCGCCGAGCAGGGAGCCTGATATGGGGCTTGATCCCAGGATCCTGGGATCATGACCAGAGCCGAAGGCAGACACTTGACTGACTGAGCCACCCAAGCGCCCCCAGAATGAATCTTTTAAAACTGAAGTCAGATCATGTCGCTTCTCTGTTCAAAAGCTTCCACCTGCTCTCCCTCACCCTCAGCCTCTAGATATGAGCATGACACATTCCCTCATTTTTATGTCCCCTAGGCTCTCTGCTCAAATGTCACTTCATCCAAGAAGTGTTCCCTGAAATCTTATCAAAACACAAGTTCCTGGGGCACCTGGGTGGCTCAGTCAGTTAACTGTCTGCCTTCTGTTCAGGTCATGATCCTGGGGTCCTGGGATCCAGCCCCACCTGGGGCTTCTTACTCAGCGGGGAGCCTGCTTCTCTCTCTCCCTCTGCCCTTGTCCGCTGATTGTGTTCTCTCTCTCTCTCTCACTCACTTTCTCTCTCAAATAAATAAAATCTTAAAAAAAAAAAACCCAAAGTTTCTTTTGCCCGCACCATCTATTACTTTACTGTGTTATTTTATTTTGAGTTGCCACTTGACATTATACTAAATATTTACCTCTTTACAAATAGGAGAATATTAGTCCCAAGAGGATTTTGCATTTCCACTGCCAAAAACAGCCTAGAAAAAAAGGGTAGGCATTCAGATGCTTTTATTAAGCACTCTAAGCACTTCAGGCATCACTCCGGCATATTCTGTTAAATTGCCCTAAGGTTAGATTTGCTGCCTTACCGTCCACATCGCATTGATGTGGTAGCTTCGTTACACTTGCCCAAAGTCACACGGCTCATGAACTTGCTTAGCTAGTATCTAAGTAAATGCAGGAGCTCTTCCTCTGGAGTCCCTCTCTGCTCCTCAGCACTGGGTGCTCACGTTTGAGCCCCAAAAGCCATTGGCCGGGACGTCAGGATGACTAAGGGTGCCAGGGCGTAGGTGAGGTGAGGGGAGTTGGCCTCCAGGGTGAGATCAGAGCCGGGCAGGTCCACCCGGCTTCCGGATTTCTGCTGATCAGCACACAGCGGTCACTAGCCTCTGAGAGCCCGTACGCGCGGCGCCGACAGACCAGGCGCAGGCGGCGGGGCGCGGGAGCGGGATGTACCTCTCCTGGGTCGCCGACCCCCGAAGACCTCTGCGCCGGAGGCGGACCGGCAGGGATGGCGCCGAGCTGCAACAGGCGGCCTCCGGGGAGCGCCACTCGCTGCTGCTGCTGAGCAACGGCGAGGTGCACTCGTGCGGGGACAACAGCCATGGCCAGCTGGGGCGGAGGGGCGTGCAGAGCGAGGAGCAGCCAAGTGAGTGCGGGACAAGGGCGCGGCGCGGGGGGCCAGGGAGATGCGGGCGCTGGGAGCCCCAGGTCCGCTGGGCCCCAAGGTACGGCGAAACGATGCTCTGTGCGTGCGCGCAACTTCGTCAGTTTCGTTTTCCAGAAGCGCAATTTGTTTCGGTTTCCACTTCAGCTTAAAAGCGAAACTGAGAGCGGAACCTAACGGGACAGCGCTCTTCTGAAGAGACGTGGTCCCTCGCACTAAGCCTTTCTAGACCAATCCCTGCCAGTGCGAATCTATCTGGAATAGTGACCTTCCAAACGTGGTTTATGGGTGGGACATCTCTAACTCTCTCAGAAATACCCCAGAGCATCTATTTTCCCTAAAATTAAAAGTATAGTACCATTTTTACCATTACTGATTATTACAGAAACACAGGGAAAGAAATTGCCTATAATTCCAATACCCAAAGACAACTATAATATTTTGATGTATTTGCTTTTTTGCTCTATTATACATTTACTTTTATAAAAGCATGTCATTATATAGTTTTGTGTACACAGTATTTATACAGTTCTATAAATTGCACTCTCACGAAACATAATATCATGAACATATTGCCCTTTAATTATGTATTTTTTGAAAATAACATTTTAAATAGTTGCAAAACATTCCGGGCTTTGACAATACAAGTTAATGCTTCTTCTTTGGTGGACATTAGGTTTTTTCTTCATTAGGGACTTTTATAAATAATACTGTGATTGCCATTATTTGACCAAATTTCTGATTACTTACTTAAATAAATACCAAAAGTTGTGTCTGGGAGGAAAAATTTCTCCTCTATCCTGTTAGTTCTGGTTCTGAAGGCCTGCAAACTAAGCGGACAAAGATTAACCAAAAAAGTATACAATTTTATTAATATTTTATGTGCACAGGAGTTCACAGAAAAAAAAAGGGGGAAACTCAAAAGTGGTTAAACTCAGGGACTTATATTGCATCTTAGCAAAGAAAAGGGAGTTTGGGCTTCGAAGGATGATCAGTTGTGGGGAAGTGACTTGGAAATATATGGGGAAGACTAATGGAAGATGAGGGTTATTTTGGTAAGGACTGTCTATGTAGACTCATCTCAGTGGCAACTCCAGTGATAAGAGTTCCTCTTCTCTTTCTGGTATGGGAGAGAATACCTTTACAAGGGAAATTTATGCCCTACTTTTAGGTAACTAAAGGGAAGGCAGAGAACTCTTCCTGCATCTGTTGATTTTCAGTTGCCTTTGGCGCAAAATAATCATTCTGCCAAAGTGGCATATTTTGGGGTGGCATATCCTGATCCACTTTAGGTGGAGATGAGGGGCAACATGATACTTGATGTCAGATTGTTCTCCAGGAAGGTGATATCAGTCTCTACCTTCACGAGTGTATGAATCTTTGGGACGTTTTTTATTATCCCATAGTTTGAAAATAAATCATTGAAAAGGATAAGATTACAAAGGTTTAAAAAAAGAAAACTGAAGTGTTAGCAAAAACTTTACTCGTAGTGATATATTTAGCTCAAAACCTCTAATAATTCAGAGACAAACACTTTGGGAAAACCGTTTAGATTGACTTTTAGGGATCATGCTATAATGATCAGGTTTTCATTTGTGGGTGCCTTTGGCCATAAGAGGAACGTTACTGCATTCTTCTTTGTGAGAGGACCTGGCTTCTGCCTCTCCCATTCATGGGGAAGGCTCCCTGCCCATTTGCTCCTGATAAGGGATCGGCTATTCTCACTGTTCAGGGCTGGGAAGTCAGAAGAGTAGAGTGGAGGCCATTCCATCTTCTCTCTGTCTCCCCTGGTTTTGCTACCATCATCATAGAGAGGTCATAGGCCAAACATCATAGTCTGTAGAAGTTGCCCTCCTCCATGAAACTCATCCTTTGGAATGGCAACCACATTCCCAAATAGACAGCGGAACTCACATTGAGCTGCTTTCCTTCACACCTGCAGTGTGGATGTCAGGCCTTGATTTGAAAGTCCATTGGAAAAGATGAGAAATCCGAGTGACCCTTCTTTTTGAAGAAAGTAAACTTGTTGTTAAATTAATAATCTTCTGAGTTGTTTTGTTTTGTTTTGTTTTGTTTTTGTTCCTGAAGAACCAATTCACGCACTGAAAACTCTACGTGTTGATCTTGTGAGCTGTGGAAAGGAACACTCTCTTGCTGTCTGTTACAAAGGAAGGGTCTTTGCATGGGGGGCTGGTTCTGAAGGGCAGCTGGGAGTTGGAGAATTTAAGGAAATAAATCTTATACCTACGTAAGTATATTTCCATTCATTCATTCATTCATCCAATATTTTTCAGTTTCATGTGCTTGGCACTATGCAAGATGTCAGGGTACAAAGATGACTATGATAAACACAGTCCCTAGCCCCAATGATTATAGTGTAGTGAGAGAATGAGACAGGAAAAAACTTCTAACATCAATTGTTACTCAATTAGGGTCCTATGAAGGAGAAAGGTGGGGTGAAATGAGAACATGTGACCCTTTGATCTACATAAATCTTATGTATTGGAAATACTGTGGTAAATAAATAAATATAATATATATAAAATATAAAATACACATAAAATATCAATAAAAATAAAATAAATATTATTTTATTTTATTATTATTATTTTTAAGATTTTATTTATTTATTTGACAGAGAAAGACACAGCGAGAGAGGGAACACAAACGGGGAGTGGGAGAGGGAGAAGCAGACTCCTTGCCGAGCAGGGAGCCCGATGCGGGACTCGATCCCGGGACTCCAGGATCATGACCTGAGCCGAAGGCAGTCGCTTAACCAACTGAGCCACCCAGGCGCCCTATTTTATTATTATTTTTAAAGATTTTATTTATTTATTTGACAGAGAAAGACACAGCGAGAGAGGGACCACAGCAGGGGGAGTGGGAGAGGGAGAAGCAGGTTTCCTGCATAGCAGGGAGCCTGATGTGGGGCTCGATCCCAGGACCCTGGGATCATGACCTGAGCCGAGGGCAGACGCTTAACGACTGAGCCACCCAGGCGCCCCAATAAATATTATTTTAAAGTAAAAACATTAAATAAAAGATACAGAAAGCAATCTTATCTGAATTTCATTTCCGACTAAAGCCAAGTCTCCTTGAAAACACAGCTGCCATTAACAGCTTGGAGGGAGTTTCCTATGAATTCAGTTGCTGTGAAGACAGACTGCCCAGTCAACATCAAAAAACCCTATGGAAACTTCCATACTCTCCTACTGAAGTCCTAAATCCCCTCCTTTTTGCTAGGTTGATATATTTAAGATGATTCCACAAATTTTCCATTACTGGGAGCTCCCCTCTGTACATGTAAATAAGCCTTGGTTTTTCTCCTGTTAATCTGTCTATTGTCAGTTAATTTGCATGTCCCATATCAAATGGATCCATACTGGAAAAGGAAAAGTTTTCCTCCCAACATAACCTTTTGGTCTGTTTTAAGCCACTGTATCCTAATAGTTTATATAGTAAGACACGGGGTGGGGAGTGGGGGTGGGGAAGGAGGAAGTGGGGGGGAATCATTTCCTCACAAACAGCTTCCTAGGACGAATGATATGACAAGCAGTCTGAATTGTGTGTTCATGAATTACATGTTTAAGAATTTTTAAAGATTTTATTTATTTATTCATGAGAGACAGAGAGATAGAGAGAGAGAGAGGCAGAGGGAGAAGCAGGCTCCCAAGGAGCAGAGAGCCCGATGCGGGACTCAATCCCAGGACCCTGGGATCATGACCTGAGCCGAAGGCAGACGCTCAACCATCTGAGCCACCCAGGTGCCCTACATGTTTAAGAATTTTTAAAAGCATGATTTTTAATATTTGGAAGTTACTCTTTGTTACGTCTTCTGGTTTTTAATTGTGTAAGAGAGTGCTGTGGCTTTGGGGGACAAGTATTGAACTTGGAATGAAAAGATGAAGGTTTGAGTCTAGTTCTACAACATGATATCTATAATGTGATTCCCTAGAGCAAACCAGAACTCTGAGTTCTACTAGGTTCAACCATATGAAATTGCTGATAGTTATGTTTTTGAGCCACAAAAATGGCCATTTAATAGGATTCAACCTAATGATTTTTTTATCGCATAGGGCTTAAATCAGGTGATATAAATAACAGTGTCCTATAAATTCTAAAGCCCTGTGTCATATGTGCATGAAGAAATTTTTCTTTTAAGCCAATAAATATAGAATAAAAGTTAGTACATTATATACTGCATTAAAAGTCTAATAAAAATCACTTTTTTTTTTTAAAGATTTTATTTATTTATTTGACACAGAGAGAGAGAGAGAGAGGAATCACAAGTAGGCAGAGTGGCAGGGAGCGGCAGAGGGAGAAGCAGGCTCCCCGCTGAGCAAGGAGTCCGATGTGGGACTCGATCCCAGGACCCTGGGATCATGACCTGAGCCGAAGGCAGATGCCCAACGACTGAGCCACCCAGGCGCCCCTAAAAATGACTTTTGTATTATAACTGGATTTGGATTTGGATTCTGCTCTGTACCTTTATACATGTTGATGTCATGTTAAAAATAGTTTGGGGCGCCTGGGTGGCTCAGTCGTTAAGCGTCTGCCTTCGGCTCAGGTCAGGATCCCAGGGTCCTGGGATCGAGCCCCACATTGGGCTCCCTGCTCAGCTGGAAGCCTGCTTCTCCCTCTCCCACTTCCCCTGCTTGTGTTCCCTCTCTCGCTGTGTCTCTCTCTGTCAAATAAATAAATAAAATCTTTAAAAATAGTTTGAAGGCTTTGGAATAAGGGTACTACAGAAAAATAAGAAAATAAAGTTATTTCTGGGGAAAATATGCCCAGGTTACCGACAGTCCTGAAAATGATGGATGCACAAATGCAGACTTGTTGGTTTGACAGCAGTTTCAGACAAGTAACTCCTTAAAATTACTGAAGATTACATGCCAATCAGGAAAATCACCATCACTGTGGTGTTTCTGAATACTACCAAACAGCCTTACATATCTGCAGGCATCCAGAGAACTATTTATTCTATTGTAAAAAACATTAAAATAGCCCAGTTTAGAAAGAAAAGAAAAGAAAGGAAGAGATAGTTATTTCCCTAAACCCAATGTATTACCTGGGATTGTTTTAACATCTGTAGTTCACTTGGTGAGCCACTCTAAAGAAGGATTCATAGATATTGTATCATTTTTATTACAGGAAGATAAAAACTCTGACTGGTATAAAAATTATACAAGTTTCCTGTGGACACTACCATTCCCTGGCATTATCAGAAGGTAAAAAAAGGGTTCTTGGATCTTCTAAGTGTCATTACAAAGTAATTTGTTTGAATAGGAATGATGCCCGTTGATTTTTAATGCACTGGGGCTCATTTTAATGCATTTAGAAGTTTTTTAACTCTTTAGATTTCATAAGCTGTATTGTTCTTCGATTTTTTCCCTATTTTCTTTGCTCTTATTATAGTCTAAGTAGTGCCTGATTCATATCAATGCCATAAAGGGTCATCTCTGTTCACATGACCTGATCTGACTCTCTCAGAATTTAATAACGGATTTATCCGGAACTTTGCCCTTTATGCTGAATGGTTGTATGTACCAGCAAATTCAGGTAGACTAAGGTCTATTTGTCTTTTTTACTTAGATCAAAGAAAGAAAAGTCAAGATATCAAAATTATGACTTTACATTTCTTCTACTAACATCTCCATCCTTTGTCCAGCATCAGTTAAAATGTTTCAATGGAGGGTGTTGCAGAAGAAAAACTTTTCTCCTGTCCTCTTTGGTTCAGTACCTGGGAGTCTGCAAATTTAAGTGATGAAAGAGATTGACAAGAGAAAAGGCATACCAGTTTTATTAATATTTTAGTGCACGGAAGTTTACAGAAAAGAAGTGAAACTCAAGAAGTGTTTAGACTTGGGGGCTTATGAGCCGTTTTAATGAGGGAAAGATTTGGGCTTTGCAGGATGATCGATTGTTGGGAAATACATGGGACCTGGAAATACATGGGGGAAACTAAGGGAAGATAAGAGTTATTTTATTAAGGGTTATCTTAATAGTGAAGTATGGTGATAACATAACATAATAAAATAAAATTTTTAAAAAAGGGGGTTATCTGTGAAGACTCATGTTGAGGCAGACTCTCCATCTCTGGTGATGAGTCACTGCCCCATCCCGGGTGCAAGAGAAGAGGACACCTTCACAAAGGGAAATATATACCTCACCTTTGGGTGGATCAGAGGAGGGCAGAGAACTTTTCCAACACTTGTGGATTCTCAGCTGCCTTTAGCTCAAAATAATCCTTGGGGCGCCTGGGTGGCTCAGTCTTTGGGTGTCTGCCTTTGACTCAGGTCATGATCCCAGGGTCCTGGGATCGAACCCCACATCGGGCTCCCTGCTCAGCGGGAAGCCTGTTTCTCCCTCTCCCACTCCCCCTGCTTATGTTCCCTCTCTCGCTATCTCTCTCTGTCAAATAAATAAATAAAATCTTAAAAACAAAACAAAACCAAAATAACCCTTATGCCAGAGTGGCATATTTTGGGATGGCATATTGTGAGTGCCTTCCAGGGACACGTGACATTTACATGTCCCCCAGGTGATGTCATATGCATAATGGCCGTGGTGCCACAGGGATTCCGGACATTTCCTGGTTGCCTTCTGTGCACCAACTACCATGTGAGATGCTTTACGCCTGTAATCTCATGAAATCACTTAACAAACACAGAAGCTGTGCATTATTTGTATCCTCACTTTAGAAATGAGGAAATTTGGGCTCAGAGACTTCCGTGATCTGCCTAAGGTCACACACTAAGAAACAGAAGTGAGATTTGAATCTATACCTGTTTACATCCCAACCCTAAGCACTCAACTACTGTACCACGCAGGCCATGAGACCATAGCATAATCCTGTGGCTATCGTATAATTCCGTCCTACCATTTCCAGAGATTTGATCTAGGGCAAGTTATTTAACCTGATGATTTTCTCATCTGTAGAAGTACTTATGGGGTGTTTAGAAGATTCAGTGAAAGAAGGAACGCAGTATATCCTGTTATAGCCTGTACAATCCATAGCAGATGCCCGGGGTACAAGAAATACTAGTCTTTCGGGCGCCTGGGTGACTCAGTTGGTTAAGCGACTGCCTTTGGCTCAGGTCATGATCCTGGAGTCCCGGGATCGAGTCCCACGTCGGGCTCCCTGCTCAGCAGGGAGTCTGCTTCTCCCTCTGACCCTCCCCCCTCTCATGCTCTCTCTCTCTCATTCTCTCTCTCAAATAAATAAATAAAATCTTTAAAAAATAAAAAAAGAAATACTAGTCTTTCTTCCTTCCTTGCTTTCCTTCTTCTTAATTATTGAAAGGGCTTGAATTATTTCCCCAGGGTATTGATTTGTCTTTATATTGGTATGGACTGAAGGTTGTATGGAGCCCAGATACCCAGTACATTTGCTATGGTGAACTGTGAGTTCTCATAGACCTTCATATGAGTTTGACATTGTGCAGTGGGCCCTCAGAAATACTTTTTTTTTTTAAAGATTTTATTTATTTATTTGACAGAGAGAGCGAGAGAGCACAAGCGGGGGGAGTAGTAGAAGGAGAGGGAGAAGCAGGCTCCCCGCCGAACAGGGAGCCCGATGCTAGGCTCGATCCCAAGACCTGAGCCCAAGGCAGGCGCTTAACCATCTGAGCCACCCAGACCCCCAGAAATACTTTTCAGTGGTAGAAATAACTTTAGAAGAGTTAAAAAAGAAAAATCAGTTATAATAAACATAAAAATCTGAGCCATTTTAGCATTTTTCTGGGTAAACAATGAAGCATTAGTAGATCTTGATTTTTGACCTCATGTAAATTATCCATCTCTGGTCAAATTCAACATAAAATGTCGGTGGTCTTTTACTCCCATAGAGTCATTCCACAAATATTTTTTAAGTGCCTATGTTTCCAGCAAAGAGGATATAGCAGTGAACAAACCTAAGATTCTGCTTTCATGGAGCTTATATTCTGGGGGGTGTGTAGGGGAAGTGAGCCTTAAACACATAGACAAATAATTATGTCATGTAACAGAGGTAAGGGTGTGAAGAAAAGTAAGGCCGGGTAAGGGGATGGGAGCAAGTACTTGAGTGGAGGAAAGGAATCTTTTTCTTTTATAAAGGATGTTAGGGAAACTGTTATAAGGTGAGCAGAGACCAAAAGAAGGGAGGAAGGGGGACATGATGCTAAGGCCATGATCCAGAGGTATGATCTAGATGCAAAGGCCATTAATGAGGTAGCAGCATGCTCAGCAGTATGCTTAGGAATAGCAGGGTCCCTGGAAAGGTCTGAGCAAGGGAGCGATAAGGTCTGAGACGTGTCATGGTGAATCCTGGTGACCTGGGGCTTGTGAGCCTTGGTGAGAATTGGCCTTTTATTGAGTAAGATAGCAAATTCCTAAAGGGTTCAGTCTGACTTATTTTTTTAAAAAGAACACTCTGACTGCTCTTTGGAAAACAGACAAAGATGGACTCTGGGAGCCCAGTGAGGGGCTGTTGTAAACTTCCAGGAGAAAAGTGATGGTGGCTTGGTGGCTAAGGTGGTAACAGTGGAGAGGTGAGAAGTGGTCAGATCCCAGACACATTTTAAAGATAGAGACTTCAGGATTTGCTAGGCTAACGGGTGTAAAAGAAAGAAGGGAGTCAAGGATGACTCCAAGATTTCTGGTCTGAGCAGCTGGAAGAGCAGAGTTGCCCTTAACTGGAGGGGAAAGAGGAGTGGATGTTGTTGGAAGGGACTTTTGAAGGTGTTCTTGACCATCCTCCTTGCTTTTAGTCAGAATACTCGAACCTCCTTTATCCCTATTTTAGTTATTAATGACTTTTAGAATGAGGGTGGTAGTTTCTACTTGAATTTGGTATTCCAATGTATTTGTAATTCTCGATTTCTCTGCTTTATTTTTATAGATGGCCAACTGTTTTCATGGGGAAGTAACAGCCATGGGCAGCTGGGCCTGGGGAAGGAGCGCCCCTCCCAAGCCAGCCCGCAGAGGGTGAGGTCCCTGGACGGCATCCCCCTCACTCAGGTGGCCGCAGGCGGGGTCCACAGCTTTGCCCTGTCTCTCTCTGGGGCTTCATTTGGCTGGGGAAGCAACAATGCAGGGCAGCTGGCCCTCTGCAAGAATAATGTCCCAGGTAACGAGATAGTCTTCTTCTTGCAGTAAATCATTCTTTCTCTCCAGTTGGAAGACCAACTCTGCAAAGGGGATTCTCGACGATTAGAGCAGTGATTCCCAAACTTTGTGACACATTAGAATCACCTGGGGAGCCATCTTAATTTTTGATTGCCACTATAATATATTACCACAAACTTGTGACTTAAAACAACATAAATTTATTATCTTATAGTTCTGGTGGTCAGAAGTTTGATTCAGGTCTCACGGGGCTAAAATCAAGGTGTCAGCAGGGTTGTGTTCCTTTCTGGAGGCTTCAGGGCAGCCAGGTAGGGGATGGGGATGGGCCTTGCACCATTTTCTTGTCTTTTCCCCCTTCTAGAGTCCACCTGCATTCCTTGACTCATAGCCCCCTTCTTCAAAGTCAGCAATGGCTGGTGAAGTCTTCCTCAGGTCACATTACTCTGACAGTGATTCTTCTGTTAAAGAACCCTTGTAATTACACTGGGCCCACCCACATAATCCAGGCTAACCTCCTTATTTTATTTTTTTAAAGATTTTATTTATTTGAGAGAGAGCAAGTATGAGAGAGCACAAGCAGTGGGGAGGGGCAGAGGGAGAGGGAGAAGAAGACTCCCTGCTGAGCAAGGAGCCCGACATGGGGCTCCATACAAGGACCCCGGCGCCAAGACCTGAGCCGAAGACAGACACTTAACCGACTGAGCCACCCAGGTGCCCCTAACCTCCTTATTTGAAGGTCAACAGATGAGCAACTTTAATTCCATCTGCTTCATTAACTCCTCTTTGCCAAGTAACCTAACATATCCACAGCCTCTGGGGAAGGACACGGACAGCTTTGAAGCCTTTTATTTTGTCTGCCATAAGAGCATTTAAAAATCCCAGCGCCCAAGTTAGACCCCATACCAAGTAAATCAGAATGTCTGGGGATGGAAGCCAGGCATCAGTCTTTATTAAAGGTTCCACAGGTTATTCCAATGTGCAGCCAAGCTTGCACATTGGATTAGAAGATGTTAGCAGGAGAAACAACCAGTTCGTCTGATAATCCTTAAACTCCCTGCGAAACCTTCCCCATGAGCGCATGAGCCCTATCCCTCCTCCCTCCTCTGTTCAGTTCCTTACAGGACTGGCTAACAGATATTCAGCAGGTACTTAGATCTCATCTCATTTAACTCAGTCAACATGAAGTAAGTCCTCTTATTTTCTCAATTATTATTTCATGCTTGCAGAACACCGACTATGTGACAGAAATGAATATGACATAATGGTAATATTATTGGGAATAAAGGTCTTAAAACTTAGCTTTCTGGGGCGCCTGGGTGGCTCAGTCGTTAAGCGTCTGCTTTCGGCTCAGGTCATGGTCCCAGGGTCCTGGGATTGAGCCCCGCATCTGGCTCCCTGCTCAGCGGGAAGCCTCCTTCTCCTTCTCCCGCTCCCCCTGCTTGTGTTTCCTCTCTCGCTGTGTCTCTCTCTGTCAAATAAATAAATAAAATCTTAAAAAAAAAAAACCCAAAAACTTAGCTTTCTAGGAGAATAGCCTTAGGCATTCCAGAAGATTTAATAGTTTTCAGAAATAGTTGCTAAAAGACTGTTTTTCTTTCTTTTCCAAAGCAGGGCCTTCCCTCTGTTTATAATACTTCTGAGTGCTCATTTTAAAAATTATGCTAACGAATTATAAGATGATAAAAATATTAAAAGATGTGAAAACTCATGAAATCTGAGTCTTATACTCTAGAGATTCTGCTTTCTTTCAGTACTGCAAAGCTTCAAGCCTCATTCAATTGGTGCGCTGAAGAATCTAGGTGTGATTTATATCAGCTGTGGTTATGAGCATACTGCAGTGCTTACCCAGGTAATCTAAAATGTTTTGCTATTTGTTTTTGAATTCCTGAGAAATGTTACCACAAGGTACATGTACTGACTGTTGTTGAAAGCAATGTGTGTATCAATATCTCAGCATATCCATTCAATGTACAAATATCTGAAGAGGAGAAATTAACCAAATATAAACCATGAAATTTTCAAGATCTTATAACAGAAGCTAATTTCAGCTTTAAGAAATATTTTTAGATACCCACTAAATTAGATTAACGGGGTGCCTGTTTGGCTCAGTTGGTAGAGCATGCAACTCTTGATCTTGGGGTTGTAAATTTGAGCCCCACGCTGGGTGTAGAGATTGCTTAAAAATAAAATCTGAAAAAAAAATTAAAAAACGATTAATATAGGAGCTAATCCTTTTAGCAATTATTCATTCATAATGTAGTTATACAGATGAAAATTAATGTAGAAGCAACAAAGTAATTTTTACAGGTTTCAATAACCCAAATTAGAGACTAGAACCTACTTTGTTCCGTTTCTTGCTTGACACAATTACAAGCCCGCTTTGTAAATGTTTGCCTCCTCTTCTTGTACTGACCAAATAGTATGTTCCGATGGGATGGATTCTCTCCATAGCCATAAGGAATAGACTTGAAAACTATTTGTGTGGTTGAAATGTTTATTTAAAAACTAAATGAATCACTGACCTCTATCTCTGAAACGAATACTACATTATATGTTAATTAATTGAATTTAAATGTTTTTTATTTAAATAAGCTAAAAAGTGAATAAAAACTAAATATCTAAAGTAATTTGCATTATTTATTTTATTTATTTATTTTTTATTAGAGAGAGAGTGTGCATGTACATGAGTGAGGGGGTGGGGGGCAGGGGCAGCAGGAGAAGGAGAGAGAGAATCCCAAGGACACCTCGCCCACTCCCCCCCTCACACTCACTCTATCTCTCTCTAAAAAAAAATCTTTTGAGAAAAGATTATTTTCAGAGATCTCAAAGAAATAAAGCAACCATCTACTTAAATGTTAGTGTTACTCTTAAACCAATTAATTTGTCCATCCATTCATTCTACAATGAATGCCAACGGTTTCTCACATTTAATGAGTTAACCCTTACATTTATTACTAGAAATAATAAATATAAGACCCCTCCCCTTTATATAGAGCTTATATTTCACACAGTGCTCTCATACAATTCTCTGATGATACTTACGCTTTAAGTTTTTAGTTACTTTTTAAAATCTGAAATTCGTCTGATTCTGTCTTTTTCAAACAGACTGGGAAAGTGTTCACATTTGGAAGCAATAGCTATGGACAGCGAGGACACAGCCCCACTGCTGAGAAGGAAGGTCCACAACTCATGGAAGGAATTGATGGCCTAGTTTCACAGATAGATTGTGGAAGGTAAGGGGCTAGTTTTTTGTTTTTAGTGTGAGTAGAGAGTGTTGTATTTTATTACTTCGAAATGACTCCTTAGGGCAGCCCTCTCAGGTCCTCTCCCTCTTCCGGAGCTTTGTACTATGGTTCAGTAAACTTGGCTGTTCATCAGAAAAAAAAAAAAAAGACTCCTCAGCAATGTTATCAAACCTTAAAACCCAAAATATGTGACTAGTCTTTTTATAGATCATTTTCCTTTCTGAAAATTTACTTCTTTCAAATATAGTTTAAGTTGTCTATTTTTTCTCATTTATTCTAGACATTTCATTTATTTAATAAGAATTTATTGGAAGTCTGCTGTGTATAGACCACCTTACTAGGTGCTGGGGGTTGAGAGGAGGGTTTAAGATAAAAATAGTGGTGGGGCGCCTGGGTGGCTAAGTTGGTTAAGTGTCTGACTCTTGACTTCAGCTCAGGTCATGATCTCAGGGTCCTGGGACTGAGCCCTGCCTATATCGGGCTCTGCACTCAGCACAGAGTCTGCTTGAGATTCTCTCTCTCCTCTCCTTCCCCCTCTAACCTGCCCCTGCTCGTGTGCACACTAGAGCTCTCTCTCTCTCTCTCTCTCTTAAATAAATAAATAAAAATAGGAGCGCCTGGGTGGCTCAGTCGGTTAAGCGTCTGCCTTCGGCTTGGGTCATGATCTCAGGGTCCTGGGATTGAGCCCCACATCAGGCTCCCTGCTCAGTGGGGAGTTTGCTTCTCCCTCTCCCTCTGCCTGCCACTCTACCTACTTGTGTTCTCTGTCTCTCTCTGTCAAATAAATAAATAAAATCTTAAAAAATAATAAAATAAAAATAGTGGTGTTTGCCTACTTAAGTTGATAAGACAAGATTTAAAGTATTCTCATGCAAATAGAAGATAATATGTATTTGCATATGCATTCAGAGTTTTGCATAACCTAATTATGAGGACACTGAATATTATCTACCCAATTCATAAAAAACAAAGCTTACATTTAAAACACAAATGGTATAGGATGCCTGGGTGGCTCAGTCGGTTAAGTGGCTGCCTTCGGCTCAGGTCATGGTCCCAGGGACCTGGGATCGAGCCCCGCTTCGGGCTCCCTGCTCTGCGGGAAGCCTGCTTCTCCCTCTCCCACTGCTTCCCCTCCTTGTGCTCTCTCTCTTCCTCTGACAAATAAACAAAATAAAATAAAAAAACAAAACAAAAAAACACAAATGGAAGAAACCATAGTAAAGACCCATCGATAATGTTCTATCAAAATAAAATAAAAAAACAAAACAAAAAAACACAAATGGAAGAAACCATAGTAAAGACCCATCGATAATGTTCTATCTTTAAGGTTAGTAATAAGTTAATATTCACCTGCCATTTGTTTAGTCACATCATTTGGTACCCTCTCACCCTGACATTATGATAAGGGATCTGAGTACTTAGTATAAGATAAATCTGTTATTTTGTGTTAGGAGACGTCATCTTTCTCAAAAAGTGTGAGTACTTTGATCTTCATTGTATTCTGTCTCTTGCAGTTACCACACCCTTGCATATGTCTACACCACTGGAAAGGTAGTGTCTTTTGGTCGCGGACCAAGTTGCAAAAGCAGACCAACTCATCCGGAGGCTCTGACAGAGAACGCTGACTTTACCTGCCTGATTTCTGCTGATGGTACGAGTGGTCCCACTAATTTATGATTTTGTTTTAATTGATGCCACTGGAGGAGAAATATTACTTATCTTCTTTTCACAAGAGTACATAGAACTGTGGTTCTTTTTGTACTGTTATTTTTAAATCTGTACAATATGCATCTTTTCTTATGTAATGATTCCTGGAGGTTTTTTTCCTAAAGATTAGGGTAATATGAAAAAGATCCCAAGTCGATGAACTATCAGAAAGATACACTTATATATATTTAATCAAACCTCTTGTAGGGGCACCTGGCAGGATCAGTTGGTGGAGTGTGTGACTCTTGATCTCAGGGTTGTGAGTTTGAGCCCCATGTTGGGTGTAGAGATTGCTTAAAATCAAATAAAAAAACAGATAAACAAAAAAACCCTCTTCTAAAGTACATCACCCTGGTTTCATTATGTAAGTGCATGAAAAATTAAATTTTAAGTATATACAACATGTAACCTGATCAAAATTAATCTTTTATGGTGCTTGTAGTCAAAATTCATCTAGAAGAATATAAATTGCCAATAAATAAGTAAATTTGGCTTGGTAATATATCAGATTTTGTTGTTTTTTTTTTTTTTAAAGATTTTATTTATTTATTTGAGAGAGAGAGCACATGAGAGGGGGGAGGGTCAGAGGGAGAAGCAGACTCCCTGCCGAGCAGGGAGCCGGATGCGGGACTCGATCCCGGGACTCCAGGATCATGACCTGAGCCGAAGGCAGTTGCTTAACCAACTGAGCCACCCAGGCGCCCCTGTTTTTTTTTTTTTAAGATTTTATTTATTTATTTGAGACAGAGAGAATGAGAGAGAGAGAGCACATGAGAGGGGGGAGGGTCAGAGGCAGAAGTAGGCTCCCTGCCGAGCAGGGAGCCCGATGTGGAACTCGATCCAGGGACTCCAGGATCATGACCTGAGCCGAAGGCAGTCGCTTAACCAACTGAGCCACCCAGGCGCCCTATCAGATTTTGTTTTAAAGATTTTATCTGTTTTAGAGAGAGAGAGCATGCACAAGAGCACGGGTCGGGGGGAAGCAGAGGGAGAGGGACAAGCAGACTCTATGCTTCTGCAAAGCCCAATGTGGGGCTCAATCCCATGACCCTGGGATAGTGACCTGAGCTAAAATCAGAGTCAGACACTTAACTGACTGAGCCACCCAGGCACCCCAATATATCAGGGTTTTTTTAAGACTATGTTTTTAGAGCAGTTTTAGGTTTATAACAAAAGATTTATTTTTTTACTTCTAAAAACAATAAGCATGGATTTATACTTTCTTTTAGACCTTGCGGATTTTCAAGTCAAACATATTTTTGCTGGAACACATGCCAGTTTTGTGACAACTTATCAGGTATCTATTATACTTTCTGTTTCTTTTAAAAATATTCTTAAAAAAAACAAAAACAAACAAAAACAAATAAAAATCGTTTTTTTCTGTCTAGATTTCAGAGCAGTGTTTCAAACATTGTATCATTTGGATGTATTCAAATTTTTTACTAAGAAGATCCTCTGTTAGAATGCTTCTTTTTTTTTTTTTTTTTTTATTTGACAGAGAGAGAAAGACAGCGAGAGAGGGAACACAAGCAGGGAGAGGGTCAGAGGGAGAAGCAGGCTTCCCGCCGAGCGGGGAGCCCGATGCGGGGCTCGATCCCAGGACCCTGAGATCATGACCCGAGCTGAAGGCAGTCGCTTAACCAACTGAGCCACCCAGGCGCCCCCTGTTAGAATGCTTCTTTTTTTTTTTTAAAGATTTTATTTATTTATTTGACAGAGACAGAGATAGTGAGAGAGGGAATACAAGCAGGGGGAGTGGGAGAGGGAGAAGCAGGCTTCCCGTGGAGCAGGGAGCCCGATGTGGGGCTCGATCCCAGGACCCTGGGATCACGACCTGAGCTGAAGGCAGACGCTTAACGACTGAGCCACCCAGGCACCCCTAGAATGCTTCTTAAAAAATAATTCTGAGGGGCACCTGGGTGGCTCAGTTGGTTGGGTGTCTGCCTTTGGCTCCGGTCATGATCCTGGGGTCCTGGGATAGAGCCCTGCATCCCTTCCTGCTCGACAGGAAGCCTACTTCTCCCTCTCCCTCTGTCACTCCCCCTGCTTGTGCTCTCTCTCTCTGTCAGATAAATAGATAGAATCTTTTAAAAAAAATATTCTGTTATTTTCGGGTTGCCTGGGTGGCTCAGTTGGTTGGGCATCTGATTCCTGGTTTAGGTTTGGGTCTTGATCTCATGGGTTGTGGGATGGCCCTGTGTCAACTAGGCTCCATGCTCAGTGGGGAGTCTGCTTGAAAGATTCTCTTCCTCTACCCCTCCCCCTACTTGCTCGCACACTCCTCTCTCTCAAATGAGTAAATAAATCTTTTTGAAAAAAAAACTATTTAAAAAAATATCCTGTAATTTTCACTTCCTCCTCACATCTCTTAAGATGAGACCCCCAAACCTAAATTCATTGCTTCTACACTGTTTATCATTAAGTAATATTGATGATAATGACAGCAGTGATTAATATTAATTGTAGTCATCATGAGTTAGGTACCAATTAAAATACTCCAAGTCTATTGACACATTTAATCCTCATGTCAACTCCAGTTGGTATTATTTCCCCCATTTTACAGATGAAAAAACTGAGTCTCAGAGAAGTAGACTTACCCAAAGTTGCACTGCTAAGAAGTGGCAAGGCTAGATTCAAACCCAGGCAATCCAGCTGCAAAGCTTATACCATTAGCCACCATACTGTAGTACCCTCCTAACTGTTGACAGAGAGGACTTTATTCTCATATTTCTGGGTTGGTTCTGAAATGTTTGTATGGAGACAGAAGTATACAGGCATGCCTCATTATATTGCACTATGATTTAGTGCATTTTTTACAAATTGAAGGTTCGTGGCAATCCTACAGAGAACAAATTTATGGGAACCATTTTTCCAACAGCATTTGCTCACTTCTTGTTTCTGTGTCACATTTTGGTAATTCTTGCAATATTTCAAATTTTTCCATTATTCCTATATTTGTCATGGTGACCTGTGATCAGTGATCTTCAGTGTTACTGTTGTGATTGTTTTGGGATGCCATGAGCTATGCCCATATAGGATGGTGAACCTAATCAATAAATATGTATGTTCTGACTGCTCCACCAACTGGCTATTCCCCTGGCTCTCTCCTTCTCCTTTCACCTCCCTATTTATCCCCTGAGATAAAACAATATTGAAATGAGGAGGTGATGAATAATGAACGAACAATAGGGTCAATGGATTGGAGATCCTAATGCCCTCAAAGAATGTTGGAGTGGGTTCCGCTCTAAAGCAAGTGTCTTAGTCTGCTCTGCCTGCTAACAAAACACTATAGACTAGGTGGCTTGTGAACAGCAGAAATGTACTTCTCACAGTTTTGGAGTCTGGGAAGTCCAGGATCAAGGGGCCAGCATACTCAATGTTTGGTGAGGACATGCTTCCTTGTTTATAGATAGCTGTCTTTTTGCTGTGTCCTCATATGGCAGAAAGAGCAAGAGAGCTCTCTGGGGTCTCTTATAAGGGCACTAATCCCATTCATGAGAGCGGTAATCCCATTCATGAGACCTAGTCACCTCCCAAAGGCCCCACCTCTTAATGCCATTGCACTGGGGATTAGAATTTCAACATATGAATTTGGGGGGAACACATTCAGTCCATAACATTCTTCCCCCCCACCCCGCCCCACCAATAAAATTCATGTCCTTCTTGCATGCAAAATACATTCATTCTCTTCCAATAGCCCCCAAAGTCTTAACTCATTCCAGCACCAAAGAATGTTAGATTGGGAGTTTCACTTTAAAGTAAGAGAATCAGAAAAAGGTGTATGATGACCGAAGAAGAGAATGTTTCTTTTCTTTTTTTTTTTTTTTTTAAGATTTTATTTATATATTTGGGGGGGGAGGTGAGAAAGAGTATGAATGGGGGTGAGGGGAGGAGGAGCAGAGGGAGAGGGAGAAGCAGACTCCCCGCTGAGCAGGGAGCCCGATGCGGGGCTCGATCCCAGGACCCTGAGATCATGACCTGAGCCGAAGGCAGACGCTTAACTGACTGAGCCACCCAGGCGCCCCTGAGAATGTTTCTAATAGAAATTTTAGAAGGTGAAACAGTTATTGATGATTATAAAGCATAGGGTATTACCTAGATCTAGGGCAGTGGTTTTCAGCTAGGAATGATTTTGCCCCAGGAAACATTTGGCAATTGCTGGAGCCATTTTAGGTTGTAGTAACAGGGAAAGGGGCAGGGGTGCTGGGGTGGCAGCCACTAGCATCTGGGGGGTAGAGGCCAGGGCTGCTGCTAAACATCCTGCAATGCACAAGACTCTCACAACAAAGAACGATCTGACACAAAATGTCAATAGCATCCCTCTTGAAACCCTGATCCAGGACATGGGTGGTTGAGGCGGAGCAGAGGAGAAGTGTGGAGATGAGATCAAGACTTGAGAGATCAAGGTGGGAAATAAATCCTGTTTATTAGTTCTGTAGTTGCCAAGAATTACGGGAAGCATGACAACAAGCATGGCAGTGCTGAGGAAGACAGCAAGGTACTAAAGTTTTCAGTGTTGAAGGGTAGTGACCAGGACACTGAGAGATGATTACTTCAGGGGAGCTGGGATTTTGAAGAGAGTAGAAGAAATGGTATGTAAGTGCCAATAGGGAGCACCTCATTGTCCCAAGTTTCCAGCCACGTGGCGGGGAATACAAGCTCTCTCGTGATTGAACCAGAGGAGACACCCAAGGCTCAGATCAAGAAGCTGAAGGGAACTTCAGAAGTCATGGTTACACATTTTCTTCCGGAGGTCTTTATTTAAGCATTAAATAAAAACGATGAAGACTTCCCTGACTCATGGGGTGCCTCGCTGGCTCAGTTTGTAGAGTATGTGACTCTTGATCTCGGGGTCTTGAGTTCAAGCCCCATGTTGGGCATAGATAGAGGTTTCTTCCAAAAAAAGAACTTCCTGACTTATGACAAGTTCATTGGAGGTAGAGGTATAACATGGAGCAGAGCACTAATGTTTTTGGAAGGCTATTATTAAAAGACAGGTTTTTTCTTTCCATATAGTGATTTCTGACACCGCTCACTGAGCCATTTGGTTTCTTTTTTTTTTTTTTTTAAGATTTTATTTATTTGACAGAGAGCGAGAGATAGTGAGAGAGGGAACACAAGCAGGGGGAATGGGAGAGGGAAGCAGGCTTCCTGCCGAGCAGGGAGCTGATGTGGGGCTCGATCCCAGGACTCTGGGATCATGACCTGAGCCGAAGGCAGACGCTTAACGACTGAGCCACCCAGGCGCCCCGAGCCATTTGGTTTCAAGTATTGTCTAGAACCGTGATTCTCAGAGTGTGGTCCCTACACCAGAGCAGCAGCATCATGTGGGAATTTGCCAGATGCAAATTCTTGAGCTCCACTCCTAAATCAGAAACTGCGGGGATGGGCTCAGCAGTCTATGCTTTAGCAAGATCACCAGGTAATTCTGTTGCATGCTAAAGTTTGGAAACCACTGATCTAAAAGTAAAAATCTATGGGTGATTAGAGGGGAGAAAGAAACTAGTATTTACTGAATACCAACTATAATCCAAAGGCTTTGTATACCTAATATCATTTAATCTTAACAAGAGCCCAGAGAGGTAGGTATTATTATCTCATTTTTTTTATTGTGGTTAAAATACACACACACACACACACATCATAAAATTTTCTATTTTAACTATTCTTTTTTTTTTTTTTTAAGATTTTATTTATTTATTTGAGACAGAGAGAGCACATGAGAGGGGGGAGGGTCAGAGGGAGAAGTAGACTCCCTGCCGAGCAGGGAGCCCGATGCGGGACTCGATCCCGGGACTCCAGGATCATGACCTGAGCCGAAGGCAGTCGCTTAACCAACTGAGCCACCCAGGCGCCCCTATTTTAACTATTCTTAAGTATGTAATTTAGTGTCATTACTTGCATTCACAATATTTTGCAACCGTCACCACTCTCCATCTCCAAAACTTTTTATCACCCCAAACAGAAACTCTGTAGCCATTAAATAATAAGTCTCTATTCCATGACTGCCCCCAGCCCTGGGTAATCTCTAATCTACTTTCTATGAAGTTGCCAATTTCACATGAGTGGAATCACACCATATTTGTCCTTTTGTATCTGGGTTATTTCGCTTAGCATAATGTCTTCAGAGTTCATCCATGTTTCAGCATGCATCAGAATCTCTTCCCTTTTTACGGCTGAATATTTATTCTCCTGCACGTAGACACCGTGTTCATCTATGGATGCCATCACTGGACACCAGCTGTTTCCACCGTTTTGCCTATTGGGAATAATGCTGCAGTGAATACTGGTGTACCAGTATCTGGTTGAGTCCCTGTTTTCAATTATTTTGTGTCATTCCATTTTTAAATGACAAAACTAAGGCTCAGACCAAGCCAGGGGCCAAGGCTAGGAACCGGAAAAGCCAGGCCAGTCTGAGGACATAACCCTGCTCACCAAACCCTACATCAGGAAGGGTGGGGCCTACCTACCACCTGCCACAAGCTTTGCGGTGTTATTTATTCCTCAGCATGTGGGTATGTTTCCTGATCATTTTTTTTTCTCCCACGAAGGATACCAGTTCCACAGATGTTTCCAGGAAAATCCTGCCAGAAATAAGCCAAATTAACCAGCCCCTGATGGAAAAATGGATAGCAGCGGCAACAGGAAGCACTAGCCTTGAAGTGGCTAAGAGGTCGCTCTGTCTGATAAGTTATAAATCAAATATTTGTTGTTTTTTTTTTTAAAGATTTTATTTATTTATTTGACAGAGAGAGGCACAGCGAGAGAGGGAACACGAGCAGGGGGAGTGGGAGAGGGAGAAGCAGGCTCCCCGCCGAGCAGGGAGCCCGATGCGGGGCTCGATGCGGGGCTCGATCCCAGGACCCTGGGATCATGACCTGAGCCGAAGGCAGACGCTTAACGACTGAGCCACCCAGGCGCCCCTCAAATATTTCGTTTTGAAGCCATGGGGTCATTTTATCCTAAACATAAGACAGAAGGTTTGGCTTTGCTGTGAAGGCATGTGCATTTAACCATGATTCTCGAAGTTTGAAGAAGTCCCTGATGATCTCATTCATTCATCATTTACTTAACACAGCTATATTGAGGACATACAGTTCCCAGGCACCTTGATAGTCACGGGAGATGCAGGAGTGAATCAAAAACATGTTGTATCTCACAGAGCCCTCATTGAAGTGCGCTCTTTTGTATCTTCAGAGTTTATACTCTGGGGCACCATAAGTTTCTGTTTTCAGAAGGATGGATTTTATTTAAATCCATGTCTTGGTAAAATCAACTATGAAGGATTTGGGGGAGATTTATCAGCACAAAATATGTCCAGAGTTTGGAAGACTCGTAGGAGAGTAGTTTTCCTTAAAGATTCCATGTCATCAGTTGTATAATTGGACCTAAGAGGAGGCATGCTTTATAGTACATTACGACTTAACACGTGTGTTGTTACTTTTACAGTGAAATTATGACGATATTTTCATCTCCTGCTTGTCTGACTGCAAGTTTTTTAAAGAAAAGGTAATTTTTACATGAGATTTATCTTCATTTAAAATACGGGGCGGGGAGGGGAACATTGAGAAATATTTAAAATGAAATGTTTCAAGTCAGTCATTTTAATGTGTATTATTATGTTATCTATGAACAATAAGTCCAACATAGAAAACTCCAAAGGTTGTTACAGAATTCTCCCGTTACTTGTAAAGGAATTTTCTGCGAGACCACTGTAAGTTGTAATTCCTAATTCACACACCGCCCTGTCCTCCTCTGTTACCTGACTACAAGGAATGGTGTTTTTTCAAGATCTTTGTGTCCATGAGTGATCATTCTAATGTTGCTTTAGTACTTAGAGGCCAAGGCAGCACTTTGCAGTTCTCTTTGTGGTGGGATCGGTAGGGGAATCCAGCAATAGGGAAAATAGATTCTATTTATTTTATCTTGAACTAGGTTCACTACTACAGAGGAGAATCTGATTTCTCTACTTGGTGTCTGATCCAGTCATACAAACAGCTCTCTTGTGAAGTGCTCAACATTTGGTCTTGTATTTCTTCCCTTCCCTTTGTGCTTTACAATACTGTGCCTGGGAACTGTTAAGAGAGAAACTGAGGCATATTAAACATTTCAAGATTTATTTAAGCACATACTGACTCAAATTGGGCAGCACGCAACTGAAGTGGTTAGGGGCGCTCCACCAACAGGAGCTAGAGGAAAGACTTACGTAGAGAAGGTGCAGGAGCAAAGAAAAGAAATTAATTGACCGGCTATAGCTCAAAGCGTAGTGGGCTGTTTGACTGGTTGTCCTTAGGTTTCGATTTCATAACTGAGGTATTTACAGGCTCAGATTTTTTGCTTACATAGGCCCCCGTAGTGATAGAGCCCCCTCAGTGTAATGGCCTCCTTGTTTAAATTGAACAGTATTTAAAGGAGAAGGAGGATAGCAGCATGAAGGGGCCTTAGGCTGCCTTCTGCCTTCTCTGGAGGCTGATGCCCTGCTGGTGTGTCTGCAGCACAAATCACTCGGTCCAGTCCTCCCCCACTAGGTCAGGTCTCATCCCTCCCGGTTGAGTAGGCCCCAAACTGCCTCACAGATTCTGAAGATAGTTATACACATCTTGTGCCCCCTCCTGGCCAGTAGGTGGCACTCACTTAACCCGTGTTGCACGTGTTCTTTGGCTCTGTGTAACCCCCAGTTGTCCCATTGGTTTTTAACCCAGCTGCACTCTCAGTCACTCTTTTTTTTTTAAGATTGTTAATCTTTACCTTAATAGTGGAATAAATGATTGTGGTCAGTACATGTATGAAAATTATGAACGCCGTGGTTTAGACTGCTTTGCAGGACTTTTTGTTTTGTATTCCCCCTTTTTTTCCTTCAGAATGATTCTTAAGCATCAATCAGTGTTTGGTGGTTGCTTCTAGCAAGTCTTTTGCTTCATTTATTTTGGTTGCTAAGTAAGGAGATCCACCTTTATCTGGGTGATTCAAAATCATGGTTCTCCTATGAGCTGTTCTAATCTTGGCCTTGCCAGCAGATGGGCTTATACCCAAAGTAAGACTAGCTTCTCGCCTACTCATTTTCTGTTCAAATCCTCCTTTATAGTAGGATGAAAGGCTAGGAGTGGAAATCTTCTTTGCCGTTTCTGTGAGTACTTGTTCTAGAGGCTTCCAGATTTGCAATGCATAGCGACCTGCAAATACGAGAGCTGCAACACCCACTCCTACAGCTATCAAACTTCTTGCCAGTCCCTGGTCGATGTCCGCGTCCGGCAGTGCGGTCGCCGGCGGCGAGGACTCGGCGTAGGGCAGACCCTCGCCGCCAGCGGAGACGCCACCACGGGCAGCCATGACAATGCAACGTGGGGAGCTCTCAGTTGCTCTTTAAAGGGCCTGGAGGAACTGTTGAGTCCAACAACCTCACCTCGGAACCAGAGAAACCCAGGGAAGCTGAATGCCGTGGCTTCCCCCTGGCAGCCCATGAGGCATTGTCTTTCTAGAGTCTAAAAAGCATCCCGATTCATCCCCACACATCCCGGTCAAGGGTGAGAGAAGAGAGATCAGACGCTGCTTCCCTCTGCCTTCTTCCTCTCCCATTTGCTTTCTTCTTCTTGCCATGCTTCCAGGAGAGAAGTGAGGGACAGGGACTCTGCCATATACAACGTTTCCTCTTCCTTCCCTTCTCTAGCCTCAGGCTCATCCTTACTGCATACAGAATATTTTCCAGGTGAAGAATATTACCTTTGTAAAGTGGAGTAGTACCCTCCCAGGAGTGATGAAACTCAAGGTTTGGTTTTATGATGCTAAAGACAGCAAAGGACAATATATTTTAAGGGGAGATTTACAGTACTTTGAGTACTTGCATAGATATTTTAGCCCTGGTATTACTATTGATCCATTAATTCAGCAAGCATAAAATATTTCTTGATAAGATTATAAAAACTAGTCATTTGACAGATGGAGTCTCTTCAGATATCACCAACACAACCCAGGAAAGCACAACACCTAGATAAAGCTTTGATAGTGTTACTGAGGGGAAGGCCAGGTTGGAATTTATCAAGAATTGGCAGTTTGGTTTAGGGCAGGTCTTTCAGTTTGGGAGCTCGCAGCTGGGGGCTTGATTAGGATTGGGAAAAGATCCAAAGATCCAGGATGGTTGGAGACAGCAAGGCATTGACTTTGAGGCAAGAGATTCAAAGAATCTTAGGGCATATATTAATGATTTCTATTGAGGAGTTAATGGGTCTTTTCAGGAAGTTCCTATAATGCACAGTCAAACCACTTGCCTGGGCTTAGTGTCTCTTGGAATAGTGAAGTCATGCTAATGAAACAGTGGAATCCTAAAGTAATGTAGATGTAGATGGTAAGGTGTGGAGAGGGGTGGGTAGTTTCAGTTCTCAGTGTACCGGGCTGAGTGTAGGGGTAAATGGTTTCAGTTCTCAGATGCAGCATATATATAATTTTGCTATTATTGCAGCCCACACTTGTAGCCACTTTAGAGATAATAAATTGTTACCTACTCTCTTTTAGGAGAATATAAATTTTGTAAAATTTTTTTGTGCCAAGTAAATTAATTATTTTGAAAGGAGGCAAGCTGTAAGAAAAAAGTTTTTATCTAACTAATAAGACGATAAATATGTATGAAGTTTAGAAATATTCTTTTCCATCTGTTTATGTGTTTTATTTGTTTGTTTGTTGTTTTTACATTTCTTGTATCCAAAGAGAACTTGTAGAAACGATTTCCATTGATGTGGACTTACAAAAGGCAAGAGATACCTTCGAGAAGTTAACAAAAACAGAATGGATTTCTTTCATGGTAATGGCCAATATTTACTTGAGAAATAGAGCAATAGAATTTCTTTACAGGAATCAGTATGACTGCAGTTTAATTTTGTTGGGAGCTGAGTCAGGGAGGGGACTGTGTGTGATAGGGGAGGGGGGCGAGTGTTCATGATGAGGTTAATATATTCCAGACACTGTATTAGATGCTGGCACTTTTTTATTTTTATTTTTTTAATTTATAAATATCTAAATCATATATTTGGCAAATGACTTGTATCCAAAATACATAAATGATTTTTTTTTAAAGATTTTATTTATTTATTTGACAGAGAGAGACACAGCGAGAGAGGGAACACAAGCAGGGGGAGTGGGAGAGGGAGAATTCTCGCAGGCTCCCCGCAGAGCAGGGAGCCCAACGTGGGGCTCGATCCCAGGACCCTGGGATCATGACCTGAGCTGAAGGCAGTCGCTTAACCAACTGAGCCACCCAGGCGCCCCATAAATGATTTTTGTAACTCAATAAGAAGAGAAATGACCCAAATTTAAAAAATGATCAGAAGATTTGAATGGATATTTTACCAGAGAAGATTTATGGATAAGCACATGGAAAGATGCTTAGTACAGTTAATCATTAGGGAAATGCAAATTAAAACCACCATGAGATATCACTTCACATCCATAATGATGATCATCGTCATAAAGAAAGACAATAACAAGTATTGGTGAGGATACAGAGAACCTGGAGGCCTCATTCATGGCTGGTAGACATGTAAAATGTTACAGTCTCTTTAGAAAACAATTTGGCAGCTTCTCAAAAAAGTTAAACATAGATTTACCAGGGCGCCTGGGTGGCTCAGTTGGTTGAGCGACTGCCTTCGGCTCAGGTCATGATCCTGGAGTCCCTGGATCGAGTCCCGCATTGGGCTTCCTGCTCGGCAGGGAGTCTGCTTCGTCCTCTGACCCTATCCCCTCTCAGGTGTTCTCTCTCTCTCATTCTGTCTCTCTCAAATAAATAAATAAAATCTTTAAAAAACAAAAACAAAAACATAGATTTACCATATGACCCAGCAGTTCTACTTCTAGGTGCTTATCCAACCCAGATGAAAACATATGTCCACACAAAGGCTTCTGTGTAAATGATCATAGCAGCATGTTCATGATTGTCAAAATGTGGGAAAAAACCCAAATATTTTTCAACCAGGGAGTGGGTAAGCAAAATGTGGTGAATCCATACAATGGAATACTATTCAGCAATAAAAGAGCATAGGTGGCCCTCAAAACATTATGTAATTGAAAGTAGACAAACACAACGATCACATATTGTTTGATTCCACTTGCATGAAATGTTCAGAGAAGGCAAATCCATAGAAAGAGAAAACAGCTTAATGGTTGCATGGGGTGTATAATAGGAGATGTGGTAGTTGAATAATGGCCTCCCAAGATGTCCACGTCTCAATACTCAAAGTCTGTGAATGTGTTACCTTACATGGCAAAAGGAATTTTTCATAGATCATTAAGTTAACAATCTTGAGATGGGGAGATTATTCTGGATTATCTGGATGGGCCCAGTGTAATCACAAGAGTATCTATAAGACGAAGCAGGAATGTCAGAGTTAGAGAGATTTGAGATGTGTTTCTGGATTTGAAAATGTAGAAAGGCCAATAGCAAGGGAATGCGGACAGTCTCTAGAAACTAGAGAAACAAAAGAGATGGGATTATCCCTGTAAGAAACCACTAGCCAGGAAACAGATTCTCCCTTTGAGCTTCCAGAAGGGATGCAACCTTGTCAATATCTTGACTTTAGTCCTGCAAGACCCATTTTGGACTTTTTTTTTTTTTTTAAGATTTTTATTTATTTATTTGAGAGAGAGAGCAGAAGCCGGCAGAAGGGCAGAGGGAGAGGGAGAAACAGACTCCCGGCTGAGCAGGGAGCCCAACATGGGGCTCGATCCCAGGACCCTGGGATCATGACCTGAGCCGAAGGCAGACGCTTAACTGACTGAGCCACTCAGGTGCCCCTCATTTTAGACTTCTGACCTCTAGAACTATAAGATAACAAATTCGTGTTTCTTTAAACCACTAAATTTGTGGTTATAATAATTGTTAGTATGGTTAGTTAGTATAGTAATAATATATAGTATAGTAATTGTTATAGTAATAATAGAAAATAGGCCTAGAGACTCTAGGGGAAATCGGTTTCTTTGACTTTTCTTGATTCTAGAGGCTGCCGGCATTCTTTGGCTCCTGGTCCCGTATCACTGACTTCTGCTTCTGTGGTCACAACCCCTTCTGTGACTTCTGCTCCCTCTTTTAGATGCTGGCACTTTTTTAAGCACATGTTTAAATGTACAGTAAATACAGTATTTTTATTTTCAATATGAAAAAACAATTTTGAGAGGTAAATAACCATTAGCAGATATAGCACTAATTTGGGAAGCAAGAGAAGCTTCACCTGGACTGGGGGAATGGAAAGCCGGTTCTCTCTTTTGCGATCAATGTCAAATCTAGTTGAGATGAATCTGCTACTGATTCAGCCCTTATGCTATTTGGGTCACATTTTCTTTACCTTTTTTATTGGGCTCCTTATTTATGGAGTTCCTCTTTAAGGTTTATTCTAGTTTAGTATTTTGTGATTCTGGGCTATGTTGGAAAACTTTCCCTCCACCAACTCAGGTTCATGTGTTTGGGGGCCTATGAACTGACAATAGACTGATTAACAGAAGAAAACAAGTTTTATTCCCATTCTTTCGGGGAGCATTCAGGTGATGAAGAGATTCCCCAAAGAGCTAGGGATGAGGGCTTATATACCAATTAATAGGGAAAAGGGAGTGGGGGAGGAGAGGCTTCTATGAGAAAACAAATGGACTTCTCAGGGAGACAAACGGGCTTTAAGGGGGCCAAATGGAAGATATGACAGGTTGTGATAATGTTTGTTTATGTAATTTCTTATCCAAGTGCAGGTGGCTGGTCTTTCCCTGGCAGTGAAGCTTGCCCTCCAAGGGCGTCTATGGCTGCCTCACTCTGGGAAGGCCCTGTCTGTAGCCAGATAGGGGAAGATCTGAAGGCTTCTTTCTGCATCAGCTGTGTCACACATGCTTTCAGGCTAAAGTCATCTTTTTTTTTTTTTTAAGATTTTATTTTATTTGACAGAGAGAGACACAGTGAGAGAGGGAACACAAGCAGGGGGAGAGGGAGAGGGAGAAGCAGGCTTCCCGCAGAGCAGGGAGCCCAATGCGGGGCTCGATCCCAGGACCCGGGGATCATGACCTGAGCCGAAGGCAGATGCTTAATGACTGAGCCACCCAGGTGCCCCTAAAGTCATCTTTATACCATTTTGGGTCCCTACATTTGGAAGGGAAAGGGAGAGAGTGTTCTTTCATATGTAGTAGATACAGTAGTTTTATTTTCAAGATGAAGAAGTAAAAATAGTAGATGTTATTGAATATATTTTAAAAATAAATTTATTTCAGTTATATGGGAGATAACTTGGGGTGCTGTTCCCATTGTGAGTTCCAAGGAACACTGGTTTCACAGAATGCTCCCTGAAAACAGCTTCTAAGTGAAACAACTTTGGAAATGCTGCATACTATTATGGAGTCATGATGTACATCAGCAAATTAAAAATTCTATGATGTCACAAACCAAAAGAAATCTAGCTGTTTTAGCCATTTTTCTCAAAGTTATCTGACTCTGTGACATTATTTTCCCATCTATTCCTACCAGCGCTCCATAGAAATCATGTTCTTCTGAACATCTGAGAAAACAACTTGTAAGAACATTAATGTAATAATAATATATGGTGCTTTATTATTGCATATATAATCTTCCTTAATCCTTATGACATGTAGAGGCAGACACCGTCCTTAAGAATACCTAAGCCCTGTTAAATAGAATAAGTGATGCTAGCTGTTGTAACAAACAACTTTCAAATCTCAGTGGCTTGGGATGCCTGGGTGGCTCAGTCATTGGGCGTCTGCCTTCGGCTCAGGTTATGATCCCCAGGTCCTGGGATCGAGCCCCGCATCGGGCTCCCTGCTTCTCCCTCTCCCTCTCCCCTGCTTGTGTTCCCTCTCTAGCTGTGTCTCTCTCTGTCAAATAAATAAATAAATCTTAAAAAACAAAAACAAAACAAATCTCAGTGGCTTGACACAATGAAGACTTCTTTCCACATCAATGAGGGCTGAAGAAGGGAAGCACATGCAGGGGAAGAAAAAAATATTTTCCCTCCACCCATCTTAGTTTCATTGGCTGCGGCCCTGCAAATTAGACTGAGAAAAGACAGATTAATAGGAGAAGAATAAACAGAAGTTTATTAACGTGTGCATGCTGCATATACACTCAGTGATGAGTAACTACAGGAGTGTTAGAACTTGCTTATATAGCATCTTAACAAAGAATAATTTTGTAGAGAAGAGACAACACAAAGGAAAAGGACTGAGATTCTAAGGGCGCCAAATTGTGGGAAGGCAAACAGCTGGGGATACGGATAGTAGATAAGGTCTAGCTTGTAAGGTTTGTGTAGACTCTTTCTCAGTGCCTGCTCATCTCCGCTAATTAAGGTTGTTACCCTTCTCCTGGTGCAGGAATTTAGGGGCAAGAGGACACCTTCACAAGGGGAATTTATATTCTGTTTTCAAGTAGATAGAGGGAAGCCAGAGAGCTTTTTCTCACTTGCCTTCAGCTCAAAATAATCCTCCTGCCAGACTGGCATATTTTTGAGTGGCATATTCTGCTACCCTTCTCACCTCTGCACAGGTTCATTGAGGAGTGATTTGGGCTCCTTCTTTCTGGAAACCTAGGCCCTGGGGACGTGAAATCCTCCAGAGCTTTTGTATTTTGTTGGCAGATAAGGAAAGAGAGTATGGAAGGTTCCATGAGAGGTTTTAGGGGTCATGCCTGGAAGTGATATACATCACCTTCACTCATAACCCCTTAACCAGAACTCAATCATATGGCCCCACGTAACTGCAGGGAGGCTGGAAATGCCATCTTCCTGTGAGCCCAGGAGGAAAATGAAACAGGATTAATGAGGTGAACAATATGGCATTATCTCTGCCAATGTTAGATTTTAAGTCAGATAGATCTAGGTATGGATCCTCGACCTGTCAATCTCTAATTGAGTGACCTCCATGATTCACACAGTATGTACATGTACATGTGATTTCACTTTATTTCCTTCATGCAACCCAATATAAAACAGGGAGGACGACTCTCACATAACACTTCAGGGGCATTTGGGATGCAAGGAATGATGGAGTTTGAACAGTAGGTTTGAGGAAAACTAAATGATTTTTCCACTGGAAGATGGAGAAACAAAACCCCTAGTTCCATAGCTTGTTTTTCACTATAATCTGTATCTAATGGTTGCTGGGCCCTCCCTGATCCTTTCAACCACAGATAACTACATGTCTCAGGGATAGTCTGCTCAGAGCTCTTCCATGTCGTTCTTCACGCCGAGAAGCATTATCAGTTTTCCTTCTGCTCCCAGAATGTCCTGTGATGCATGATTCTAGGAACTGGAAGAGTCTGGTGGTTCCATTTGCAGAAGCTGTTTGTAAGATGAGTGACAAATCTTCACAAATCCTGAGTAAGTTTGATTCCTTTTGTCACTTTATCTGTACTCTCAGTAAAGAATCACTAAAGTAAAAGTTGTAGCAAATTTTGGATAGAGGATTTAAAAATACACATATGTTTGGGTATGTGGTATGTGCATGTTTGAAAGGACTAACCTTATATTATTAACAATCATACAAAGCATGTGTAACTCTTAGACTTGGACATGGCTTTGATATCAGACTTTAATAACCACAGAGGATCCAGTCAAGATAAATCCATACTTTAAAATTTTTTGTTCATGTTTTAAAACTTGAGACTTTTTTTTAAAGATTTTATTTATTTACTTGACACAGAGAGAGAGAGAGAGAGAGAAGGAGGGAGGAGGATGGGAGGGAGAGAGCAAGCACAAGCAGGGGGAGTGGCAGGCAGGGGAGAAGCAGGCTCCCTGCTGAACAAGGAGGACCCTGATGTGGGGCTCGATCCCCAGGGCCCTGGGATTATGACTGAGCTGAAGGCAGCTGCTTAACCAACTGAGCCACCCAGGTGCCCCTAAAACTTGAGACATTTGACCTGCAGGGGAGCAAAGTCTGCCATCCCAAAATGTGTCTCTTTAGCATGTGGATTATTCTAGACAATTTTTAAGAAACAGAAGGCTCAGGAAGAACCTTTACCCCTCCCCCTAACTGCCTAAAAGAAGTAAGATACAAGACCTGCTCCAGGCAGGGAGCTACCCCCATAGGTAACTACAGTATAATACGAATTAGGTATGGTAGACAGGGAGGAGGAGCTCAGCAAAGTCTGTTAAAATTCCTCTCTGTATTGCATTGTTTCCGAATGTTCAAGGACCAAAGCTTTAAAGGTACAAGAGATATATATATATAATAAAATATAAGCCACTCATTTCCCCTCCCAGAAAGCAGTTACAGAATATAGTTTTTTGTGTAAACTTTGAAAGATATGTATTTAAAAAAAAATAGAGACATATATTCTTTTCTTTCTTTTTTAATGGTAGCACACCATTTACATTTTTTGGCAATTTGCTTTTTCCCACTCAACAGTACATTGTAAAGATATGTTTGTTCTGTTACAGGAACTGCCTGGTTCTATTTAATGGCTTATTAGTATTCTATTGGAAGGATATACTATAAATAGCTGTTTCTAAGTTTTTGCTATTATAATAGTGCTAACATGCATTTCTTTGTATGTATATAAATTTACACAGACAGGGAGAATTCCAGAAAGCAAAATTACTGGATCAAATTGTATGTGCATTTAAAATTTTGAGAGATTTTGCCAAATGACCCTCCACAGAACTTTAAGTGGTCACTATTCACATTGTAGTCTAAATAAATCACATGCAGTGCAACATGATGGCCCTGATAGAGGATGTAACAGTTTATACTTCAAAAAATATGACAGCATCGGGGCGCCTGGGTGGTTCAGTCATTAAGTGTCTGCCTTCAGCTCAGGTCATGATCCCTGGGTCCTGGGATCGAGCCCCGCATCGGGCTCCCTGCTCCGCGGGAAGCCTGTTTCTCCCTTTCCCCCTGCTTGTGATCCTGCTCTCACTGTGTCTCTCTCTGTCAAATAAATAAATAAAATCTTAAAAATATATATATATATAACAGCATCAGCCCACGCATTTTTCTACAGTATTATCAAACTTTGGTATTTGCCATTCTGAAGAATGTCTTATTTTAAATTTTAATTTTCTCATTATGAATGCGATAGTGCTGGTTTTCCTATATCTCAATTCCATTTTTATAGTATATTCTGGTAACTATCAGTTCTTTCCTCTTAACCCATTTTCCCATGTGTTGTTGTTAGTGTTTTTCTTTTTTATTTTTAGGAGCTTTTAAATGATTAAGGCAATTAATACTTTATCAGTAATATGAGTTACAAATCTTTTTTTCTCTGGGTTGTTTTTTTTTACTTTGTGGTGTTTTTGAATGCATAATTATTTTATTATTATTATTTTTTAAAGATTTTATTTATTTATTTGACAGACAGAGACATAGTGAGAGAGGGAACACAAGCAGGGGGAATGGGAGAGGGAGAAGCAGACTCCCCGCAGAGCAGGGAGCCCGATGCGGGGCTCGATCCCGGACCCTGGGACCATGACCTAAGCCGAAGGCAGATGCTTAACAACTGAGCCACCCAGGCGCCCCGAATGCATAATTATTTTAAAATATTTTTATGAAGGGGTGCCTGGGTGGCTCAGTTAGTTGAGGATCCAACTCTTGGTTTCAGCTGGTTGGTCTCAGGGTGGTAAGACCAAGCCCCGATTCGGGGCTCCAGCTCAGCAGGGGAGTCTGCTTAGGATTCTTTCCCTCTTCCTCTGCCCATCCCCCCACTCACATGTGCTCTCTCTCCCAAATAAATAAATCTTAAAAAAACCAAAAAACGAAAAACAACAACAAAAATGTTTGTTTCTTTAAAACATTTTTATGAAGCCTACTATATGAACATTTTCTTTTACAGTTTCTGAGTTTAGATCATACATCAAAAAGCCTACCTCACTCTGAAATTAAAAAAAAAAAATTTCCTAGGCACCTCGGTGGCTCAATCAGTTGAGCATCTGCCTTTGGCTCAGGTCATGATCCCAGCGTCCTGGGATTGAGTCCCGAATGGAGCTCCCTGCTCTGTGGGGAGCCTGCTTCTTCCCCCTACCCCTCTTCCCACTCATTCTCTCAATCTCTCTCTCTCTTTCTCTCTCTCTCAAATAAATAAAATCTTGAAAAAAAAGATTCCCATGCTCCTATTAGAATTTTTTTTAAGTTTTGTTTATTTAAGTAATCTATACACTTGATATGGGGTTTGAACTCATGACCCTGAAATCAAGGGTCACACACGCCTCCAACTGAGCCAGCTAGGTGTCCCCCTTTTCTTTTTAAAGTAGGCTCCGTGCCCAACATGGGGCTTGAACTTATGACCCTGAGATCAAGAGTAACATGCTCTACTGACTGAGCCAGCCAGGCAGGTGGCCTTCTCCTCCTAGAACTTTTATTGTTTCATTTTTATGTTTAAATCTTTGATTCATACGGAGTTTATCTTGATTAAACTTTATTTTTTTTCTGAGTCAGTTTGCAATTGTCCCCACACATTTATTGAATGATATGTTTCATTCCCACTAATATGCAATGCCACCTTTATCATATGCTAAAGTGTCATGCATATTTGAGTCCATTTATGGAATCTCTACTGTGTAAATCTGCCTTTCATGCATCTGCATCATATTATTTTAATTATATTAGCTATTTTAACATTTGATCAGTTTGTTTTCTGAGAATTATCCTTTAAAGATACAAAAATCCAAGTTGGAACGAAGTAATATTAAAATATTGTTATTGTGTTAATTGAAAAAATACATCCATATATACCAGGTGTTCATAAAATCTGAAAACATAGGTATTTTTTTCAGATCGAAAATGTCCTTGATGAGGGGCACCTGGGTGGCTCAGTCATGATCCTGGGATAGAGCCCTGAGTTGGGCTCCCTGCTCAGCGGGGAGTCTGCTTCTCCTTCTTCCTCTAACCCTCCCCTCTCCTCATGCTCTTGCTCTCTCTCTCAAATGAATAAATAAAAATTCTTAAAAAAAAAAAAAAGAGGGGCGCCTGGTGGCTCAGTCGGTTCAGCATCTGTCTTCAGCTCAGGTCATGATCTCAGGGTCCTGGGATCGAGCCCCGCATCGGGCTCCCTGCTCAGTGGGGAGCCTGCTTCTCCCTCTCCCTCGCTGTTTCGCCCACTTGTGCTCTCTGGCTATCTCTCTCTCTGTCAAATAAATAAATAAATCTTAAAAAAAAAAAGAAAGAAAGAAAATATCCTTGATGACATTATATGTGTGTATGTGTGTGTTCTTATGTATGTTTTCAGACTTTTAGATCCTCTATGGAATTTTCAGTTTGAAAATCATGACATCTGTCAAGTAGTCAGGTATTCATATGAGCAATCAGCAAATTTCTTCAGAATCCTAAATTTGAGCTTTTAATTTCAATGATGCTTAATCAGGGAAAAACTTTTTTTTCACATTTGTGAGTAATAAATGTCCAGGATGATGTCCTGAGACTAGATATTTTATAGGTTTTGTCATCAGAAATGGAAACTATTATTTCTTTCATATATTAAAGAGCCCAGTAGAGGGGCGCCTGGGTGGCTCAGCTGGTTAAGCGACTGCCTTCTGCTCAGGTCATGATCCTGGAGTCCCTGGATCGAGTCCCGCATCGGGCTCCCTGCTCGGCAGGGAGTCTGCTTCTCCCTCTGACCCTCCCCCCTCTCATGTGCTCTCTGTCTCTCTCATTCTCTCTCTTGCAAATAAAATCTTAAAAAAAAAAAAAAAAATTTAAAGAGCCCAGTAGAAACGGGGATTTTATTTTTTTTGGAGGGTGCGTATTTATTATGGCTGATTTTATACCCCTCAGAGCAGTGTTGGGCATCTTTGCAAGAATCTTCTCTCAACAAACTGGTCCAGATGCTTAAAACTGCCATTATTTCTCAGTTGTGCCAGTGGACTGAACACAGTCAGAGTTACTGCAATCTTAAAGCTCTTCTAGGAGTGATGAAAGAAGTACATAAGGTAAGGGTTCCTCTGAGGGGAATATATATATCATTTTACTCAAAATCCCTTTGTCTTTGCCAATTGGAGTCTTCTTTTGTTTTGTTTCTAAAACAGAAAGAAAATGTTTTATTCAGTCCTGAGGAATTCAAAATTTTGCTTGTTTTGCTGACTGGCTAAACTCTAGCCATAGACTACATGTTTTATGTATATTACATATTTTATATAATATATATTAGATGCACAAATACTCAAAAATGAGAATGATTTAGCATTTTCAGTACAGTACACAACATAATCTAGAAGTAATTTAAAGTTAGGGTACTAATAAACTTAATGATTGTTGGGGGGTAGGGAGGAGCCAGAGCATTTTAAATAAAAGAGCAGAATTAAATTAGTATTGTTCAATGAAAAATAATTAGCTAAGATAAGATTTTATAAATATAAATAGCTAAATGTAATCAAAAGCAATTTCACCACAAAATATCAATCCCAATAGGAGAAAATATTATGTACAAAAAAGTCAGTGCTTTTCAGAAGTCTTAATGCACTGATATTTCTAAAGTAGTATATTTCTTTTTACCTAGCTTTATTGAGATGTAATTGACATATAACATTGTGTAAGGTGTGCAATATATTGCTTTGATATACTTATACTTATTTGGTACATTGACTCATTTATAACTGGAAGTTTATACCCTTTGACCAATATCTCCTGATTTCCCCCATCCCCCAGCCCCTGACAACCACCGTTCTACTTTCTGAGTTCAGCTCATACATACATATTTTTCTTTCTCTGTCTGACTCATTTCACTTAGAATAATGTCCTGCAAGTGGCAGGATTTCCTTCTGTCTCATGGCCAAATAATATTTAGGGTATATATACATATTCTTTATCCATTCATCCATTCAGGATGCTTCTTTCCCTGTCTTGGTTTTTGTAAAAAATGCTGCATTGAATATGGGGGTGCAGATATCTCTTTGAGACAGTGGTTTCACTTCCTTTGAAATGAATATATTTATTCAGATGAATATATTTTTTAATTTACCCAGAAGTGGGATTGCTGGATCATATGGTGGTTCTGTTTTTAATTTCTTGAGGAACCTCCATACTGTTTTCCATAGTGGCTGCACCAATTAACACTCCCACCTGCAGTGTACAAGGGTTCCCTTTTCTCTATATCCTTGCCAACACTTATCTCTTGTCTTTCTGATGACAGCCATTCTCACAAGTATGAGGTGATATCTCATTGTGTAGCTTTGGGTTGTATTTCCCTGATGATTAGGGATGTTGAGCATCTTTTCACGTACCTGTTGGTTATCTGTAGGTCTTCTTTGGAAAAACACCTATTCAGTTTCTCAGCCCATTTTTAAATCAGATGTTTTTGTTTTGTTTGCTCAGTGGCATGTTTTCTGTATATATTTTAGATATTAATTCCTTTTTTTAAAAATAATTTTTAAAAATTTATTTGACAGCGAGAGACACCGAGAGCAGGAACACAAGCATGGGAATGGGAGAGGGAGAAGCAGGCTTCCCGCTGAGCAGGGAGCCCGATGTGGGGCTTGATCCCAGGACCCTGGGATCATGACCTGAGCTGAAGGCAGACGTTTAATGACTGAGCCACCCAGGTGCCCCGATATTAATTCCTTATCAAGTATATAATTTGCAAATATTTTTCCCCATTTCATAGGCTGTGTTTTCATTTTACTTTCTTAATTTATATTCTTAGATTCTTTATTTCCTGCCTTGTATCTTTTGGATTAATTTGATTTGTTAGAGGCTTATTTAGATCATTGATTTTCCACAGTTGCTTCCTCTGGGAAACCTTCTTGAACCCCTCAAGTCCTTCTCCAATCAGAAACTGTATCCTTGATGCCTGATTACTTGTTTTTACCTATTAGGCCCTGGGTCATGAGTTGGTAATCTATGCCCGTGGGCAGCCTCATGTTTTTGTTATTAAAGTTTTATTGGAACACATCCGCACTCACTTGTTTACATATTGTCTAAGGCTGTTTTCTGCCTCAAAATGGCAGGGCTGAATAGTTGCACCAGAGACTGTCTGATCCCAAGCACAAATATTTACTGTTTGGATTTAAGAAAGAGTTTGTCAATTACTATATTAGACAGTAACCTGTGTGTCAGCAAGGAGAATTTATGTTTTGTTCCACACCTGACAAATAGTATGTGCTAAAATAATATTCATTGATTAATGGAGAAAGGGCTAAATTTGTCAAAAGTACCTTGGATTTTTATGGTGCTTTTATTCCCAAGATCTAGAAATTGTTTCCAGTAAAACTGTGCCCTAAGAATTGGTTTACTAATCTCCACTGCCAACGTCTGTTATCTTTTACAGTATTTATGAAAATTTATCCAATTTATCCGATTTCCATTTATCAAAAAATGGAAGTTTTATATAAAGAACTCTATTTTATCAATGACAAATGCATTGGGTTTATAGAGCTCTATTCTAATTATCTATATAATAAGCCATATGTATAATAGATTAAATCATTTATTAATAGAAAATAAAATTCACAAGTCATGTTTTCTTTAAGGTAAACACAGCTAACTGCCAACTACCAGAAAATACTTTCAATATAAATGGACTCTCCGATTTGTTGAGGTTTTATACGTGTCCAAGAAGATTGTTCTTTGGGGATAACAACCTGGTAAGAATAACATTTTTATTTCTGAAAATTTTCATTACTTTATAGGAGGACACATTAGTAGCTAGGTAACTAGTTGATAAATCAAGATTTGAACATTTCTTCATTGCAATGCTGAATTGCTAAATTAGATGATCACTGAAAATGTAAACATCTTTCACTCACAAAACAAATGCATTTCCTTAGAAAGTTTTTCTAGGTAAGTTGAATTCTTAAAAACAGATTGCAAAAAGCATAGAGGGAAACAATTTAAAGTGATGAGGTAAAGCAATGAAGTTTTTTTTCCTTTGAACTATTAAAACTATTATCTCTTATTTTTTAGATACCTGCAGAAAACCCCAGCCCCATTGTTTTAAGTGATTTTCCATTTATTTTTCCTTTGCAATCCAAAATTCTATTATTACGAGCTGCGTCCCATTTGAAAATGCTGGTATGTATGCTCTACATTTTTTTTTATTATGCAAAGTTACAAACATACACAAAATAGAGATAATGGTGTAATGAGCCCCATCACAGAGTTCCAGTCATCATCAACATATTGCCACAATTTCCCCATTGATCACTTTTGTTGGTTTTGTGGTTGTTACTATTTTAGCTGAAGTATTTTAAAGCAAATCCCAGGCCCAACTTCCTTTCACCTCTCTATACTTCAGTGCATTGTTTCTGGTTGTTTCACTCTTATTCATGCTGAGATTCATCAGTGGGTTCAGGTGGTGACCACATGATTCTTCTATTGTAATGCTTCCCATCAACATTTTATTTAATAGTTCTATCCATTGTTTTAGTTGAGGTCTGCAAAATGGCGTTATTTCTAATCTTATCGTTCCTTCCAAAGTTATTAACTGAATTCTGTAAAGAACTTTTCCTCATTGGGGCACCTGGGTGGCTCAGTTGGTTAAGCGACTGCCTTCGGCTCAGGTCATGATCCTGGAGTCCCAGGATCGAGTCCCGCATTGGGCTCCCTGCTCGGCAGGGAGCCTGCTTCTCCCTCTGACCCTCCCCCCCTCATGCTCTCTCTCTCATTCTCTCTCTCAATAACAAATAAATAAAAATCTTTAATAAAAAAAAAAGAACTTTTCCTCATCAACATGGGCCATTTGGCTACATTCATATAGGAAAATAGAATGATGCTTAATCCTTTTTCTTTATTAAATGTTGCCAAATCACTGTACATAGAGGTTGTACTAATTTATGTCACTACCAGCAATATACACACTATAATCAATGCAGAGTGTTATCAAGCTCTGTGCTCTTTTCCAATTCAACAGGTTAATCATGATATTTTGGCTAATTTTAATTTGCTTTTCTCATTATTATATAATGTCTGAGTCCTCACTTTTAGATAATATCCATTGTTTTCCTTCTATGAGCAAATACTGAAATGATCTAGTAACTGCTCTCTCTCCCTTCCCTTTCCTCCTCTATCCAATTTTAGTTACTACCGTGATCTTAGTGTTTGGATTTCATATCTGCTTAAGAGCTTGGAGCTTGATATGTAAGCTCCATCTGATATTTTTTTTTTTTCCGAAATAATGCCTAGGAGTCAATAAGTGAGTTTATTCTGTTTTCCCTTTACTCCCTTCCTTCTGCTTCTTTTCGGGTAGTTCGTATTATTCCCACGTAACATTTACATGCTATTTTTCTCTCTTACCACCAGCATCGTTAGTTCTCAATTAAGTATTTGAGTGCTCACCCCACTCCTAGACGTTGTGCTAAAGATTTTCCAAACATGTTTTGATTGCTGAGGCCTGTCTAGGTTATTCCTCAGAAAAAGTTCCTATCTATTTATTTTTTAAAAACTCACAGGACTCAGAAGTCATACCCATTACTTTTATTAATAATTTAAAGGATGCAGACCATCTAGGTGAAACATGAGGTCTGGGACGTCACATGCAGAAAAGGAGCCACTTCAATTATAAAACGTTTCCTTGATACTCTATTAATTATACAGTTTATGTGACATTTCCCAATGATCCATGCCCCATAAATCCATAAATTCCAGCTTTGTTTATATATTAAGCAACCTGGATGGACAAGGTACATCCTGCTAAAAGCATTCCATAGATAAAGACTTTCCCTCTTGTTACTATTTTTAGTGTCTGTCGTCGACATGTTTACGGGATTTGAATGGGTCATCTCTTCTTTTGTTTCCCAACCACCTCTTTTAAAATTTTCCTAACATCCCTGGTAACAGGAGAAATTATGTTTCCTTTAAACAAGTCCTTCCCTCTGTGGTATTTTCTTCTACAGCAATGTTCTGTGTAGCAGATCTTCTCTTAGTGAGGGGTTAGTGAGGGCTATGTGCATGGTGGAACCAGGAAGACTGCATATCATGAAGGATCCAGAAAGGTTTGAGTACAAGAAAACTCTCAGTTGTAGTCATTATGGGTGAAACTAGAAAGGAGACTCCGCAATCCTGACCTCCAAAGGAGAGAGGATGGCCATAGTCAAAACCGTGAACTCCAAACTATATTATTAATTCACACACATAAATGTAGAAAGGGGAAACCAATACATGGAGAATTGGAGTAGAGAAACTGGAAAATAAGATAAACTGCAGGCCTAGTTCTTGGTTAGGTGAAAGAAGGCTGGGGCTACAGCAGGCCACATACACCTCTCCCGGCTATAGTCAGTGGAGGATAGTGCTGGCCACCCCCTGTCACTCTGAGCCACGCGTCGTGCTGCCCAGCAGTCCGTATTGCTGAAATGTCCTGGAGCTGCAGGCTCCTGGGCCACCAGAGGAGATGACCTATCATCAGGAAGGACCAGAAATGGTACCAGCTCCACCTCCCTACCAACCTGGAACTTCTTTACAATCAACTTCTTCGGGAAAAACTGGAAGAGTCTAGTGGAATCCCATATGATTTCTCAGGACACAGTAGTGGCAGAGATCTGGGACAGGCTTTCCCAAGCCCAGAGTCCCATGCACACTTCTCAGAGAGGCTTACGGAGTGCTGCTCTGGGCAACCACACTCAGCCTGGAAACCTGGGACAGGATAGCTATTATTATCCACCTGTCTTGTTGCCACTATTTGCGGGACAGGTCCCAAAGAGAGCTACATCAGTTTACGAGTCCTAATACTCCTTTTTGTCCTAGGGAAGTGTTAAAGCTTAAAGCAAGGCTAGCAAGTCCAAAGCTGGATTTCTAATCCGAAGGGGTTCAGCAGAAATAAGATCCGGACTAGAGTGTAAGGAAATGTTGGAAATTCAGAAAAGCTAAATGGAAGTACTGTGTAGAGTGACTGAGAGCAGGTAAAAAGTGAGGCCGCCAGTGGCATATTTTTAGGGAGCTCCCCCCTACAAATCAGGTGGATGGACCACAGTTATTTGAACAAGAGTTGGATCTTCTCTGAGCAAGTCTTTCCTCTGGTCTTTTCCCAACATTTAACATCATCCTTGAGTTCCTAAACTACTCTTATATTCTTGAGGATTATGGTGCTAAAACTCTGCTTCTTAAGACTGATGGTGGATGAATGTCTCAGCGTACTGAATACCACTATTGCCTTTAAGGATCATGTTTACTACAAGTGAGATAGCTTGTAATTACTTAGCTGTGCCTCCATGGTGACTAATCCCCTGTATATAATTCCTAGATGCCATGGTTTCACAGATCCTGTGATCTCCTTATCTTCCATAGTATAGTGTAGATATGATGCCCTTTTTTCTTAATTACAATCTGAGTATATATAGCAATAGTAGCATAAGTGTATGCTGTGCAGACTACATTTATTTGAAACAGTAAACACTTCCTAGTGTTCCTATGAGATTCCTAAAATATTTCCCTTTTTTTAGGACTTAAAACAGAAAGAATACCTGGATCGGGGGCAAGTGATTCTGCCATACGATGAATTCCTTACACTTAGAGTCAGACGAAGTCACCTGGTTGAAGATGCTCTGCGTCAGTTAAGCCAAGTTGAAGACACTGACCTCTGTAAAGTATTTGTGGTACAGTAAAAAGTCTCTTTGGACATTTTTACTAATGTGAAAGGGAAACATTTATACAATATAGCAAAGGAAGAGCCTGCCTTTGCAACTATAGTAATCAGCTGTATGGTTTCCAGAATTCTAGGGTGTCTGGCTGGCTCAGTTGGTAGAGCGTGTGACTCTTGATCTCGAGGTTGTGAGATTGAGTCGCACACTGGGCAAAGAGATTACTTAATAAGTAAAAATAATAATTCCTTGCTTACCCTTTAGAGAAAAGCTATGGGATGTTTAATTGAATATTGAGATTATGTGTAAACTATTCCTTACCTATGGCTACAGAAGTGTTGCATAATGAACCATCCCAAGGCTTAATGACTTAAAATGACAATAATTTATTATAGAGATCTGAAACTCAGCTAAGAATCTGCTAATTTAGATTGAATTCACTTGGGTGGATTTGTAGATTTTTATCTGCACTTGTTTACATGTTTGGGAGTTAGCTAGGAACTGGCTTATCTAGGCTAGATTAATCTTGGCTGGGGCAGTTTGGCTCTGTTTTCTGTGCTTTTCATCTTCCTCGGACCAGCAAGCATGTTCTTCTCAGTGCAGTGCCAGAGGTATAAGAAAGATAGCAAGTCCAATGACACAACTAACATTGCTTTAGTCAAAGCAAGTTACCAAGTCAAGGGCTGATGAAATATACTCAGCCTCTTTAATGGGAGGAACTGCAAAGTCACATGCAACAGACATGGATCAAGGAGGGTAAAGCATTTGAGCTATTAACGCAATCAATAAGCAGCAGGTAGAACAGATACTTTTCCTACATTTTGGCTCTAGTTTTAGTCAGAGAGTATCTACCATATTGGTTCTAATTCTAGTCATCTTTCACTTTATCCTTTGTGGGTACCTGTAGGGTGTTTATTGTGTTTATCGCAGATCATTTGCCCTATTGAGGCCATAGAATAATGAGTAACTCTTTAGGTAAAAGCTGGACTTTGTCCAGAAGGGAGTGGAGTTTCCTGGTATCAGCCATGAGAGGGAGACTTAAGCTCTCAGAGAAGAAACCAGAACCTAGACGGTAGGACTCAGACAAGAGAGGGGTATTTCCCACCCTGGGACTAAATGGAAAACAACCTTTTATAAGCCAGACTTTGTAGTTGTATATTTCCTTCTGTATCTACCTTCTTTTAAATATTGATTATGAGGAAATCAATAGAAAATTATTCTGCCCACAGGAGATGACAAAGAGGTAGGAAGGTGAACTTCAAGGTAGATCCAATCCAAATATAGACTCCAAACAAGGCAAGGTTGTCAAAGCCAATTATGTGTGGGTCCTGACCACAGTGAAGGCAGACTTGCTGGTTTAAGTGAGCAGAAATTGGAAAAGTGGAAGTAAGCTTAGTTTGTTATTAGGATATCCAGATGGAACGTTAAGGTGGGCCCTTGGAGATGAGATGATGGTCTGTGGCCAAGGAGTTGGGTGATCTGTGGCAAAGATAAGATCTTCCAGGCAAAGAAAGGAGAAAGAGAATGCTCAATGGGGCTTAGTGATGCTTATATTAAAAAAATAAAAAGCTGGCTAATCATCCAACTCTTCATTTTGGCTCAGGTTGTGATCTCAGGGCTGTGGGAACAAGCCCCGCATCGGGCTCCACATTCAACGGGGAGTCTGCTTAGGACCCTTTCTCCCTCTCCCTCTGCCCCTCCCTCCCTGTGTGCACTCTCTCTCTCTCTCAAAAATAATAAATAAAAACAAAATCTTTAAAAATAAATAAATAAAAAGCTAAAAAGAAATTGGCCAGGAAAGGAAGGAGAAAAGTAGTTAGAGAGGTAGGAAGAAAACTGGGATAGTATTGGCCACAAAGACCCAACGTAGATTTAGAGAAGGACAGTTCCTGCAGCATAACTTTTAACAAAGCTAGAACAGTTTTGGCTTCTTAAACTTCATACTTGGGTAGGTTAAGCTGCTATCATACATGTTCAGTGTGAATAATGTTTAAGTTGAAAATATTGTAAAAAAAAATAATTTTTTTGGGCGCCTGGGTGGCTCAGTTGGTTAAGCGACTGTCTTCGGCTCAGGTCATGATCCTGGAGTCCCGGGATCGAGTCCCGCATCAGGCTCCCTGCTCAGCAGGGGGTCTGCTTCTCCCTCTGCCCTCTTCCCTCTCGCGGTCTCTGTCTCTCATTCTCTCTCTCAAATAAATAAATAAAATCTTAAAAAAAAATAAAAAAATAATAATTTTTTCAAAAATATTTTAAAAAATAAATAAGGGGCTCCTGGCTGGCTCAGTCAGTTGGTAGAACGTGCAATTCTTGATCTCAGGATTGTGAGTTCGAGCCCCATGTTGGGTGTACAGATTCCTTAAAACTAAAATCTTTTAAAAAAGTAAAATAAAATTCAAAGGTAAATAATAGTAGAACTGAAGACAGAAAAAGAAAAGGACAGTTCGTAATGACTTCCCACACAAGAGCTATGGGCAGTCTGGTCTGATGGTTCCTTCAGAGGTGCTAAACCCAGGGGGACTGGGAGGGTAATTTATCAGAAGTTAAAATGAGGGAAGAGGAAGGAGAAACCAAATAGCTGTTGACTGGAGCCAAAGTTGTAAAGTCTGAATGATGAGATGAAGATAGACAATAAGACAGAAGAACCAGGGACCTGAAGCACATCAAAATGTGGTTCAAGACTCTGGTCAACATAATTGGTGAATGCTAAGTCTTGCTAGAATCCCTTTACTTGGTTCATGTGGCAGTTTAAAGGACTCACACACACACTAATCTGACAGTGAATAGGTTCACTACGTCCGCTGCTCAGCAGGAAATTGAGGGAGAACAGATTGCAGTGAAGTGTGGGATTGAAGGGGTATGGGATTCCAGGAATTCTGATGATTGCAGGAGGTTTGAAACTTTTCCACAAGGATCAAGGCATCGTATTTTAAATCTGAGCCTGTGAATGTGTTCTCTTTCCTCAGACTGAATTTATTAAAGAAATTTGTTCTCGGGGGCACGGGGTAATATCTGAGTTCTTCTACTGTATATTTGAAGAGATGACCAAGACAGAATATGGAATGTTCATGTATCCTGAAGAGGGTTCCTACATGTGGTTTCCTGTCAGTGTAAGTCTTTTATCTTTTTTACAGTTTTTCAGAACAGAAAAAGTATACCATATACTTGCAACATGAAAACCATGATAATAATGTAAAATTAGGTCATGTAGAGAGCCTTGCTACTCAAGATAAGGTCCACAGGGGCAGCAGCTCGAGCATTACTTGGGGGCTATTAGAAAAGCAGAATCTTAGGTCCCACCCCAGATTAGAGCATGTATTCTCTAAGATCCCCAGGTGCTTCTATGCATGTTATATTTTTAAACAGCTTTTATGAAGTGTAGTTGAGATACAATGACCTACACATCAGGTGTCCAATTGGTTAAGTTTTTTTTGTTTTGTTTTTAACTTTATTTTATTATGTTATATTAGTCACCATACAGTACATCATTAGTTTTTGATGTGGTGATCCACGATCCATTGTTTTCGTATTAACACCCAGTGCTCCATGCAGTACGTGCCCTCCTTAATACCCATCACCCCCCCCCCCAAACCCTCAGTTTGTTTCTCAGAGTCCATAGTCTCTCATGGTTCATCTCTCCCTCCGATTTCCCCCCTTCATTTTTCCCTTCCTTCTCCTAATGTCCTCCATGCTATTCCTTATGTTCCACAAATAAGTGAAACCATATGATAACTTTCTCTGCTTTACTTATTTCACTTACCATAATCTCCTCCAGTCCCATCCATGTTGATGTCCAATTGGTTAAGTTTTGATTATACATATACCCATGAAACTATCACCACAACCAAATAATGACATATTCATCATTCCTCCAAATTTCCTCATACCCCTTTCTAATCCCACCCTCCACACACTTCCTGCCCCATGCCCACACAACCACTGATCTGATTTCTGTCATTATGGAGTAGTTTGAATTTCCTAGAATTTTTTTTTTTTAAAGATTTTATTTATTTATTTGAGAGAGAGAATGAGATAGAGAGAGCATGAGGGGGGGGGAGGGTCAGAGGGAGAAGCACACTCCCCACCGAGCAGGGAGCCCGATGCAGGCCCGATCCCGGGACTCCAGGATCATGACCTGAGCCGAAGGCAGTCGCTTAACCAACTGAGCCATCCAGGCACCCTGAATTTCCTAGAATTTTATATAAATTCTAAGATTTCTATTCCAGGGCCAGCCTTGCTGTTAGCAGGTGAATGACTTTGGGCCACTTATGTAATAGCCTCAATCTACTTGCCCTATTTACTTCTTACAGCGATTGTGAGGATAAATGTTAAAAATGCATTTAGAGGGATGCTTGGGTGGCTCAGTAGGTTAAGCGTCTACCTTTGGCTCAAGTCATGATCCCAGGGTCCTGGGATGGAGTCCTGCATTGGGTTCCTTGTCAGCAGGGAGTATGCTTCTCCTTCTGCCTGCAGCTCCCCCTGCTTGTGTGTTCTCTCTCTCTCTGACAAATAAATAAATAAATAAAATATTTTAAAAATGCATTTAGGATTTTCAGGCTAGTGGTCTCTTGGCTGCTCTGTATCGATGGCCTGGCAAGATGTGGCCAGTGTTTTTCCTCATCTGGGACTACAAAGTGCAGAGAGAAGAGTGAAGCCTGTTTCATCAGGACTCTTTCCTTCTTCCTTCCACCCACCTTCACGGTCAACAGCATCACCTTCCCTGACCCATATGCTTGTCCCTGTCAGCACACCTAGGCTGAGGGCAGTATCACCGAAGGGGACACACATGACATGCTTGATGCACAATGAAAGTGCAGATAAAGTGTACTCTTCCTTCTGCAGTGTCTTTTCTATATGAATTTGAAGGCAAAGACTATAAAATTAAATAATGACAACCTTGGCCTATAAGGCTATATGAGCACATTTTTTTTAATATTCCAGATATGCTGTCAGTAACAAAAAGTAAATTCATTTATTTAATATTCTGAACTATTAGTTTATATTTTAACTTATGGAAGAAATTTAAATTGTATTAAAGCCTGTGTAAAAAGCTCACGCTTTATTTTCCTGAAGCCCATTTTGTTTCTAATTTGTGATTTCAGAAAAGGGAACCCAACCAATTTTTACTAATCTTAATTATCCCTTTGGACTATTGATTACTTCTAATACATAAGGGATTTTTTTTCTTCTCCTTTTCCAGCCTAAATTTGAGAAGAAGAGATATTTCCTTTTTGGAATACTGTGTGGACTCTCCCTAAACAACTCAAATGTCGCCAACCTTCCTTTTCCACTGGCTCTGTTTAAGAAACTTCTGGATCAAAAGCCATCATTGCAAGATTTAAAAGAACTCAGTCCTCTTCTAGGGAAGTAAGTAATATTTTTCCAGAGCTATAGGTTAAGTCTCAGTTATTCAGGAAGAAATGATGTTAATCACACACATACACACAGAGACAAGGTCTTCATTTTCAATAAATATATACTCTTCTGATGCATTTGAATTTTAGCCTGACTTATAATAAAGTATGCCTTCAAAAATAAAGAAAAGCCAAATGCTCTTCTTCTTTTTAAAGATTTTATTTATTTATTCATGAGAGAGAGAGAGAGAGAGAGAGAAGCAGAGGCAGAGGGAGAAGCAGGCTCCCCACTGAGCAGGAAGCCCGATGCGGGACTCGATCCCAGGACCCTGGGATCATGACCTGAGCCAAAGGCAGATGCTTAACCATCTGAGCCACCCAGGCGCCTGCCAAAGGCTCTTCTAATGATCAACCTACAACAAACAGAGCTCTGGCCTAATATCTTGAATTTATCTAGATGGAAACAGTACACAATATTCTTTTTTTTTGTGAAAGATTTTATTTATTTAGAGAGAGAGAGACAGCATGGGTAGAGGGGCAGAGGGAGAGGGAGATAGAGAATCTCAAGCCGACTCCACACTCAGCCCAGAGCCCAACGTGGGGCTCAATCCCATGACCCTGAGGTCATGACTTGAGCAGAAATTAAGAGTAGGATGCCTTCTAGGGGCGCCTGGGTGGCTCAGATGGTTAAGCGTCTGCCTTCGGCTCAGGTCATGATCCCAGGGTCCTAGGATCGAGCCCTGCATAGGGCTCCCTGCTCAGCGGGTAGCCTGCTTCTCCCCCTCCTTCTGCTTCTCCCCCTGCTCATGCTCTCTCTCTCTCTCTGTATCTCTGTGTCTTGAATGAATAAATAAAAAAATCTTAAAAAAAAAAAAAAGAGTAGGATGCTTAACCACTGAGCCACCCGGGTGCCCTGGAAACAATATACAATATTTTTAATGCAAATCATGCATGCTATATTTATTTTATTAAATCATATTTAGTCATTTAATAATTTTTTAAAGATTTGATTTATTTATCTGACACAGAGAGAGAGAGAGAGAGCACAAGCAGGGGAAGCAGCAGGCAGAGGTAGAGGGAGAAGCAGGCTCCCCGTGGAGCAAGGAGCCAAATGTGGGGCTCCCCGGGATCATGACCCAAGTCAAAGGCAGACATTTAACCAACTGAGCCACCCAGGCGCCCCTCATTTAATTTCTTTATTTTAATTTTTTTAAATTTATTTTTGAGAGAGAGAGAATGACAGAGAGAGAGAGAAGGAAAGGGTGAGAGTCAGAGGGAGAAGCAGACTCCCCGCCGAGCAGGGAGCCCGATGCGGGACTCGATCCCGGGACTCCAGGATCATGACCTGAGCCGAAGGCAGTCGCTTAACGAACTGAGCCACCCAGGCGCCCCATTTAATTTCTTTAAATACGTCAGCATGTCATCAACTTTATTTTTTAAGTATTGAAAAATACTTGTTCTAAGTTAAAAGGCAAACTATATCCTGTGAGGAAAATACTAGCAACAGATTTGATAGACAAAGGATTAGTACTGCTGATGTATAAATATAAATATATATATATATGTGTGTGTGTGTCATCACACAGAAATCTATATGGCTGAGGGTATGTGTGTGTGTGTGTATATATATATATGTATATATTTGGCTAATCAAAAAATGAAAATATGCTCAACCTTCCTAGTATTTGAGGAAATATAAATGAAAATGAGATGTCCTTTTTCTGCTTACAGACTGACAAATGTTAAAAAGTTTTTCATAAAATACAGAGTTGGCAACAGATTGGGGAAAAGGATTCTCTTCTCAAGTACTATTAGTGTAAGAATAAACTGCCTAGATTTACACTGTATGCCCTGACAGTCTAGAGAACAGGGTTTCTCAACCTTGGCAACACTGAGATTTGGGGCTAGATAATTCTTTGTTGAGGAAGGCTGATCTGGGCATTGTAGGATGTTTAACAGCTAATGGGGCTGCCACCCACTAGGTGTCCGGTAGTGACCTTCTCCCTAATTGTAACAACCAAAGATGTCTCCAGATTTTGCCAAATGTCCTCTAGGGGACAAAATCACCCCTGATTGGATACACTGGTCTACAGGAAAGGGCTCCTTTCTGTAATTTCCATCAAGACACAGCAGTGTCTATGTATTAGCAGTGGCCCAACCAAACGGTAAAAAGTTAACTCTAAGAAGAGGGAGTGGGAAGGTAAGGACGTGACATTTTATACATTTCTATATTGTCCAAGATTTTTTCCACTGAACGTTTATTTTTGAAATTTTAGAAATCCGAAAATATAACTTTTTAATTTTAATTTTTTAATTAAATATTACTTTTTAAATGAAAATTTTCATTAGGAGTTTGCAAGAAGTTCTAAATAATGAAGCTGATGACCTTGGAGAAGAACTTTACATATATTTTTCTGTGAGTACCAATGTAAGCCAGATTATAGTTTAGCTTTCATCTGTTTTTTAGAATAATTTTTATTATATTACCTTAAATATGGGATTCCTTTTTTAAAAAATTTTCCACTCTGCCCCTTGGGATTCCTTTTTTGAAGCATATTTATTTCTGTATTGTATGACTTTCCTCGCACCTGCTCCTTCTTTGATACCTCATGTGTATATATCCTCAAAGAAAGTGAAAATACAGCAATTATGCAATCGGTGTGAACAATGTAAACCACTAAATGCTTAAGACTATATACAACATATACTAGGGTAGGTTTTTAAATTTTTATGTTTTTAAAAGGCTGAACTACATAAATAATTATTTAGTTCCCAGTTACTTATAGTTATAAGGAAGAATATACTGGCAATAATGGTATTGTGGTTGTGTTGGGGAGGAAGAATTTATTCTTTCAAAGTTCTTCTAGTTGGACTAAGAATCAAACTGACAGGCCAGAGATTAACAGGAGAATATCAAATTTAATTTTGTATGTATAAGGAATGCATACAGACATGGAAATTCCAAAGAGAGGCAAAATGAGGTATATATGTCATTCTGAACTAAGGAGAAGGAGGTAGGGGCCTGGGACTTCAGAGGGAAGAAGTGTAATTTACAAGAAGATGAAAAAGAGCAAATGTTTTTTTTTTAAAGATTTTTAATTTTTATTTTTTATTTACTTGAGACAGAGAGAATGAGAGAGACAGAGAGCACACGAGAGGGGGGAGGGTCAGAGGGAGAAGCAGGCTCCCCGCCGAGCAGGGAGCCCGATGCGGGACTCAATCCCGGGACTCCAGGATCATGACCTGAGCCGAAGGCAGTCGCTTAACCAACTGAGCCACCCAGGCGCCCGAAAAAGAGCAAATGTTTGGTAAACAAATGTTTGCTGGGCCACTCAGCAACAGTGGGACATAGAGGACTCTGATCAAACGGCCCTTGCTAGGTTCCTCTCTGCCCAGCATGCCTGGTTCAGAGTATACTGTAGTTTCCTATGGGGATAGCTCTCTTCCTGGAGCAGGGCCTCTATCTAAATTTGTTTTAGACAGTTGAGGGGGAAGTAAAGAGCTTTTCCTGAATCTGCTGGAGGTTTTTGAAATTTTGTTTTCTTTTTTTCTGATTCTGCTGGTTTTTGATTGCTTTTTAACTCAGAAATAATCTTCATGCTAAAGTGGCCCATCATGGGGCAACTTGCCTGTGGCCCCTGCAGTTGAATTATTCAGACTTTCTTTCATGCCTGGTACCTGAATATATTTTGGTTACAGATACACTGGGACAATAAAGATGTTGCTTTAATTCCAAATGGGATCTCTGTACCTGTGGACCAAACCAACAAGTAAGTTTTGAGACTCAGAACATCTGCTATGAATACACGTAACATGTTTGCTATAATTTATACATATATTTTAGCTTCTCAGGTGATCATTTTAGCTCTTCATCTCTGAGAAAGATAAAAAGGTTACAGGGTAAGAGAAGGGGAAAAAGGAGTCAGGATTAAATATTCCCTTTGCAGAACTTTTCACTAGTTATTCATTTAACAATTATTTTTGAGCCCTTCCTCTGTACCAGATCCTATTCCGGGTGTCAGAGATACAGCCGTGAAACAGACAGACAAAACCTGGAGCTTAAATTCCAGTGGGGCAGAAAGACCATATATAAACAAATTATTATGTAATAGGATGTCATATAAGGAGGAGCACCGTGATAAGAGTTAATTAAGAGATTTACAGTAGTGTAATGCTGGAGCCAGCTGGCATCTGCTTGTGAGAGCTGACTGTTAAATTTTCAAAAATGTTGAGAGTTTATTATTAAAGTATTAGTAGCATGAAATCAGCCATGATGGGAATATTTACACCACAGAACCGGCAAATGCTGCAAATGAGGGTCCGCTTCCATTTTCTTCTCTTTAGAGAACTGGTTGTTCACCATTTACCAGCACACCACTGGTTCCAGGGGATGGCAGAATGGGGTCAGATAGGACAGTCCTAGTGGATGGTCCATGAAGCTGCTCAAAGGGTGGGAGACTATCATGTTTCTGGTGGCTGTGTGGTGGAAACAGCTCCTCCCTCATGGGGGGAAAAGACAGACTTTTGCAGAAATCATTTCCACACGGTGACACATGTTATGAGAGAGGAGGGAGAGGTGAACAGAGGACCAACCCTGAGGAAGTCATGTTGCTGTGGACCTCTGATGGTTGACAGAAGTCAGCACGTAAAGAAGGGAGCATGCCATGGCCTAACTGTGAGAGACAGGGAGCCCCCAGAGCTGAAGATTGGCCCGGTCAAAGATTCAAATGCCAAGTGGGAAGAGGTTCTGTGTCAGGCAGGAGTCAGATCAGGGAAGTTGGGAAGTTACCCTAAGGGCAATGGAAAGAAAGTCTTTGAAAGATTTTAAGCTGGAGAATTACATATTCAGATGAGTGTTTTAAAAGTATCTCTCTTGGAGGAAAAGGGCAGCAAAACAAAGTGTCCTTCTGCTTCATACTCCAAGGTTCCTTCCTCCAGCTGACCACAGGTTTTTACTTCCCTCTGAATAAAATTTTTTTTTTTTAAGATTTTATTTGACGGAGAGAGACAAAGTGAGAGAGGGAACACAAGCAGGGGGAGTGGGAGAGGGAGAGGCAGGCCTCCCGCGGAGCAGGGAGCCCAACGCGGGGCTCGATCCCAGGACCCCAGGACCCCAGGACCATGACCCGAGCTGAAGGCAGACGCTTAACGACTGAGCCACCCAGGTGCCCCTCCCTCTCAATACTTTACTTTTCTTTCTCAATAGAAATGGGAAAAAGGGCAAAGTAGAGAATATTTTAGTCAATGGCAAAGTATGTTATGGGCTTTTTTTTTTTTTTTCCTCCCCTCAAGGAAAAAATATGTTTCTGCATGCATTGATTACATTTTCAACACCTCTGTAAAGGCAGTTTATGAGGAATTTCAGAGAGGATTTTATAAAGTCTGTGACAAGGAAATACTTTTTAAACTTTTCCATCCTGAAGAACTAATGACAGCAGTGGTTGGAAATACTGATTATGACTGGAAACTGTTTGAAGAGGTTGGTGATAACTAAAGTGCCCCTACTTCTTCCAAACAACTGTATATTCCCCCTAAAAAACATTTTTCTCCCTCTTTTTCTCAAGAATTCACGATATGTTCAAGGATACCATAAATCACATCCTACTATACTGATGTTTTGGAAAGCTTTCCACAAATTAACCTTGGAAGAAAAGAGAAAATTCCTCTGTAAGTATTACTAATAGATGGATTTATAACTATATATCTTTTTTTTTTAAGATTTCATTTATTTATTAGAGAGCGAGAGAGAACACAAGCAGGGGGAGCGGCAGGCAGAGGGAGAGGGAGAAGCACGCTCCCCGCTGAGCAGGGAACCCGCCACTGCTGGATCCCAGGACTCTGGGATCATGACCAGAGCCGAAGGCAGATGCTTAACCAACTGAGCCACCCAGGAGCCCCTATAATTACATGTCTTCTTAAAAGATAAATATTTGTGGGGGCGCCTGGGTAGCTCAGTCGTTAAGCGTCTGCCTTCGGCTCAGGTCATGATCCCAGGGTCCTGGGATCGAGCCCCGCATTGGGCTCCCTGCTCAGCGGGAAGCCTGCTTCTCCTTCTCCCACTCCCCCTGCTTGTGTTCCCCCTCTTGCTGTGTCTCTCTCTTTCAAATAAATAAAATCTTTAAAAATAAATAAATAAAGGGCGCCTGGGTGGCTCAGTTGGTTAAGCAACTGCCTTCGGCATAGGTCATGATCCTGGAGTCCCTGGATCAAGTCCCGCATCGGGCTCCCTGCTCGGCTGGGAGTCTGCTTCTCCCTCTGACCCTCCCGACCCTCCTTCCTCTCATGCTCTCTCTCTCTCAGTCTCTCTCTCAAATAAATAAATAAAATCTTTAAAAATAAATAAATAAATAAATAAATTATAAATATTTGCCATTAAGTCATTATTAAATTTTTTTTTTAAATTTATTTAAGTAATCTCTACACCCAACATAAGGCTTAAACTCATAACCCCAAGATCAAGAGTAGCATGCTCTTCTGACTGAGCCAGTCGGGCACCCTGCCATGAAATCATTATTAATAGTGGGTCACATGTGTCAACAGCCAAGCCAGGCTTCCTAAGCCAATGTTCTTTCTCTTATGTAAGCCTGGTTTCCCATTTAAAAAAAAATGATAATAAAAAAGATACCACTAGTTGCCTCCTAATCAAGCCTTTACTCTCACATTCCTATCTTTATTTATCGAAGTCCTATGGAATTAGGACTATGTATATTTCTCTAATACTATTTTAGAAATAATACCCATAGCAATGACCACTGATGATAATACTAACAGCCTTGATAATGTGTGCCTACTCTATGTCAGGCATTGTAGTGACAACTTCCTATCTGTTACCTCCCTTTATCCTAAGAGCCGTGTTTTGAGGTATGGTACTTATTTTTTTTCTCATTTCAGATCTAGGGAAAAGAGGCTTGGTACGTTTAGTAGCTTGCTTATATTCAGACAGCTGGTGAGTGTAAGGAACAGATTCTGAACCCAACAGGCTGATCCAAAGCCAAGGCTCTGAACCACTAAACTGTAGCCTTGTGGTACAAGAACTTCTCTTGGTGGGAACCGTAAGGTTTCCCTAGGGCAGATTTAATGACTTACTCTCTCACCGCCTGTCCCATTTTTCAGTCATTATGGAGATACACATCTTGCTATTTTTGTTGCTCCTGAGGACACTGGAGGACAATTCCAACTTCACAAACCTGAACTACTTCTCCACAAGCCCAAACTACCTGTCTAATCTTCTCTCTTAATGGGAGACTTTTGCTTCAGCCCATTGATTCCACTGTCTATGTATTCAGTGCGTTTCCTTACATCTTCCTACCTCTGGGTTTTTCTTGGGCTTTCCCCCTCTGCCTTGAAACCTTACTCAACTCCTTTCCTGGAGAACTAACTAGCCAGATGTGACGCCTGTAGTCTCCCTGCTCCCCCAGCCGGGTGCCACCTTCGTTAGCTTCTTCATCTCAGACGTCCTAGTTAAGCTAAATGAAACTTCCGTGTATCTTGCTCTTCTCTTTTCATGTACATAGTTTTCCCCAATTAGACCATAAACTCACTGTGGACCAAGACCAGATGTCATGATTTTTCTGTGTTCCACATGGCCCTGGGTGGTTCTCTCGACACAAGGGTACTCAGTAATATTTATTGAATGAAGTGATTCATTTCTTCCTTTTCATTTTATGTTTTGCTCTTTCTATGAAATATCTTAACCAAAATTTATTCCTTTCTAGTTTTTCTTAGCGGAAATGACAGGCTGCGTGTAAGTGGCAAACAGGAAATAGGAATCCTATTTCGCTGTCCTGAAACTTTCAGTGAAACAGACTACCCAAGAGCGCTGACCTGTCATAATATTCTGGACCTTCCTAAATATTCTACAATGGAAAAAGTGGAGGAAGCCCTTCAAGTAGCCATCAACAGCAACAGAGGATTTGTCTCTACGTCATAGAGCAACAGTGATCCGGAGAGTTTCAGTGAGGCCTCAGAGCCTCAGGCCCTCTCTTCGACTCTTCTGTTCTTCCTCAGGTCTAAGTAGCACAAAGGGTTGATAGGTTTTAGGTAGAATTAGTTGACAAATGTCGGGATAAACAATAAAATGATGAATCAAGAATGATTAAAAAAAAGTAATTTTTAAAAATGAATCAACATTTCTTGATCCCTAAATTTGTTATCAGAATGTTTGCTTTTTACTGAATTATTCCTGAACAATAATTATCATTTAAAAATAAGTTGAATATTAAAAGCTAACATATTTTTTAAAATATTGTATATCTAATAAACACATTGTCTGCAAATATGAAAGATATGCTGAAGCTTGAAAAAAATAAAAATAATTCAACATGTTTTTGAGGCATGTAAATGTGTATTTTATATTCTAGAATGTCTCCAGAATTTTGATTTTAGCCAACTGCTGAGTAATGTATTTGAAAAATCTAAATGTTAAAGGATTCGTTAATTCATTGAATAATTACTCATGCTCAATACTGTGTTCCAAGAATTATTCTAAATGCATATATCATTATTTTGGTTAAACACTGAGCCCAACCAGGAACTCCTGTCTATTGGTAGTTGGAGAAAATGAAGAACATGAAATATGTCTTAGAAATGTGGCTACGGAATGAATTACAGGAGAGAAAGAAATATGGCTGTAAATGGCCAATTAATTTTGTAGACCAGATCTATCTTATATTAAATTTTAAACTGTACGCTATTCTTTAAATGCCTGTTGTGATGGCAAACCATACAGAGAAGCCTTATATCGGTGGCACTTTTGGAAAGGAAAGACCATGGGGTGTAGTCCATGGTGGGGTGGTGATGTGGAAAGAGGGCAGAATCACCAGAGGATAGACAGAACAGAGATAGAGAATTCACTAAGGACACTAGAATGTGAGGTGGTCCGTAGGAACACAAGCCCCAGGGAATCCTCAGATTTATTTTTGACACATCTGGTTTCTATAATAAATGGAATGGAGGCCCAGATGTATTCTATTTGAATTTTAAGGGAAAAGGTAACTTCTAAATCTCAGGGATCCCTAGGCATTTGATTTAGGTTGTATTTTTCGGGCCTTTCAACTCCAACATAAATTTTTCTAATGCAAATAGATGAACAATACTAAACATTTAGGGAAGACAGTGTAGCAATTCTTTTTTTTTTTTTTTTTAAGATTTTATATATTTCAGAGAAACAGAGAGAGAGAATGAGCAAGGAGAGCGGCAGAGGGAGAGGGAGAAGTAGAGTCCTTACTGAGCAGGGAACCTATGCAGGCTTGATTCCAGGATGCTGGGATCATTACCTGAGCAGAAGGCAGACGCTAACAGACTGAGTCACCCAGGCACCCCTAGTGTAGTAATTCTTTACATACTCTTTCAGAAAACAGAGGAAGAGGGGTGCCTGGCTGGCTCAGTCAGAAGAGCATGCAACTCTTGATCTTGGGGTTGTGAGTTTGAGCCCCACGTTGGGTATAGAGATTACTTAAAAATAAAATCATAAATATTTAGGGATGCCTGGGTGGCTCAGTCGGTTAAGCGTCTGCCTTCGGCTCAGGTCATGATCCCGGGGTCCTGGGATCAAGCCCTGCATCGGGCTCCTTGTTCAGCAGGGAGCTTCTCCCTCTGCCTGCAGCAATACCTGCTTGTAGTCTCTCACTCTCTCTCTCTCTCTCTCGATCTCGTGCTCTCTCTCTGGCAAATGAATAAATAAAATCTTTAAAAAATAAAGAAATAAAATCTTCAAAAAAGAAAAAGGAAAACACAGGAAGAGGAAACACTTCCCAATTAAGTACAATGTTGGCATTACTCTAATGTCAAAACCAGACAAAGACATTACAGGAAAAGAAAACTACAAATATCTCTCATGAACAGAAACACAAAAAACCTTTCCAAGATTTTAACATATCAAACATATCCAACAAAATATAAAAAGGATAATACTTTGTGGCCAAGTGGAGTTTAGTCCACAAATGCTCTTAAGAATCTATTATATCATGAGAGACTATGGACTCTGAGAAACAAATTGAGGGTTCTACAGGGGAGGGGAGTGGGGGGATGGGTTAGCCTGGTGATGGGTATTAAGGAGGGCACGTTCTGCATGGAGCACTGGGTGTTATGCACAAACAATGAATCATGGAACACTACATCAAAAACTCATGATGTAATGTATGGTGACTAACATAACATAATAAAATTTAAAAAAAATCTATTATATCTCACTGTAATAAGACAAAGAAAAATCACATAATTACCTCAATAAAGGCAAAAAAAAATTTGATCAATTGCAATAGCCGCTCATGTGTGATATTCTTAGCAAACTAGGACCAGAAGGAAATTTCCTCAACCTGATAGAACCTACAAAGAGCTAACCTTACACTTAATGGTAAGAGACTAAATGCTTCCCTACTAAAACTAGTAACAAAGCAAGGTTGCCTCTCATCACTTCTAGTACAACATTGTACTAGAGTACTAGTCCATGTAAGAGGGCAAAGAAAAAAAGAAAAGGCATAATGATTGGAAAGGAAGGAGTAAAACTATCTTATTTATAGACTACATCGTTATCTGCAGAAGATCCTAAGGGATCTTAAAAGAAAACAAAAACCTACCAGAAGTATTAATATAGAAAAGTCTCAGGATTCAAGGTCAATATATAAAAATTAACTGTTTATATATATTAACAACAGTCATAAGTTGAAATTTAAAAAAGTATTTGTAATATCAAAAGATAAATATTTAAGGATAATTTTAACAAAACACATTAAACTGTACAGTGAAAACTAGAAAATACTGCTTAAAGACATCTTTAAATTAATGGGGAAGGGCACCTCGTGGCACAGTGGGTTAAGCCTCGAACTCTTGGTTTCGGCTCTGGTTGTGACCTCTGCCTCTTGAGATGGAGGCCCTCATCTGGCTCTGGGTTCAGCCCGGAGTTGGCATGCACTACCCCCAACCCCCTGCGTGTGTGTGTGTGTGTCTCAAATAAATAAATCTTAAAAAAGAAATTAATGGGGAGAGATATGCTCAAGGACCCAAGAATCAATATTATCAGCACGTCAATTCTTCCCAAACGGATTTAATTTAGTGCAATCTCAAAATCCCTGCAGTATTTTGTAGATAGTAACAAACTTATCCTAAAATATATATGGAAATGGGAAGGACCTAAAATAGCCAAAACAAACAAACAAATAAATATAATAGACAAAACAACACCGAAGAAAAGACAATGGTGGAGCATTTGAATCAAGTGATTTTGAGACTTAATTATAATCTACAGTAGTGAAGGCAGTGTGGCCTTAAGAGTAAAAATAGACATATAGATCAAGGGGACACAGTAAAAATTTGTCCAGAAATAAATTCAATTACACATAGCCAACAGAGTTTTCACAAAGACCCTAAGGCAATTCAATGGGGAAAGGCTAGCTAGAACAATTGGAAATCTGTAAGGACAAAAATGAACCTCTATCCTTACCTCACACCATAAAGACTAATTCATTTGAAATGTAACAAAGACCTAAAACTATAAAACTTGTAGAAGATAACATAAAAGAAAATCTTTGGGGGCGCCTGGGTGGCTCAGTCTGTCGGGTGTCAGCCTTCCACTCGGGTAATGGTACCCGCGTCCTGGGATCGAGCCCCACATCCTGCTCCGTGCTCACCGGGGAGCCTGCTTCTCCCTCTCCCTCTGCCTGCCTGTCTGCCTACTTGTGAGCTCTCTCTCTCTGTGTCAAATAAATAAATAAAATCTTAAAAAGAAAAGAAAAGAAAATCTTTGTAACCTTGGGTTAAGCAAAGATTTCCTAAGACAAAAGAAAAAAAAGAAAGGCATTAACTATGTAAAAGAAAAAAATGGATAAATTGCATTGAAATTAAAAACTTCAGCTCTTCAAAAGACAATAAAATTTAAAAACAAGCCACAGATTGGCAGAAAACATTTCAAAACATATTTAACAAAGGGCTTGATATATAACATAAAGTACTGTAATATATATAAAGAACTTTGAGGTACTAAGCAAATTAATAAATGGCAAAAGATACGAATAGACACTTCACCAAATAAGAGACAGAGATTAGCACTAATAAGCATATGAAAAGATGCTTAACATCATTAAGCATTAAGGGAAATGGAAATTGAAACCACAGTAGGACACACGTACAGACTACTGCAACTGCTATAATTACAGAGACTGACAAGAGCAAACGTCATCAAGGACATAGAGGGACTGGCACTCCCATAAATTGCTGGAGGGAATGCAAAACGACATAGCACCTTTGAAAGATTTGGTCGTTTCTTACATCATGTTCATGCATGTATTTACCATACGATACAGCAATTCCATTTTTAGGTATTTACTCACAAGAAACGAAAGCACCTATCCACTCCACGACTTGCTCATAGTCATAGCACCTCTAGTCACCGTAGCCCCAAACTGGAAAGAACCGAAATGTCCGTGAACTGGTGAATGGAGAAACAGCTGATCGCTGTATACTCATCTGTCGTAATAACATTCAACGATAACTACTGACTGACCCACTACTGATGGAACACGGGATTAATCTCAAAAGCATTACGCTAAATGGAGGGAAAAGCCAGACACAAAGACTGCACAGGTTTGACTCCATCTGTACGGAATTCTCGAAGAGGCAAACTGTACCGACAGGAAGCACATCAGCTGTTGCCGGGCACCGCGGTGTGGGCGGAGGGACTGACCGCGCAGCTCTCGATTTCAGTCTCCTCGCGGTCGTGGGGCGGAGCCCGAGACCGAATGCTTAGCGAGCTTTCCTTACCACAGTAGTTCCTGGAAATTCTGCAAGTCGGCCTGTGTCAGTGCTCCTCCTAGCGGAACTGCAGTGTTTCTTCCAAGGCCACCAGGTCCAGGCGTTCAGGTGGCCACTGCTCGCCGGGGGACACCCCCTCAGCCCTGCCCACCCACCTCGTCATCGGCCAGCACCCTGTTTACTCTGGCAGCCTTCCAAGCCCTCCGTGACGCGCTCGAGTTTCCCTTTCCCTTCCCTTTTCGATTCCGCCCCCTTCCAAGCACAACGGTTTCGTTTCCTATTGGAACTGCGGGCTCCGCCCCCAATCAGCACGTTGCGAGCCCGGCGTCCCAGCGGGGGCGGAGTAGGGGAGGCTGCGGAGCCTCGACGCCACTGCGCTGTCCGCCACCTCTGGCTGAGCGCCGCGACGCCGGGGTCGGTTTTCTCGGGAGCTCCGTCTCCTCCGAGGTCCGGAGAGCCGAGGCGCGGCCGTAGAGCCCGGGACAGCGGCGATGGAGCAGAGGCCGCGAAGGAGAGCTCGGGGCGGCGTGCGCCCGGTCCCCGGGCCGGTCCCCCCGCCGCGACCCGCAGCGCCGCGGCGCTCCGCGGAGCCGCCGGGCACTCAGCTCTGGCTCTTCCCCAGTGCCGCGGGCCTCCGCAGGGCGCTGCCCCAGAGGACCGAGGCGACGCGTCAGATGTGCTGCACGCGCGGGCGCCTCGTGGTGTTGGAGCGCGGCGGGGCCGGCGTCGAGGTCCACCAGCTGCCGGCGGGGAGCGAAGGCGCCAAGAAGCCGAGTGAGTGGGGCGGGCAGTGCCCCCTCGGCCCTCCCGCCTCGGGCTGGGGGTGTGAGGGTGGGCGGCCGGGGGCCCCAAGTGCAGCGCCTGCGGAGCGGCCCGAGGGTGGGTGTGGCGGTCCTTCTCTAAACGCGAAGGGAAGCTCAGGAGGAGACCCGACGCCGCAGCGGTCTGCGGTGGCCGCAGAAACGCGCCGGGCCGGGTGGCTTTTGAATCTCGCACGTGCGAGCGCCTGAGGTCTCCCTTATCCGCGTTCCCAGTTGGCGCGGAGTTTGCAGGATGGTGGTGAGAACTGGGTCGCGCACTGTGCAAATAGCCCGTGCGGAGGGAGCGCGCGTGCAGGCGGCATCTGCTTAGCCAGTCCGCCGTTAGCACTGGTTTCTGTTGAAGTTTACTTTTCACTTACTCCTCTTTAGAACACAGCGGCTCCGATTTTGTGACCCTTTGGAAAATAGAGTTCTCTTGTTCTCAACGATAATATCTTATATATGCAAATAATTTAAAGAATGCTTTCAGTTGCACTTGTCCGCGGTGGCAATCTCCGTAGATGAGGTCAGGAACTGTGGTTCCGATTTTAAAGGTGGAGGAAAGCAAATGGCCATTCTTAATCTTGGGAAATTTTGTCCGTCTGTTGAGTGAAGAAAATGGTATTTTACTGGTCGTTATGCTTTTAACTCGGGCGAGGTCGAGCATCTTTTTTTTCTTTCTGTTGATCGTTTGCATTCCCTTTTTGGTGACCTGCTTGTTCATATCTTAGACTGGCTTTTTTTTTTTTTTTTAAGATTTTATTTATTTATTTGACAGAGAGAGACAGCGAGAGAGGGAACACAAGCAGGGGGAGTGGGAGAGGGAGAAGCGGGCTCCCCGCCAAGCAGGGAGCCCGATATGGGGCTCGATCCCAGGACCCCGGGATCACGACCTGAGCCGAAGGCAGACGCTTAACAACTGAGCCAACCAGGCGCCCCTCTTAGACTGGGTTTTTTAAAAATTTGAGTTGTAATCTTTTTCTTATTTATTTGAAAGAGTTATTTGAACATTGAGTAAGAATAGCACTTTGTCCAGCATAGACGTTGATGTTTTTCCCAACTTTGATGTTATTTTAGTCTCCTTAATCTTTTCTGTTAAGGCTTATGGATTTTGTGTTACAAAGCTATCCACACTCAGGTTTTTTGTTTTTTTTTTCTGTTTTTTAATGTACTCATCTTTACAGCAATTTAAGCTTTTACTTACTTTTTTAAGTAGGCTCCGTGGAGCCCAACGGGAGGCATGAACTCTTGACCCTGAGATCAAGACCTGAGTTGAAATCAAGAGTCTGGGTGGGGCTTACCCAACTGAGCCACCCAGGCACCCTTTATGCTTTTATTTTTAAAGTTAAAATTTTGGATGCACTTGAAAATTATTTTGATTTAAGGAGGTCGGGGAACCTAGATTTATTTGTTTCTCCAAGTGTTTAGTCTGATGTCCCAGTACCTTTTTTGAGTAACCTTTTTTTTTTCCTCCCTGCTCCTTGAGTAACTTTTTTTTTTCAACTGATTGGAAATGCTGATCTCTGAAAAAGATGACTGTTTAACCATTTCTTCTTCATTACCAAACGGTTTTGGTTCTCAAAGCATTTCTAATATGAAGATTTGTGCTTGGAGATTTTCACATGAATAAATCCTATTTGGTTAGGTTAGAACCGAAAAGTAAAGTCCCACATCCAATTTTTGTGAACAGATTAAATGAGATAAGCGTAAATGGTAACTGTGAACAATTTTTAAATCTCTTTTAGGAAGGGCTAAATATGTAGCAGTGCCAATAAAAATTATTTTGACAGCAGCCTCCTGAAAAATTAGTCCTCAAACACAATTCTTCCTTTTAAAAATAAAGAACTTGGCTTCTTTGTGGAGCAGTGAGGAGAGTTTCATTATTATTATTCGTTTTGTATTTGGAAAGAGTATATCTCAAAACACACAATATATATTTTCTCCTAAAATGAGTTATGTCATCCAGATACGGTTATATTTTCTTATAGACCTTTTCATTTCTGTCACTTCAAATGTAATTACTCTGTCTCAATTTATTAAACAGGAATCTAAAAGCAAATATTTAATTGGTTATTTTTTAAACTATATTGATTTTGTTTTATTTTATTTTTTTAGAGGGGGGAGGGACAGAAGAAGAGGGAAAGAAAGAAATGTAAGCAGGCGCCACGCTTCTCCATCTCACAACCCTGAGATCATGACCTGAGCGGAAATCAAGAGATAGGCTTAACCGACTGAGCCACCCAGGCGCCCCAAAACTATATTCAATTTAAAACAAAGTATGAGGGGCGCCTGGGTGGCTCAGTCGTTAAGCGTCTGCCTTCGGCTCAGGTCATGATCCCAGGGTCCTGGGATCGAGCCCCGCATCGGGCTCTCTGCTCGGCGGGGAGCCTGCTTCTCCCTCTCCCACTCCCCCTGCTTGTGTTCCCTCTCTCGCTGTGTTTCTCTCTGTCAAATAAATTAAAAAAAAAACAAACAAACAACTTTAAAACAAAGTATGAACAGTGCTTTCCCAAATTGAAAAAAATCCATGGGTCAAAACAATAGTCATTGCTAATTGCTCTGCTTTTGTTCTTGAATTTTTCTTTAAAGAGAGGTTCATGTTAAATCAAAGGTTGTCTAGTTGAAATTTTTTTCCAGGTGTTTTAGTGTATTATAATGAAATAAATAATGATAGTGGGTAATAACCAGAGTTATGATAGTTCCTGATTGGATTTGCTCTGCAGAGTGCATTAAATTAGGAAAAAAAATGAAGATACATTCCGTGGACCAAGGAGCAGAGCACATGCTGATTCTGTCCTCAGATGGAAAACCATTTGAGTACCACTATAGCACAGAACATGCAAGGTAGGGAACTTTTTTTTTCTTTTATTAGAAGTTATTTAAAATGTACTCAAAAGGCAATCATAATTTTTGTATTATGGTTTTATATTATGCCCTGCTTTACGTAGTGGCTCTTAAGTAAACAATTCTGAAATGACCGGTGAATTCCATCAGTGAGCTACAATCAAGTTAACTTGTCCCGTAGACATCGGGTCTTGCTTTGACATTTATTTATTTATTTTTAAAGATTTTTATTTATTTATTTGACAGACATAGACACAGTGAGAGCAGGAACACAAGCAGGGGGAGTGGGAGAGGGAGAAGCAGGCTTCCCGCCGAGCAGGGAGCCCGATGCAGGGCTTGATCCCAGGACCCTGGGATCATGACCTGAGCTGAAGGCAGCTGCTTAACGACTGAGCCACCCAGGCACCCCTTGCTTTGACATTTAAAAGAAATGGTTGTTAGTCTGCCTCACCCCAAATTGGACCTCCACATTCATTAATTCATTTACCCCTCATAATGAGTTAGATTATCAGAAATAAAAGTTTTCGACATAGGAGAAAAATACATTATCATGGAATGATTTGTGAGACTTTTTCCTAGTAGATCATGTGAATTAGAACTTATTTTCATCTTGTGTTATTCCTGTATCATACAATTATTGTTTGCAAAAGACACTTGGAATCATCCTAATTACAATTATATAGTGCACATTATTTTCCTTTTAAACCACCAATTAAAACACATGTAGTATTTTTTATAATTTTAGATGTACTGAATGTGAAGCAGTAAATTTAAATTTTTCCTTGAGCTTCAATCCCAATTAAATACAGTTAGTTTTAACATCGATGTTGCGACTTCGATTACGGTGATTGACATAAAATATATTTTCTTTCATCAGGTTTCAGTGCATTTTACAAGAAAAAAGTATAATTCAGATCACATGTGGAGATTATCATTCTCTTGCACTCTCAAAAGGTACTTTTCTGGAATACTGTTTTTTAGAGGGAATAAATGTGTATATATGTAGACCTAGTAGAATGTATCTGCTTCACTTTGTAACAGACAAAAATAATGGTTTTGAATTTGATATGGTTCAGGACACTTGTACTTTTTTTTAAAGTAAGCTCTAGGCCCACCATGGGGCTTGAACTCACAACCCTGAGATAGAGTCAGTAAAAAGTCACATGCTCTACCATCTGAGCCAGCCAGGCACCCCAAGGCACTTGTTAGAAAATAAGAGTAATTTTTGGATGTATAAAATCTTTAGGATTCCATATTTACTGTTCCTACAATGTACTCTGTCAAGTGACAAAACTAAAGCGATTTAGTAAAGAATTTGATACCCTTTGTTCAAGGACAAGCAGCCGATGGATTGGGAGTACAGTGCATCACAAACAATGGAGCATTCTGGGAGGATTTTGAGCAAGAGTGAGTTTTCTAGAGCATTAGAAGTCAAAGTGCAGAAATAGGCATGATTGGTTGGGGTTGTATATCTGACCTTATTTGGAAAGATCAGGGAACAAAGAAATAAGTGTACAGCCCAGAGTTGGCTTGTTGTTTGGGGATTGGCTTATTGGATAGATACATGGTGTTTCTGTTCAGGTAGAACATTTAAAGGAACATGTAAGTTGGTTTGCTGACATGGCACCCTGGGCAGGAATGGCTCCATCTTGACCCTGGAGATTTATTTCAACAGTTCCATGTTTCTGTTTTTCAAATAAGAAACAATGAAAATATTCTTAATAATCAAAATCATTCTGGAAACAGGACCAAGCATGGGCTACCCTTTCCTAGAAACTTCTTGCCTTTTCCTAGTGCTCTTTCAGCTTCCATGACAAGAGCTTAGAATCTCTTGGGTCTGTTCTTGTGGCCAGTTTGCAGGCCTCTGATGTGCTCGCACATTACCATTTGAATTCAGGGATTCCCCAGCTTTTATTATTTCCTACTTCTTATCAGACATTATAATGGTGGGAAATTGAAACAGTGAATACAGATTATTTCCTAAAGAAGCTTGACCATGGAGGAATAATTATAACAGGACGGTGATAAGTGGAAATTCAGGGTCAAGGAAAAAAATTTTTTTAAAATATGTAGGACAGATATAAACAAACTAAAGGGAAACTGGGATAAAAGGGAAGTAAATAATCCAGAACTTGACCTGTGTTGAAGGCCCTGTTGAAGTTTGAGAGTATGAACTTGCATTGGAAAAAATTGGCCTGGTTGTTTGACTTTATCCATTCATGAACACACATTTCATTTTGAGTATCTAGATTGATTAACTCAACAATTTATTTCTTTTACACTAATGGAGCCCATCCCTGTTCCTCCTCTGTGATGCTTTTTCGTGGTTCTAAAGCAATCACTGAAGAGTAAAGAATCTCTTTAATGTATACATTTTCCTAATTTCAATAATGGTGGTAAATTATTTCAATTACAAAATGTAATTTTTCAGGCTAGATTATTTTAAAAGGCCGTTGAGTATCAATTTTGTCTTAAATTTAAAAGGAAACAGCTCTTAGCTATCCTTTCTTTCTATAGGTACTTCTGTTAGATAAAATATTTCTTGGTTCTTAAGAAAAAAAAAAAAGGAATGCAGGTGAACATGAAGAATTATATGAAACTAGATACTTTGAAGAAAATACTGATTCCTTCTTAGGGGTGAAAAGTGGCCCACTGGTAATATTCTATCTACATGGAATCTTAGGGAAAGGGCTAATGCCAAGGAGTTTCTGCCATTTAGCCCCTAAGCCTGTCCCTGTTTTCCTTCTATTCTCTGTCTGCCTGATTTGTGCTGGTCATGTCTGACTACCCCCTTGATTAGGAAGAGCAGTCCGATGGTGCATCAGTTAGCATAGAGGGCAGCCCACAGTGGTAGAAGGAAGATAGGGCTAGAATCAGAGCAACTTGGGCTGGAATTCCAGTTCTGCCATTTCCTATGAAGTGAGCCCACTTTAACCCCTCTGAACCTTGGTTTGCTCATTAGTTAAGTTAAAAACAATTACACCTGCTCTGCAGAAGAACAAGGGTTTGAGAAAAAAGGTTATATCTATCTTGACCCTGGAGATTCATTTCAACAGTTCCATGTTTCTATTTTTCAAATAGATTGAAAAGGTTATAAAGGTTATAAAGATAAAACAGAAGCCTAGAGTCTAATGATATGGGGGCAAAAGAGATATTCAGAGTTTATTACCGGTAAATCATAATCTAGGAAGAATGAAAGTTGGGGAAGCAAGAAAGAATTGATCATTTCATCATTATATTCCTGCTGGCTGGTAGACACATGGTAGTTACATTTGAAGGAGAGGTTCTGCCCCTTACCAGATTCTGCACAGTATCTTGCAAAGGGGTGCTCAGTAAGCATTAATTCTCTGGTACATTTTTTCAGACTCAGATATAGTCAACTCCATTAGATTACACCTAAGAACTTTTATTGAAAAATATGCTTCATGTGTTCAATTAACAGAGGAAGATGCAGACTCTTTCAAGATACTCTGCTGTAATTTCAAATGTATACATTATTTAGAATCTTCAGGCACATGAACAGAGTGGGTGGGCAGAAGGAAGACATTAATTTTAGGTTTTTCCCAGATGTAGAATGTTTCTGGTTTTCATGGGCCCATTTCTTGAATTTGATTATAATATGTTCAGGTAGCTTCATTCTACCCTTCTTTGTCCGTTTGGGCTGCTGTAACAAAAATACCATAGATTGGCTGACTTAAACAGCAGAAATTTCTTTCTCCCAGTTCTGGAGACTGGAATTCCAATTCAAGGTGCCAGCAGATTCAGTGTCTGTGTGGGGGGCCTATCTTCTTACATGGTGGAGAGGGCAAGAGAACTCTCTGGAATCTCTCTTATAAGGGCATTAATCTCATTCTTGAGGGCTCCATCCTGATGAGCTCAGCTAATCCTAATCATCTCCCAAAGGTCCACCTCCTAATACCTTCACTTTGAGGGTTAGGATTTCAACATACATACTTTTTGAGGGGGACATGACCATTAAAGAAGCCCACGATCTAGTGATGTGGGGCAAAGGCGGGTGTTCAGGGTTTATTGCTGGTACATCACAATCTAGGAAGATAAGATTTGGGGAAGCCAGGACATAAACTCTACCCTTTGAGGCAGGAGGTAAGGAAGTACTGCTAAAGAGAAGATTTCTTCTAGTTTTTCTGTCTCAGACATAGGGGAAGTTGAATGTAAGAGACTGATAGTATAGTATGGATAACATACATAATGTTCTAAGTTAATGTCTCCTGCACTTTAAACTTAATAAGGCAGCATTTTGTTTGTTTATGTCAAGGTGGTGAGCTGTTCGCATGGGGACAGAATTTACATGGCCAGCTTGGAGTTGGAAGACTGTTTGCCTCAATCCCCACACCACAGATTGTGGAGCACCTGTCAGGAGTCCCCTTGGTTCAGATTTCCGCGGGAAAAGCCCACAGCATGGCCTTATCCATGTCTGGAAACATTTACTCATGGGGAAGAAATGATTTGGGACAACTAGGCCTGGGCCACACTGACGGTATGGAACCATATTTTCAAGTTCACATTATCAGATATATTTGTCAGATAAGAGGTGAATTTAATACAAGCCTCCCTGTCAGAAATGGTTCAGATCTTCACGGTCATTGGTGCTGTTCTTCCTGGTTATCTCTGTCTTCAGGGCAGAAGCAATCTAGGAGACATGCATAGTGTGGAAGTTGTTGCTGTGAGTGAGATATGTGTCAGGGTTGTGTGGGCTATGGGAAGGAGCATTGCACTGATTGGAATACCTGGACTCTGCTTCCCACTTTGCAGTTAACTAATGGCAGGGCCTTACTAAGTCACTTAACTTCTCTAGGCCTTATTTTCTTTTTCTATGAAGTGATGCATTTGGATGAAATGACCTCCGAAGTGCCTTTGCACTTAAATGTCTAATACAAGTATATCCATATTAGGACAAAAGGATACTAATGATCTCTTTAAAAACTCACATATTCTAATCTTAGTCTATAAGGTATCAATTATATCTGTATACACAGATGTGGAAAAAAACCTGTAATTGCCACTGTCGAACTACTTTCACAAAGCAGATGGCAAACTTTTTTTTTTTAAAGATTATTTATTTATTTATTTGAGAGAGAGAGAGCACATAAGAGGGGGGAGGGTCGGGAGGGTCAGAGGGAGAAGCAGACTCCCTGCCAAGCGGGGAGCCCGATGCGGGACTCGATCCCGGGACTCCAGGATCATGACCTGAGCTGAAGGCAGTCGCTTAACCAACTGAGCCACCCAGGCGCCCTGGCAAACTTTCTTATGATCCTGAATACCCTCTTGGAGTTTTTAGGAGTTTTTAGGTATGGCAAATTGCTGCTTTATCAGCTGTAGTAATGCACCTGTTTTCCCCTGGGTTACTGGGTCATATACTGCATCTTTCCCCGACGTGGCCCAATGCTAATTACTTAGAAGCAACCACAGTCAATGTTAGAAAAATATTCAAAGCAGGGAAAGGAATAAAGAAGTTAAACTGTTTTTGCTGAACCTCTAAGTGCTTTGACAAGGAAATCGTGAGAAGAAAGGAGAGGTAGTATAGGGCAGGGACACTGTAGTAGAGAATTTAAAAGAAAAGAAAGAATCTTTATGTTCATTAAAAGGGTGATTTTAGATGCGAATTGGAAATACCAGATATGCTGCAATTAATCAAGTTAGGCTAACAGGAGAAGAGTGGGTTCTGGGAAGTGGCTTGACACTTTCACATGAGTTCTGCTGTGTGTGGCCCTTTGACCACTGCCTCACCCCCAGTTTTAGGCCAAAATAAATGTACCAACACAGAGGCCTTTCTTGTCAGAAGGTGTTGGGAACTGTGCTGCCAGCTGAGAGACAGTCCAGGTATGTTCCCAGTAGCGCGGAACTCCAGCGTCCTCTTTGGATCACGTCAGCTGTTCTTTTCCTTGCATAGGTGAAGATTTTCCTTCCCTTATTGAACCACTGGACAATCAGAAAGTTGAATTTCTTGCTTGTGGTGGCTCTCACACTGCCCTGCTCACAACGGTGCGTGTATCCTTGACTCCGATGGTAATTCTGGAAGAACTTTATAGTGGGAAAAGCACAAAATACCTGGGTGTGGGCACTTAGTATTTCCCTGAGAAGAAGGGTGACTTCCCACATGCAGGATTGTCCTACTGATAATTTGGGGGCTTTGCTTTGATGGTCTTTTTTTTAAAGATTTACTTATTTTAGAGAGTGTATGCACATGAGTGGGGGAAGGGCAGAGAGGGAGAGAAGCAGATTCCTCTTAGTGCAGAGCCCAATGTGGGGCTTGATCTCATGACCCTAAGATCATGACCTGAGCCAAAATCAAGAATCAGATACTTAACCTACTGAGCCACCCAGGATCCCCTGATAGTCCTTTTATTAATTCACTTATCAGTGAGTAGTCCTTTTGTTAATTATTCAGTAATATCGCTGAATTCAGTAATATTTTATTAATTATTAAGTAATATTGCTTACTGTTGTATTTTTCTAGAATCTGATGAGAAGTTTTCTTTCTTTAGGATGGGCTGGTATTTACTTTTGGTGCTGGAAAATATGGGCAACTTGGTCACAGTTCCACACAGAATGAATTAAGACCCCGTTTGGTGACTGAACTCGCTGGGAATAGGGTGACCCAGATAGCATGTGGAAGGTAAGTTGTAATGTGTCCGTGAAAATTGATGAAATCAATACCATAAATTTAGATAGGTGGTTTAATAAAACTCCCATCAGTTTTTGTTTTTTTTTTAAGATTTTTATTTATTTATTTGACAGAGAGAGACACAGCAAGAGAGGGAATATAAGCAAGGGGAGTGGGGGAGGGAGAAGCAGCCTTCCCACCGAGCAGAGAGCCCGATGCAGGGCTTGATCCCAGGATCCTGGGATCATGACCTGAGCTGAAGGCAGATGCTTAACGACTGAGCCACCCAGGCGCCCTCCCATCAGTTTTTTTGATTGAGATAAAAGTATCAAACATTTTCACATGGATGAAGATGCTTAATTTACATTATTAGATAATAATCTTTATTTTAATATATGTATTTGTTTTCATTGGCTTTTTTTTTTTTAAGATTTTATTTATTTCAGAGAGAGAGAGTACACAAGTGGGGGGAGACAGGCAGAGGGAGAGGGAGAAGCAGGCTCCCCACTGAGCAGGGAGCCCGATGCGGGGTTGATCCCAGGACCCTGAGATCATGACCTGAGCTGAAGGCAGATGCTTAACTGACAGAGCCACCCTGGTGCCCCTTCATTGGCTTTTTAAAAAAAATATTTATTTAAATAATCTCTATACCCATCGTGGGGCTAGAACTCCCGAGATCAAGAATTGCATGCTCCTCAGACTGAGCCAGGCAAGCATGCCCTGCATTGTTTTTTTTTTTTTTTAAATTGGAAAATTTATTCACTTTCTGTTGCCCCTTTAGTGAAAAAGCTTTGTAACTGTTCAAACACACTTTAACCTTTAAGAAAAATAGGTTATTTATTTGGGAAAAAATAAACATGAATCACAAAGGATTATTCATTGATGTAATGACTTTCTCACAACCCCTCAGACGCCAACATACTGTTAATATAATTCTTTCAGAGTGATCACAGTAGAGGATAAGACAAAGTCAGTGGTGGTTTGAGTAGAATATTCTGATAACTTTGATTTTTCACAGCCTTTTTTTTTTAAGTAAAAGTAGAAAAACTTGCTCAAACTCCTTGGCTTACTGAGTTATTCCTTGAACGTCATTCAGTCCATTTCTCACCAGTGGGATTTTGGGTTGTGAGGTTAAGAAATCTTTTCAATCAGATACTCTTCTTTTGGGCAATTCTTCCTTATTAAACACAAGCAAATTCAGGCTCTTATCTGAATATTGGGTTCATGTGTTTGTTTACCAAAATCGTTGTGTAAAAAATTCATGTATGTACTTTTCAGTCTATAGACCTATTATTTTATGATCCTGGAGTAAAATTACATATATGGATTTTATTAAAGTAGACCAGATTATTGGGATGGTATGATTCTCTGCATTCAAGGGAACATTACCACCACCTTGGATTTTTAACATTCTTTTAAGTAGCATGTATTAGAAGAGGAGTCTCACGTAAGAGATAGCTTAATACACACCAGGGCAGTTCCCCTACTAACAGGAGAATTCACTGGAAAGACACTCAGAACTCACTGAAAACTGTTAAAGTCAGATTCCCATTTATTATAAGAAATGGATACAAATTAGAACCAGTCAAAGGAAGTGATGTATAGGACAGAGTCTAGGAGGAGTCCAAACAAGGAGCTCCCGCTGTCCAGTCCCCTTGGAATCATGGATGGGATGGTATTACCTCCTCCCAGCCCAGAACATGACAATGTGTAGAGTATTGCCATTCAGGGAAGCACACCCAAGTCCAGAGTTAATTGGGGTTTCATTGCTTAGTCCTGATTGATTGGATCATTGCCTCTGGCAGTAAACTGTACATCCAGCCTCTCCCTCCCAGTAGGGTTGGGCTTCCATTTAGCCAGAGGGGCCCTTCCTGAGCCACCTGGGTCAACTGTAGGTGTGATCTCAGGAGCTTGCCATGAATAACAAAGACACTCCTATCACCTGGGAAATTCTAAGGGCTTAGAGGTTACCTCCCAGGAACTGAGGACAAAGGCAAATTCTTTACTTAATGCATTCTAGAATGGGAGAGGCCATGGAGCCAATCAGTAAGGGAATCATTATGGGTAAGGTCTTTGGGAAATAGAGGGAGCTCAGAAAGGATCACCTAATTCCATTTTAGGAATTAGTTTCACTCACCGGGTAACCTAATTTCAGCAGTTTACCATGTTGCTGCATACTCTCTTCATTGTAGATAATTGAGAATTGACCGTATGTGCTTTTATTTAATAGGCGGCACACACTTGCCTATGTTTCTGATTTGGGGAAAGTCTTTTCTTTTGGTTCTGGAAAAGAAGGACAACTGGGAAACGGTGGAACACATAATCAGCTGATACCACTTCCCATGAAATTGCCATCAAATGAAGAACTCAAATTTGGTAAATTTTGTAGGAGCACAGGATTTGGCATAAATACCACTGTCAAGAAACTGATTTTTCTAAGGGTGTAATGTGACAAGGAAAAAAAATGTATGACTAAGAAGGGAGTTTTTCTAAACATTGGTTTCATTTTTTTACTTGTAAAGAACTTAAAATATTCAGTATAATTAATGAAGTCAGAATAACCATTAGCGTTCTCTTACCCTTCAGATTAAGATTAATGTGGACCTAAAATGATAGAACATAAAATAGATGATATGGATTCAGAGGTATATGCCACAGGAGACCTATTAATTCCGTGGTGATTGGTTTTCACCTGGTAACTGACTCACAATCACCTAAACCCCCGAGAACGATGAGCAACTGATCTATGCCAGGCACTGTAACTGTGCTTAGCCCTTATGTGTGTTATCTCACCTGTCCTTTAACAGTTCGGGGAGATGTGTGCTCTCAGGCTCATTTTACTGGAGGGTACAGAAACTTGGAGGGTGAAAGGTTAGCCAGTTCTTACAGCCAGTCAGTGGTTTGGCTAGATTTGAACTGTGGCCTGAGCCACACACAGCTCCAAAACACTCTGCTATTGAAACTGTCCCAGAGTACTTTGGTTACATACTTCTGAAACCTTAGTTGGTGACCCAAGGTACCAGAATTCTCTTAAGTTCTTCTGGGAAAATGAACAGTAGGGTTATTTCTTTGAGCAGTTCATATATTTGATTTCTTACAACCACTTAGATTTTTGAAGTACTTATTTACATTCTTTATAGCCAGTAGTTACTGGTTAGATCTTGAGTTGTAGAATATGGCTTTTGGTAATGAGAGCTGAATTAAACCAGGGATCAGCTAACTAATCAAATACTGGTTTGACTATTTTATATATAAGCATTTACATTAATTATGTACGTCAGACTGATGTCACCTGTCAATCTTGTAGATCGCCTGTGTTTGCCAGCTAGACTTTACTCTGAAGGAAATGTATATTTCTGCTTCATGGGTGGGAAATGTGTTGAGTCTTTGTGTATCATAAAGAGAAAAGGACTAAGTTTGAGAAGAATCTGAAATGATTTAAATTGAGTGTGCATGTTTGTGCCAGTCACTTTCTGCACTCTTACTTTCTATGTCTCCCTTTCAGAAAGCCGTACTTCAGAAAAGGAGTTAATATTGATTGCTGGAGGGAATCAAAGTATTTTGCTCTGGATGGGAAAAAAGGTAAAAATAGATCTCTAGATGTTTTATAACTTGGTATTTTAAGCAAACTGAAGGGTTTCAGGATCCAAGTGTGGTGAATTCCAGAATCATTTAGTTCCTAAACTGACCTTTAGGGAATAAACATGGATCCTTTATTGTCAAAAATACATTAAGTATTGACTCAAAGAAATCAACAGATTTGTCTCTGGTAAGTGTCAAATCAGATTTCCTTAGATCTTTCCTTTGCCCTGCCAATGGTATTAGGTCGGTATCCTAGCAAGCCATCAGGTTGACATTCTAATATGATTTTGCTGGCCAGTACTAAAAAAGACCCCAGGTTCATGGGCCTGTGAATCATGAGTTCATAACCTCCTCACCCTACTTTGCTGAGGCAAACCAAGTTCCGCCCACTCCTACACAAAGGATCTTCCCCTTGAGGCTGCTCATTTTATTTTATTTATTTATTTATTTATTTAATTTTTTTTTTTTTTAAAGATTTTATTTATTTATCTGACAGAGAGACACAGCGAGAGAGGGAACACAAGCAGGGGGAGTGGGAGAGGGAGAAGCAGGCTTCCCGCGGAGCAGGGAGCCCGATGTGGGACTCGATCCCAGGACCCTGGGATCATGACCTGAGCTGAAGGCAGACGCTTAACGACTGAGCCACCCAGGCGCCCCCTTGAGGCTGCTCATTTTAATCTGATTATATGTGTAGGAACTGCTGAGTGTTGGAGCACTCAGAGAAATTTACCTTGGATTTAAGCCCCTTGGACAAGAAATTGACGACTAGGCAAACAAATGATCGATTACATCTTGGTGAAATCTTACTTCAGGATTTCCCACAGCTATATTATCCTCTTTAAAAATCAGTATTGGGGCGCATGGGTGGCTCAGTCGTTAAGTGTCTGCCTTCGGCTCGGGTCATGATCCCAGGGTCCTGGGATCGAGTCCCGCAAAAAAAAAAAAATCCGTATTATCCTGTATCCTTAGAATGTGCCTAAAAGTTGGACACCTATTTCTGTGGTGTCTAAATTGCTGTGTTTTACTTGCTTGTTTATGTACAGAATCCCTATGTTAATCTGAGGAGGAAAATTCCTACACTGAATGAAGGGACCGTAAAGAGGTGGATTGCTGATGTGGGGACTAAACAGTGGCAAAATACAAAAAGGTACAGCCCCTGTGTTTCTCTCCTCATAGAGTTCTGTAAAGTAGCCTTTCCCCCCCTGACTGGTTCTGCACAGTAAGAGATGTGAGGTTTTGTGGTCCACCATGGTCCATCAGCCAGAGGTCTTCAGAGAAACCGAACCGATAGATAGGGGTGTGTGTATGTGTGTGTCTGTGTGTGTGTAGACAGATTTATTTTTAAGGGTGTGTATATAGACAGATTTATTTTTAAGGAGTTGGCTTACGCAGTTGTAGGAACTGACTGTGTGTGTGTGTGTGTGTGTGTGTGTGTGTGTGTGTGTAGACAGACTTATTTTTAAGGCGTTGGCTTACGCAGTTGTAGGAACTGACAAGTGCTAAATAGGTAATGCAGGCCAGCAGGCTGGAGACCCAGGGGAGAGTTAGTACTGCAGCTTGAGTGAGAAGGCAGTCTGGAGGTGGAGGCAGAATTCTCCATGCCTGGGAACCTTTTTCTCTAAGGCCCTCCACGATTGGATGAGGCACACCCACATTATGGAGGGTGATCTGCTTTACTCAGAGTCTGTTGATTTGATTGTGAATCTCCTCTAAAAAATATCTTCACGGCAACATCTGGATTGGTGTTTGACCAGATATTTGGGTACCATAGCCTAGCCAAGTTGACACATTAAAATTAAACATCACAGCTAATATGTAAGCTCCTTGAGGTCAGCTTTCTTTACTGGAGGACCTCTCTGGATCTCTGATATGTTTGCATATATTGTGACTGTTTTGAGTAGGAGATACAACCTATATCATTTCCCAACACTCTTAGACCTTAGAACCACTTGTCTGTGGACCTCCTCTTCACAGCTGAACAGTGTGGGCAGTCTTGGCTTAAAATGATACAACTCCTACCATCTTTAAAGATTATACTTAACTTTTACAAACGTTTCCTTTTAGAGCTACTTTTAGATATGGTTTCCTAATTGCAAAAAGTAGTTGTATAAAATAGCTGCATCACAATCTGCATGGTCGATCAGGAACTGTGCTGGTGACTGCACTCACCTTGCTGGGTGCTGCCTAATGTGTGGAACTGTCAAAACACTGTGTCGTACTCCTGAAACCTAGATGACATTCTCCATCAACTGTACTTCAATAATTTAAAAAAAACTACTCGTGCTATTACTTCCAAGTTGGAACTGAGCCTACTCTCCTCACTCCCATCCTCCCATTTAGTTTCTGGTAATTTTTTTCTGTCCCGCTTAAGTGGAACAAAAATAAATCGGGCTTGGAGAGCTGGGTGGGATGGGAATGTCTTACTTATTCAAGGACAAACCCTAGGTCCGTCCTTTTCCTCTTTCCCTGTGGCTTCTCTGAGTACACACCTTTTTATTACTCACATCTGCCACTGAAATTTTGAGATTGGGAAAATGGAATAGACTTTTAGATGCCCAAGGCAGAATGCAAACAAATCAGAGACAGAAAAGTTTGAAGGATGGTTAGATGTTTTATTTATCATATCTCATGCTATAAGGAGGCATACAGTATGATTTGTTTTAACCACCATCTTATTCCTAAAACAGGGAAATCAGAGAGATATTTTCATCTCCTGCTTGTCTGACTGGAAGTTTTTTAAGGGAAAGGTAATATTTATAATATATTTATAAAATTTAAGATCCTGTTAAAAATACTGTGTACAGCATGGTGACTATAGTTAATGGATTATATATTTGAAAGTTGCTAAGATAGTAGATCTTGAATGTATTCATTATAAAAAAAAAATTGGGGGACATCTGGGTGTCTCAGTGGTTAAGCGTCTGCCTTTGGCTCAGGTCATGGTCCCAGGGTGCTGGGATTGAGCCCCGCATCGGGCTCCCTGCTCAGTGGGGAGTCTGCTTCTCCCTCCCCTTGCTCTTGTGCTTGTGCTCTCTCTCTCTCTTCCTCCTTCTCAAATAAATATTTATAAAAAGGAAAAAAAATTTTAACTATGTGGTGATGGATGTCAGCTAGACTAATTGGTAATTATTTTGCAATATATATACATACGTCAATTCATTATGTTATACACACCTGAAACTAATAAAATGTTATACTGTATTTCAATAAAATGAAAGATTGTAAAGAAAACGGCATGAGGGTAAAATAATTGGCTCTGTGTTTGTCTTTTTAAAAATTAACTTTTTGGGCGCCTGGGTGGCTCAGTTGGTTGAGCGACTGCCTTCGGCTCAGGTCATGATCCTGGAGTCCCGGGATCGAGTCCCTCATCGGGCTCCCTGCTCGGCAGGGAGTCTGCTTCTCCCTCTGACCCTCCTCCCTCTCATGCTCTCTGTCTCTCATTCTCTCTGTCTCAAATAAATAAGTGAAATCTTTAAAAAAATAAAAAATAAATAAAAATTAACTTTTAAAAAAATTTTTATTTCTGTTCTAGAGAGAGAGCATGCACACGTGTGCGGGGTGGGAGGCAAGAGGGAGAGGGAAAGAGAGAATCTCAAGCAGACTCCCCACTGAGCGTGGATCCCAACATGGGTCTCGATCTCACAACCCTGAGATTATGACCTCAGAAATCAAAGGTTGGACACCTAACTGACTGAGCCACCCAGGCACCCCTAAAAATTAACTTTTTGTAATGAAAGCAAATACATGCGCACTGTAGAAAATGTCAAAAATAAAGACCTGTGACCGAAAAAAAAAAAATGAAAATCACCCATAATCCACCACTTAAGAGGAATAGCTTTTGTGTATATATCTTTTTTTGTGATGTATTTTTTTTCTAAAAATGTGATTGTTATTTTATATATTACTTTATACTTAATGTACTTGTCCATTTCCTATTTTATTCAGTTCATATTATTCAGTAGTTTTCTTTAATGTCATTGTAATGGCTGCATGGTATTCCATGGAAGGACATACCTTAATTAATTTACAATTCACTGTTACAAGGTGTTAAGGTTTCTTTGAATTTTTAAATATGAAAGAACGACTTTGCACCTCTTCCTAAATGTTTATATATTTATCTTAAAAATGTTTTCTCTTTTGAGACACTAAATATTTGTATTATTTTATAATGTGTCTATTTCTAAGACATTGAACATAAATATGTTAAGAATAAATAATTCACAAGATAACTTAAACACTTCATTAGTAATTTTTTTTTAAAGATTTTATTTGAGAGAGAGAAAGAGAGAGAGAAGGCATGAGCCAGAGAGAGAGGGAGAAGCAGGCTCCCCGTTGAGCAGGGACCTCAATCCTGGGATCATGACGTGAGCCGAAGGCGGACGCTTAACTGACTGAGCCACCCAGGCGCCCCTCTTTAGTAATTTTTTGTTGCAACACTAAGAATTTACTGCTCTGAAGCCCCCTCATCTTTTTTGAAAGGTTTATTTATTTATTTATTAGAGAGGGAGAGCCAGCATGAGTGGGAGGGGCAAAGGGAGCGGGAGAGAGAATCTTAAGCAGGCTCTATGCTGAGTGTGGAGCCTGAGGTGGGGCTCAATCACGTATGTATGACCTGAGCCAAAACCGAGTCAGATGCTTAACTGACTGTGCCACCCAGGTGTCCCTGAAGTCCCCTTTTTTGATCCTGACTTTCAGTTCACGTAACTGGGAGAAATGGTCATTTTTTTCAGAAATGGGGAAAAACCTTTTTGTGTGTGTGTGTGTGGCTGTTTTTGTAAACTAAGTATTTAAGATAACATAATATCTGAGTTAAACTTGGATAGTATATATATTGTTAATGTGGTTTTGATATTTTTTAGCCTTTTAGAAATAATCATAAGTGGTCAACTACATTTCAACTGAATTTATATTTAGCCAAGTTATCTTTATTGTAAAGTTGAGGGAAAAAGGAATTTTATTGAAATGAAATAAGGTTTAGAAGAAACGCTTCATCTGGATAAATAATCTGATAAAATACTTAATTTTGAAGTGTCTTGTTCCATTTACTTATCCATCTACTTTTAAATTTATCTTCCTTCTATAGAAAAGCTGCAGAAACAATGCTTATTCACTTGGACTTAAATAAAGCAAGAAACGCTTTTAAAGAGTTAACCCAGAAGGACTGGATTGCTAACACGGTGGTATTCTTTAAATTCTTATTTAGAAAAAGAAAATACATAAAACATTTTTTTGTAAGAATTCAGAATTTGAGAAGAAATACTTTGTTTGAGGAGAGTCTCTGAGACTGTAGCACATCCAGATTCGGTGAAATTCAGGTAGCATTCGGAAGTTGGCCCCCTTGTGGTGAAATGGTTGCTCTGGTAATCACGTAGATGACAAATAGTCTAAATGGTTCATCTGTACACACACACACACACACACACACACACGCACCTATAAATAGATGCATACACTCTCTAGAGGGAATTTTGTCAGCTCATGGCTATAAGGAAGATGATTGAAGGATTTCTTGAGATTGGTACACTAGAATACGAACAACATGTTATTTACAATTATTTTAAACGTAAGTGTAGAAATGAGAACACTTTTTGGTATGAACATCCCCCTTACCTGGGACTACCTGGATTCTTTTTCTCTGTTTTGTTCTATTGCACTTCCTTTCTATAGGTCCTAGAATGTTCTTTGGGGGATTGTTGCTTGTTTCAGTACTGTTATTATTGTCTTTAGTTTCCCACTTTGCCAAATGCTCTGAACATGTTTCCTTTATTAGGTTAGCCTTTCTTGATGTAGCCTTTATTAATTTATTTCTCTGTTCTCTTATACTGGTTGATCTAGGGGTAGTATTTTTTATGTTCTCTCAATCTGTTTCTTTCCTGGTCTCACTCTCATTCCTTTTCTCTCTCTCTCTCTTTCACCTCTCTCTCTCTCTGGGCCCCTCTCCCTTTTCTCCCCTCCCCTCCGCTCTGCTCTCTTCTCTCCCCTCCCCCCTTCTTCCTCCCTGTCCCCCCTTCCCCTCTCTCCATTCCCTTCTCCCTCCCTCTCCCCCTTCTCCTGCTCATTTGCTCTTGGCCCCTGTTTCTGTACCTTTCCTTCTCTTTCTCTCTCAGTCTCCCTGTCATCTCTCCCTCCTTCCTCTCCTGCTTCACCTGTTCTGCTGTATCCTCCAAAACCAACATTCTCTATCTGAGCTTCAGGGTCTCTTTACACACACTCCTTTCTCTTGAGGGAAGATGAAAAGTTTAATTCTGTTAACCTTGGCAGAACCATGGCCCTATTAGAGGTCTGAGGTAAAATGGATCCCCAATTACATACCCTTATCAGGACTCTGCAGCATTTAGTAGGAAGATCACCACTTCTGCATCTGTGGAGGGAAGAATTTGGGCCAATTCCTCACTAGAGCTAATTATACCTTGGTTGTGCCAGAACAATATTGTATGATACGCAGTCGATGTAATCGTAGAGCAGTCTTACGTTATTTCAGACCAGAGAGTTGGCTCAGAAGACCTGTAATGTTTCTATTTTGAGGTTTCTGTGACACAGATTCACAGACTTTTGCAGTTCATTTCTTTACTCAGCAGACACTTGAATGCTTGCTCTGTGTAGGGCACTGTGGTGCGGACTCCTGGTGAAAATGAAAGAGACATGCTCCCTGTCTTATAAAACAGTTAGGGACGCAGACACAAACATGCAGGTATTAGTGGGAAGACTGGGTGTGTTTTACGTTCCACTGTCTTCCCTAATGCCTCACTTAGAACCTAGTTAGTGAATAATAATTTCTGGATGAATGAATTCAGTCATCACTAGGGCAGTGGATGGTCATCTCTACTTAGAGTACTCAAAACAAGGTCCCCAGAGGAAGTACGAGTTTACCATGTGCCTACCTCAGAAAGGTCATTCCTGGCAGTCAGGGAAGTACACTGATGCACAAGTGTGTGGAACCAGATGGCTGAAGTGAGAGGATCACAGAGTTCTGCAGGGTTGGGGGGAGGTTGGGAGGTTTGGTGATGTGGCAGCTGATGAGCACCGAGGTAGGAGGGGGGTGTGATACCGAGAGGTGTTAAAATAGAGTAGTTGGGTATGTGTACTCCAAAGACTGAACCATGTAGTAGGAGCCTGGCATAGTGTTTTGATATAAAAGTAGATAATTATAAGAATTTGTACATTTAGAGATCTCATTTAGCTCATATCATAATTTAATAGTTAAGTTTGGGCTTTGGAGTCAGAAAGATCCAGAAGAGGTTCCCACTTAGTTCTGTGCCCTTGAGCAGATAGAGATTTCCTATCTATAAAATGGGGTTAATAATACCATATATGTTCTTAAAGAACTACAAGGATTAAATGACCTAATTAACATATGTAAATCACTTAGCTTAATATCTGACAAATGAGTATTCTACAGCTTCTCACTGGGTTTTGAAACAAATTATTTCTGTTATCTGGGCACATCTAACATAAACATTCAGAATTGCATTTGAATTTTTCTTGAACACTTGCATTCTGAATTGGGGAAATGGTAAACGGATATTGGAAGGATTAAAAGCTTGAGTTTGTAGTGGAGAGAGTTTGTGATGAGGCAGGTGGTCCTGTGAGGAAGCTATGTTGGTTTATGTTGCTGGAGTTACTGCTTTTTGTTTTTGTGGGGTTATTAATTACATGTTACTTTTTGGGGTTCTTACACGTTCTTTTTCTTTAAAGATAATGAGGTGTGATAGTGGAATGAGGGGGTAGAATGTAGTATTTATTATTGGGAGGGCTGCCTGTTAGTTCTGAATTCCTCGTTCATCCAGTATAACTCTTAGATGATTTCTTCTCCACCTCCTTCATGCTTCACAGCAATTAAATGGGATAACGCTTGTCACGTATCTGCACCTCAGGTAGTTGGGATGCTATGTGAGATTGGATGTAAACATGGGTTTTAGGACTGAATGATTATTCCAGTTTCTTGGTGGAATGAAACTCCAGGTTCTAGATTTTATTTTTTTACAAGTTGCATCCAGTTCTTGCTGTTTTTTGAGTGTCTTTTTTTTCCCTGATCCTTTTTGACCACAGATAACCACATGTCTCAGGGATAATCTGCTCAAAAACCTTCCATTTCATTCTCCACACCAAGAAGCTTTAGAGATTTTCTTCCTTCTCCCTGAATGTCCCATGATGCATGATTATAACAACTGGGAGAGCCTGGTGGTTCCGTTTGCAGAGGCTGTTTGTGCCATGAGTGACCAGTCTTTAGGGGTTCTGGGTAAGACTGATGATTTACATTTGAAAATACTCTAACCACCCTCTCAGTGGAAACGCACCCCTGGTAAAGTTAGAGGAAAACTTAAGTAATTGTAAATATGTTCCTGTTTTTTTTTTTAGTTCATATTCTTAGCATATTGTAAAGGTGCTGTAGTAATTATTATAGTCATCCAAAATAGATTGTTTTACTACCTTTTTAGAGTTCTTGTAATGGTACGTGTGTGGTTTGGTCATGAGGTCCTTTGTTCTCAACTTTTCATTATGAAAAATGTCATACATAGAAGTTGAAGGAACAGTACATGAAGATCCATATACCCTCTACCTTAGAGCCAACGATTGTTAACCTCTTGCCATGTGTGCTTCTCTCTTTATGAGCAGATTATCTTTTATTTTTGCTGAAGTACTTGAAAGTAAGTTGGAAACATCATGACATTTCACCCATAGTATTTCAGCATACATCTCTTAAGAATAGGAGATCCTACATTGCCACATCATTATCACACCTAATAAAATTAGTCCATATTTCCATAATATCCAGGCCATATTCAAATTTCTGCACTTGCCCCATTTTACAGCCCCCCTTTTTTTTTTTTTTTTGTTAAGAGTCTAGGTCAGTTGTCCTGTAGAACACCTCTACATCTAAATCTGTCTGATTATTTCCACTTTTCCCTGTATTTCGAGTACACTTGAAGTACCTTTCCCTGTATTTAGAGTACACTGGAAGTCAGGTCTAGGGGCTTGAGTAGATTTTAATGAGGTTTTTGACACAAGCAGCATATTCAGCCCAAGGAAGTCCATTTTTTTATTTTTTTAAAGATTTTATTTATTTATTTGACAGAGAGAGAGCGAGAGCAGGAACACAAGCAGGGGGAGTGGGAGAGGGAGAAGCAGGCTTCCTGCTGAGCAGGGAGCCCGATGTGGGGCTCGATCCCAGGACCCTGGGATCATGACCTGAGCCGAAGGCAGACATTTAACGACTGAGCCACCCAGGCGCCCCAGGAAGTCCATTTTTTCTTATGTTTTATTAAATCTAGGTAAGTGATGAAAAGCTAGTTTAAAGCATTTTTTGGTTTTTTACAATGCTGAGAGGTGCTTGTGTTTTTTTTTTCTTCTTCTTTTCAGTAAACACTAGGACCGACATGGGGCTTGAACTCATGACCCTGAGATTAAGAGTTACGTGCTCTATATACCCAGCCAGACAGCCCCAGAGTTGTTTTCTTTAAAGTAGGCTCCACGCCTAATGTGGGGCTTGAACTCAAAACCATGAGATTGAGTTGCATGCTCTACCGACTGAGTCAGCCAGGCGCCCTGAGCGGTGTTTTTTTTTTAATTTTTTTTTTTTTTTTAATTCATGAAAGTCAGAGAGAGAGAGAGAGAGAGGCAGAGGCAGAGGGAGAGAAGCAGGCTCCCCGCCTAGCAGGGAGCCCGATGCGGGACTTGATCCCAGGACCCTGGGATCATGACCTGAGCCGAAGGCAGACGCTTAACCATCTGAGCCACCCAGGTGCCCGAGCGGTGTTTTTTTAAGAGTTAAAAACTCATGCTGGGAGTGAGAAAAGAAAGTTGTGCAATTGTGATTAATTCTTAAATCGGTTTTTAAAACAGCATGCTATTTTATCCGGGCAAAAAAAAAAAAAAAAAAGTGACTCATCTTGTCGGGATTTTCCCCACAAATTAATTAGATTAAGTTTGTGGTTTCGTTACTGTCAAGGGATTTTTCTCAAGGACATAAAATTCGTAAACTTTTATTACAGTTGTATGTACTAAAAAGCTGATCACAGATGTGTTTTTTGTAACTCTGATACACACGAGAAATGACATGCCAACAGTGACTTACCTTTGTATCCCTCAGAGGAGTACTGGGCGTCTCTGCAGGAACCCGCGTTCATCAGGCTGGTCCAGATGTTTAAAAGAGCCATCACTGCTCAGATGCACTACTGGACCGAAAGCTCTGAGAACAACTACCACGTTAAGGCTCTCCTAGAAATACTGAAAAAGCTGCATAGGGTAAGGGCTCTTTCAGACACTCATGGAGTTTTATTTTGCTGTCAAAAGTCCCTTGGTTTCAACTGGCCTGCATCTTAAGCAGACTCAGGAAACACATTTATATTGCTATTTTTAAATTTTTGTTTTCTGTGAGTTAAGTCATGCATATCAAGGAGTGTATGTACTTAGCTGTGTGCAGTTTGAAGAAAAGTAATGAGACAGACAGTAGTGTAACTACTGCCCATGTTATTAACAAGGACACCGTTGTCAGGACTTAGAAATGCCCGTGTATCTCACACCCCCTCACCTGCAGATAGCCCTGACCCTAGATTGGGGGCTGACCATTTCCTTTGCTGTTTTAGGATTATATGTATTTCTAGAGACCGTGTTGCTTAATTTTGCTGTTTTTGAAATCTATATGAATGGAATACATGCTTGTTGTGTAATACTTTGTTTTATAGATTCATCCAGGTTAATATTTATGGCTGTATTTCATTCATTTTCATTTCTGTATTATAGTCCATAGTGTGAATCTTCCCATAATCATCCATTCCGGTATTGAGATGGATATATGTGCTGCTTGCAGTTCTTTTGGGGAGGAGGTGTTCTTCTTTGAGAAAACATACTGCTGTAAATATTTTTGTACATATCTCTTGGCATGTGTGTGTTAAGAGTTGGCTTTTAGTTTCCACACCTAGTTCTGGCATTGATAGCCTGTAGGATATGTGTGTGTTCTTCGTTGGTAGTGATAAACTGCCTTCCAGAATGGTTGGACTAATCTCAGTCCTCTCCAGGAGATGATGAGAATACCTGCTACTCCAAGTCTAACTTTAAAATTTGGAAAATGTTTTCAGTATTAAGTGATACCAAATTATGATTTTAATTCTGTTTCCCTGGTTCTAATACATGAGAACATGTTGTCATATTTATAATTGCAGTACTTGTTTCCTCTTCTGTAAAGTGTCTGACTTTTGTTCAGTTTAAATGTATCGTTTGACTTTTTTTTTTTTAACTGAGTATAGGAGTTCTTTTTATTTTGTAAATGAGTTCTTTGTCAGTTATGTGTGTTGCAGAGATCATACCCCAGTTTGTTGTCTGTCTGTTCACTTTGTGGTGTTTTGTTTTGCTTTTTTGATGAACCCACGTTCTTAGTTTGAATACAAATAAATCTACTCCTTTATAGTTCTTACTCTCTGGGTCTTGTTTTAAGCTTTGTTTTTCCTTCCCATTGTTAAGTTAATCACCTTAAGTCTGGAGGCAGTGGGGTTTCCGTTGGAGCCACAACCACTGCCCTCTGAGCTCATGGCGTGGAAGCTGCTGGAGGCAGCACAAAAATGAATGGGTGAGGCTACGTCCCAAACAAGACTTGGGCCTGAAGGCTGCCCTAGGTTGACTGATAACAGGCATGACAGCTGGGGCCAGAAGAAGAGCACAAACAGAGGCCCATCTCCCTATGTCTAATATTTAGAAGGTTAGAAATCTAGATAGTAAACCGTGGAATAAATTTATTCTAAAGTAAAATATACCCTACCCGCCCATCTTGACAAATAAACCTTCCTAATGACAGGGGAGGCCAGAACTGAATTTAGAAATCTCAGACTCTTGACAGAGTTTTGCATGAGAGGTGGAGGCTCAGACAGAAGGCCTCCCCAAGTCCTCTGCCTTCTTTTCCTACCTTGGTTTTGTCCCACATTTGGGGTATCATGGACCCATATGTGGACACCTCAGCCCATCTGTCTGCATTCCATCCCTGCCTCCACAGCAGCCGCACCGTAGCCATCTCTAGGGCCTAGGGGTGTGCTCAGCTCTAATACAGTCCACTCTCCAGAGACCACACAGGGGAAGAGGCCTGCGCATGTGGTCAGGTCCCATTGGCCCTGCAGGCGCCTTACTTTTACTTTTTTGAGAAGGGGATTGGCTGGATTCCAGAAGGCCAGGGCAAGGACCAAGAAATAAATCATAGACTTGGATCAGAGGCCACTTTTTTTTTTTTTTTTAAGATTTTATTTATTTGACAGAGAGACACAGTGAGAGAGGGAACACAAGCAGGGGGCGTGGAAGAGGGAGAAGCAGGCTCTCCGCCAAGCAGGGAGCCCGATGCGGGGCTCGATCCCAGGACCCCGGGATCATGACCTGAGCTGAAGGCAGATGCTTAACGACTGAGCCACCCAGGCGCCCCAGCAGAGGCCACTCTTAACCCAGGTCTAAAGGGAGTATTGATTTTTAGCTTTGGCTTTTACTATTTGGTGTTTAATCCAGTTGGAAATTTATTTTAAATTAATTTTTGTTATTTTCCATATGAAAACAATTACCTAGCACCACTTACTGAAATTCTGTCCCTTCCCTAATGATAGGCAATGCAAACAAAAAAATCTTACTGGAAATTTGATTGGAGTTGCATTGAGTCTGTATTTCATTTTGGGGAGAATTGACATCTTCACTATTGTTAATCTTCGTGGTGTCTATTTTTTCCACTTATTAGGTAGTCTTTAAAGTCTTGCAATAAAATTTTGTTATTTTACTGTGGAAGTCTAGGCTATGTTTAGTTAAATCTATTCCACCATATTTAATTTTTTTTAGATTTTGTAGATGGTAAATTTTAAAAATTATATTATCTCTCGTTTGTAGGAATGCATTTATATATTTGCATTTATTATATATATACATATATATTATAATTTCCACATTATATCTAATAACTTACCTGTAGATTATTTTGTATTTCCTATGCAGCTAATCATATCTTTGGAAAAAAAAATTTTTTTTTTCCCACATTTTATTACTTTCCTTTGCTGTGTTGCACTGGTTAAACCTTCCTGTACAATGTTGAATAGAAGTGTTGGCAATAGTAGGTTCCTTATTTTGTTTGTGATTTTATTTATTTATTTTTAAAGATTTTATTTTATTATGAAGTAATCTGTACACCCAATGTGGGGCTTGAACTCAAAACCCCAGGATCAAGAATCGCATGCTCTGCAGACTGAGCCAGCCAGGTGCCCCTTGTTTGTGATTTTAAAGGAAAAATTGGATATCACTATTAAATAGGATATTTACTGTGGGGTTTTTGAAAATAACCCTTTTGGGTAAAGGATGTTCCTAAATCATTAAATATTTTAAGTCCACACAAATATTGACTCTCTCCTTTCCTACTGAAATTCCAGTTATTTATATGTCTGACTTTCTCACTCTGTCTTCCATGTCTCTTAACGTTTCTGTCATATTTTCCATCTCTCTGTGTGATTGCATCCCATTCTGGATGACTTCTTCAGCCATATCTTTCTGTCCATGAAATCTATTTTTAGTGATTTCTGTTTGCTAATAAAACTGCCCTTTGAGTTTTTATTCCAAGTATTATGTTTTCCACTTCCAAAAGTTCCCATTGTTTCTTTGAAATTTTTTTTCTTGGTCATTATTTAGGATATCTTCATCTTTTATTTTCAAGCTTCCCTTTTGCTTATTTAAATCTATATGCGTTATACCTCTGGTATCTGAAGTCTTTACAGGTCAGCTTTGCCCTCTCTTGCTTCCACTGAATCTTCCTCATAGTGCCTTCTTGATCGTGTTTTCTGACTCTGTGTGTGTGTGTGTGTGTGTGTGGTATTTGCTTTGGAACATTATCTTTTGGAATATTTTGAGGGCTGTGTTTCTCCAGGGAGGATTTGCTTCTACCAGACTCTGGGAGACACCACCTCAGTTTGGTACTACCTTAAATTAAATTCTTGGCTTGAAGCTCTTTAGATCTCTAGGTGTGGTCTGAATGTGGTGTGTGAATTTTCAGGAAAGTGCTTTCGTGATTGCAAATGCTGTAGGTGACATTTTTTTCTGCAACTTGGCACCATTTTAACTAGCTGCAGTTTGCTTCCTGGGCTTGGGGTCAAGGTGTGGGGATGGGCTCTTCATTTCTAGTTTACTCTCACTCTGATGGGTTAGCCCTTTTGGATCCCAGATTTATGAGTTGGCGTTCTATTATTGGCCCCATAATTTGAACAGAGTCTAGGTTTTGTTTATTTCCCCAAAGCCCCAACAATTCCAAACTGAAGTTCAAGTTCACCAGGTTTGGCAAATATTCTCAAGGCAAATGCCACTTTCACCTTGTTTTTGACCTGATTATTTCGTATCTACTTAGAATATTGGTGTTGCATTAAAAATATTTGTTTACACTTTATCCTGTATTTCTAGTTGTTTTCAGCAAATCAAGATACCTAATCTGCTGTCTGCTTTTAAAAAAGAATTCTGCTGTACTGCTGAAAAGCAGTGCCCATCTTTGGATGTTTTTAAAGGTTTTGTACAAAAGAGAAATATTAATAAAAAAAATAGTTTGGGTTTTGAAAAATTGACCGAAGAGCTCGGGGAAAGTATATTCTAATGAGCTTTTTCCATTTACAAAAAAAGAATCCTGAGAAATACTGAAGCAGCAACAAAAATCCTCAAGGGATCCTGCTTTACCTTTGACTCTAACAGTGACATTAGATTATTTGTCAGGCTCCCTCCCCAACCTCAGAAAGGAGACCACATTCGGAAGCTGCAAGGATAAAACACCCACTTTTTCCATAACTGGGGATGTGCAGGACTGAGAGCAGCAGGGTCCAGGGGACCATATTACGGGGTTGAAACAGCTTCATGATTCTGTGGGTGGTGGTACTGGGAGGCTTGGATCATTTGGGGTCTGGGCCAGGGTTAGTGAGAATATTCCAGGTGAATGAAAGCCAAGAGGGGCTTTTAGAGGACCTCTTGAGAATGAGTCATTTAGGCCAAGTCTGTGCCCATCTGTGTCAAATACTGATGGTCACTCATGGCCAAAGCATCTAGTGTCATTATCAGTGTCTTCACTGACTGCTGGTTAGCACTGTTGCAGGGTGTCTATGTGCATGTCATGACCCCAGTCATCGGGGATGGAAGGCTGGAAAACAGCCCCACAGTTGAGGAGGGGAATGTTCCACACATGCCTTCCAGAGGGGGATATCTGTAAATCGTATATTGTTAAGCTCTGAAGAATATAACATGAAATATTGGGCCCCAGAGTACTTCGGATTCATATTGCACTGTATTTTTCTCTGGACCTAAAATTCTTTAAAGCTTTTCTATGAATTAAAAGTAAGTAGGAGTTTATTGCATATCATCAATTTCTGCTATTAAATCATAGGTATTCTTTATGTTCCTGAAAATCTGGGGCTTTGCCAGTGGAGGTATTGTATAGAACTTTATATTCTGGTCATTGGAAGAGTGTTTATTTTGGTATTTATGCTGATAATCTAAGTAATAGGCATAAAGCAGAATTGTCTTTACATATAAAACTTTCTCACAGGCCATATTTTATTAAAGGTAAACCAGGCTGTGTGTCAACTGCCTGAAAATATTTTCAAAGTAAATGAGCTTACACACTGGCTTGATTTTTATGGGGATGCATACAGAAGGTCTGCTTGGAAAATTAACTCCGTAAGTATGGCGTGTTTATTATTTATTTATTTATTCATTTTGTAAAGATTTTATTTTTTTAAAGTAATCTCTACACCCAGTGTGGGGCTCAAACTCACAACCCCTGAAATTAAAAGTTGCATGTTCCACCGACTAAGCCAGCCAGGCACCAGTTGTGGTATGTTCAAAGGGGGAAGTTGATCACCAGTGCGTTGATGTAGGTATTTGTGCCGAAACTCTGTGCATGGGTTTCCAAATATCCTTGCACCCTGCAAAATTGCTCAATAGAAATCACAGGGCTTACAGGAAAGGCGAGATCTCAGACCCCTCAAAACCAGTGCAATTTTGTAGGCAGAACCCTAAGAGAAAAGTGGTTACTACCTTAGATCACTTGGGTCAACCAGGCAAGCTGCTTGTGGAGAGTGCCATGAGAATATGAAAATGCACCAAACAAAAGGGTAGATACCTGTTCACACTCTAATGAGAGGATTGGTAGTACTGAGATAACACAGATGCAAGTGGGGCTCTCTTAGGTGGGTATACAGGGCAGTATGACCCACCAGGAGCCAACAGAATAGGGCTGCAACTTTAGGGGTGGCTCTGGGTGTATCCTTTTATTTTCTTAAAGCTAAAGGGCTGTTGCTGCCAGTTCAGCAGCTGACCTGAGATTTTTTTCCTTCTCTCAAGATTGTAATTCTGCTCCTACCACATCGACCCTTGACTGGCAGAAATCATGTATGAGCTCATCAGCTGTCTACATTATATCCTTCCCCTATTTACTAAGTGCATCTGAACTAATTTACATTTCACAGGTGCACAGTGCAGCAGAACAAACTCTTTGGGAAAGTGTCTAGAGTTTATAATTGATTGCTAAATTAAATAAGGCACTGAAAAATCCTAGGTTTATTTTTATTTATATATATATTTTTAAATACTAGGTTTACATGCCTTTCATTGATACATACAAAACATTTTCTTAGAATTTTAGATATCTAAGTACTACTGGCCAGCAATTTGGATTGCTTTGGCTAGAACGGAGACCTTTATCAGGGATTTTAGGCTGTGAGTTAAGGTGTAAGATTTCTCTGTTCTTTCATTTGTCAGAATTCTTGTCTTTTCCATTTTTAGGACACTTCAGTAGACACTCAGTATCCAGTCATATTCAGTCATTTTCCGTTTATCTTTAATATTCTGTCGAAAATCAAACTACTGTACGCAGATTCGCTTTTAAAAATACAGGTATGTATGCCTATTTCTTTGTCTTCGTAAACAAATCAAATGATAAATGCCTTCTTAAATATACAATATTTTGGAGGTTGATAACCTTGAAACCAATGGTTGTAACACTCATGGAGCTTAGACTCTAATGAAGGTGGCAAGAAAGACTGTCATAATTTGGATTGGCTTGGCCTTGAGGCACATTAGGGCCTCAGTAGTGGAGGAGAGAGCATGGACAGCTGACCTAGTTGTGGGGCTTTTACCTTGAGGTTGGGCCCTGTATACAGGCCTCTGTGTGGTCCTCAAAGAGGCATAGCAGATGGGCTTGATTGGGGTTAGCAAACCCATATTTAAGGAGCCCAGTCTAATGAAAAAACAGAGCAGTGGGAATAGAGGTGACAGAGAATTCTTGAAATGCAGACACACATAGATGGCTGGTAGTCTAATGGTGCCATGATCAAGGTTTGTAAAAAGGATCCTCTTTTCAGTGAACTGTCATGAGGTGAGTTGGTTCTGTTTGTCAGCATATCCAAAAAGTGATTTTGAACTTAAAACTGGACTATTGAAAATGCCTCCAGAAACGAAAGTGCCCAAGAGTGTTAGCTCTTATTATCACTTTTGTATATGCATCTGGATATGTATAGATATGAATCATATTCAAATATATGTCATAACAGTAGATACTTTTACATAATACAGTTAACCATTTTAAAACAAAATGGGAAATTGATTTATGAATATGACCGTTGATGAAATATTTAACAAAGGAAAATGGAAGGTAAAAAGGTACAAGAACTTTATTTTCCTTCAACTCTTATAACTCTTCTCTCCTAATTTTAAACAGGCCTCCAGTAATAATTTTATGGACCCAGTATTTGTTCATTGTTGTCCTGAGAGCCTTAGACTTGAATGGTCTCAAATTGCCATTTGGTCATCTAGACAATCATTGTGTGTGTGTGCGTGTGCGTCTGTCTTTCTGTCTCATATGTAACTTCTTAGATTATCTGTGCTCTAAAATCTCTTGTTGGGTTTTCCTCCTAGAATAGGAAACCTTTTTTGTGTGTGATTATTTTTTTTTAATTTAATTTTATTATGTTAGTCACCATACAGTACATCATTAATTTTTTTTTTTTTAAAGATTTTATTTATTTATTTGAGAGAGAGAATGAGATAGAGCATGAGAGGGGGGAGGGTCCAAGGGAGAAGCAGGCTCCCCGCTGAGCAGGGAGCCCGATGCAGGACTCGATCCCGGGACTCCAGGATCATGACCTGAGCCGAAGGCAGTTGCTCAACCAACTGAGCCACCCAGGCGCCCTACATCATTAATTTTTGATGTAGTGTTCCATGATTCATTGTTTGCATATAACACCCAGTGCTCCATGCAATACGTGCCCTCCTTAATACCCATCACTGGGCTCACCCCTCTAAAACCCTCAGTTTGTTTCTCAGAGTCCTCCTAGAATAGGATATCTTGAGAGGTCTCTCATACCTGAAGTTTCCTGCAGCATGCTTTCTTTCTGAACTTCTTTTCCAAATGAGGAGTTTATGTTCAACACACTGCTTCAATGTTTGCTAATCATTCTCTTAGCCTAATGATGGTAGTTAGCTTTGGTAACTGAAGTATTAATAATTGTGTTTGCAGGATAAAGTGGACCAGTGGAGCCCACAATTGGTCACTTTCCGGTTTACACTGGTTGGCTTTTCATTCCTTAGGTGTTTCTTCGGCTCACTGAGGGTGAATGCTGAATGTATAGCTTCTCTCCAGTGGCTTATGTGTATAAGGCTTTGTTCATAAATGTTCGTGACAAGCACTCATAATAAATTGAACCAACCTATTCCACTTTATAAATTCCCACTTAGAGTAAATGGTGAAATGAGTGAAACATTTCTTTTTCTTTTTTTTTTTTTTTAACATTTATTTATTTGACAGAGCGACACAACAGCAAGAAAGGGAACACAAGCAGGGGGAGTGGGAGAGGGAGAAGCAGGCTTCCCGTGGAGCAGAGAGCCTGGATGCGGGGCTCGATCCCAGGACCCTGGGACCATGACCTGAGCCGAAGGCAGACGCTTAACCGACCGAGCCACCCAGGCACCCCCCCCCTTTTTTTTTTTTTTGAGTGAAACATTTCTGTTTTTCTAGGAGAAAAAATTTAAAGCTTGTATGCGGTTGGCTGGAATTGTGGAACCAGGAGGGTCCGAATTAGCTTTGCTGCCCACTTTCAATCTAACAGTCAGAAGGAGTCACTTGATTGAGGATGTTTTGAGTCACCTAAATCAGTTTGAGAATGAAGATCTGAGGAGGGAGTTAATGGTAAAGTATAATTCTCAATGTTTTTGCTGCTGAGAGAAGGAAAACCTAAAACGATGTAACAGTGGGTCTTCCGGAGAAGAAAGAATCTTCTTTGCCATGGAGCTTGTCTGTTTGGGAGTTTCCCTGATTCCCCACTTAGCTGGGAACTGCTGGGAATAGCTGCGGGCACTTGATGCTCTTGGGCTGAGGAGCAGCGGGTGAAAGGGTGGTCCTCCCCCCGTCTGGGCAGGTAGGAAGTCCAGAACTAGCCCTAAGAGGTCCCCATCCCTCCTGAGGCCTGACCCAGCCTGGCCAGTCACCCCTTGGGAAGGGTTCCAGTGAGATGAGGTTGACATGGAGGAGATTTGAGGATTTGTTCTTGCTCTCATGCAGGAGCCCAGATTGCTTTGTGGAAAAGAGAACTTCCTCTTTATTGACTCTGTAGTTTTTTTGAGGGTATTATTGTGGAAATCCCCATGTTCTGAACATAAATGATCTCTGGTTTAGTTATTATAAAACTTGTCTTACTAGTAGATACTGGACACAGAATAATAATAATATCTAGTAAATCTGGTGAACGTTTTCCTTGTGCCAAGAACATTGTGAATGCTTCACAAGGACTTGTGTAACCCTTCCAGTGACACTGCATGGAAGGTTCTGTTTTTCCTTCATTTTGCTGATGGGGAAACTGAGGTACAGAACTATTAAGGTGACTTATCCAAGGGCAATTCAACTGAAGTATCAGAGCCAGGATTTGGGCCCAACTGTTAGGTTCCAGACTTTTCACTTAATCACAACAAAGATCTGCCTGATGCTATTTTTTTTTTTTTAAAGATTTTATTTATTTATTTGACAGAGAGAGACACAGCGAGAGAGGGAACACAAGCAGGGGGAGTGGGAGAGGGAGAAGCAGGCCTCCTGCCGAACAGGGAGCCCGATGCGGGGCTCGATCCCAGGACCCTGGGATCATGACCTGAGCTGAAGGCAGTTGCTTAACCGACTGAGCCACCCAGGCGCCCTGATGCTATTTATTAGAGTGTTTTTGATAGACCCTCGTTTATCACTTACCCTACGCAGATTAGAGAATGACTTGACTGAAGTTCAAGACACTATTTTAAAAGTATGTTGCACTGGGGTTTGCAGTTAGGGGTGGCATTGACACATATTTTTTGCACATAGATAATTTTTAAAAATCGAACAAACTCATTATGTGAATCTTGCCTGTGATGGCCAGCCAGTCCACTGAGTTATTTTAGTTTCACTTTTATAGTTCATTCATCCCTTTTAAACATATGATGAGCAGCCACCATTTTCCAGACTATGTGAGGCATTTTGCATGTGTTATTTTATTTAATATTTCTGATAATCTCATGAGAAAACTGAGGCTCTGTCAGATGAAGGAGCTTGCCCATAGAAAGGGGCAGAGTTAGGATTTGATACCTGGTCTTTTTTCTTTCTTTTTTCTTTTTTTTAGATTTTATTTATTTATTTAGAGAGAGAAGGGGCAGAGGGGAAGGGAGAGGGAGAAAGAATCTGAAGCAGACTCTGCACTGAGCAGGGAACCTGACACGGAGCTCAGTATCAGGACCCTTGAGATCATGACTTGAGCCGAAACCAAGAGTCAGATGCTTAACCAACTAAGCCACCCAGGTGCCCCAAAACCTGGTCTTATAAAGATTTTGAATAATTCACTGAGGTTTGAAACTTTGCATTTCTAGAAAATAGAAGAGGCATTCATCCAGTTAAACCAGTAAAAGGAGATTTTGGGAAAGTGCCTGTGGAACATCCTGAAGGAAGTGTTGAGCAGGCCTTTGGACAGGAGTGTGTGTCAATCAGAGAGAAGGTAGAGTGGGTAGGAAGGTTAAATGCCTGCAGGTGATAAGTGTTAAGTTTAAAGAGAAATTGAACATCCAGGGAAAGCAGAAAGGATGGAACCAGCACAGAACGGCAGGAAAAAGAAGAGAGAAATAAAAACCTATTTAATGCTTTATAAGAGAAAGCAAGGGAGGAGAAGAGTGTGAAGAAAGGTGATCGGAAGTATAAAATGTGTTCATGAAAACGAGAGGAGATGTGAGAACAAGTCCTTGGAATTGGGGGTGCACAGGTTCTTGGTCCTCTTGAAGAGAGCACTTAAGTAGGGAAATAGGTTTGGAAGTTGGTATACCTGATTCTCCAGAATTTGGCAGCCTAGAGTAGAAGCCAGTATTATCTGTATTGGAGACAGTGGTGTTGAGGTTTTTTTCTTCTTTTAAGAATAAGGGAGACCTTGGGCGCCTGTGTGGCTCAGATGGTTAAGCATCTGCCTTCGGCTCAGGTCATGATCCCAGGGTCCTGGAATCGAGTCCCACATCGGGCTCCCTGCTCCTTGGGAGCCTGCTTCTCCCTCTGCCTCTCTCTCTCTCATGAATAAATAAATAAAATCTTAAAAAAAAAAAAAAAAAAAAGAATAAGGGAGACCTTAACACATTTGTACACTGAAGTGAGGGATTCCAAGAAGGAAGGGCAGGAATGAGTGAGTATTTGAAGGAGCAAAGATGGGTTGTGGTAGAACCATCCTAGGAAGGGATTGGTATCCATGGGTGCCTTCTCAAGGAGTAAACAACTAAGCCAATAGATAATGTGTGCTCTGGTTTTTCAGCCTTTGAAAATCCAACTATTTTTGATTTCTTTATTTTCATTTTACTTAACATTCCTTATTATATAATAATGATGCCAATTGAGGTCAGTTTAGTAGCTGAAGACATCAGGCTCTGAGACTTGACAGACATAGGATTAAATCTAGGCTGCACCCCTTAACCGAGTGTGATCTTGGGGAAGTTAATATTTACATTCTTTTTTTTTTAAGGACTTTTTTTTTTTTTAAGATTTTATTTATTTATTTGACAGAGAGCGAGACCACAAGTAGGGGGAGAGGGAGAGGGAGAAGCAGGCCTCCTGCCGAGCAGGGAGCCCGATGCGGGGCTCGATCCCAGGACCCTGGGATCATGACCTGAGCTGAAGGCAGATGCTTAATGACTGAGCCACCCAGGCGCCCCTAATATTTACATTCCTGAAGCTTTATCACCTCACAGAATTAATGTGAAGATTAAACGAGTAAGATGCTTACCATAGTGCTTACCAAATACTTGGGTCCACAAATAATGTTCACTCTTAATGATTTTTAAATGAGTCTTAATACATAGCAATACAGAGCCCTGGAAGTGATATATTATTTGTTCTGTTTCTTCAGGTTTCATTTAGTGGAGAAATTGGACATGACTCTGGAGGAGTCAAGGTAGAGTTTTTCCACTGTCTGTTTGAGGAGATGACCCGGCCAGAATACGGGATGTTCATGTATCCTGAGGAGGCTTCCTACATGTGGTTTCCCGTCAGGGTGAGTCCTCTCCTTTTTGCTTATGGTTACCATGACAGAAAAGGCATGTCACATACCATTGGAAATTAGGTTGTCTAGACAGTTTCATTTTAGGAGAGGAGTTATTGATACATATAATTATGGGAATAGCCTTCAGTTTCAATAAGGTGATTATTTTCTTTAAAATGGAGTCCCTTTTCCCTGGGTTCCCATTTCTGCCCACACAGGAAAATTTAAGCAATGTATGTTTTTGACCATTTAAAGAATGTATGGATAAAAAGGAATCCTTCTTTTCCCGGGTACCCATTTTTTGTTAAGTTCTATTTTTTCCCCGTGAATTTGAAAATTTTTTTTCAAATTTTCATTTGAAAGGCTGTGAAAAGAAATTGAAAACTTCAGTTTATGAGGACTTGCTGAGCCTAATGTGATTCTATTAGTGTCCCTGTGGCAGAGATTTAAATTGACCTAATGACTGTACCTAAACCCTAAATATTCTTATCGCAAGCTTTTTTTTTTTTAAGATTTTTGTTTATTTTGAGAGAGAGTGTGCGCCAGTGCGGGAGGGGCAGAGGGAGACAGAGAATCTCAAGTTGACTCCCCGCTGAGTGTGGAGCCTGACTCCGGGCTCTATCTCACGACCCTGAGATCATGACCTGAGCCAAATCAAGAGTCAGATGCTTAACTGACTGGGCCACGCAGTGGCCCTGCAACCTTTTTGATTTTAATTCGTGATTTGACTTTGTGAAAGGGAGAAAAGGTTTACCTAATATGAATATTCCATTTTACTTGTAAAAATTAAAACACATTAAGTTTTTTTCTCTCTTCAGCCTAAATTTGAGAAGAAGAGATACTTCTTCTTTGGGGTTCTCTGTGGACTTTCCCTATTCAATTTCAATGTTGCCAACATCCCTTTCCCACTGGCCCTGTTTAAGAAACTTTTGAATCAGACGCCATCACTGGAAGACTTGAAAGAACTTAGTCCTGTTTTGGGAAAGTAAGTAAACATAGTTCTTTTTCTAGAACTCTACGTAATATGTATTCAGGTACAGGTATACCTTGTTTCATTAATTTGCTTCACAGATAATAGTGTTTTTTACAAATCAAAGGTTGTGGCAACCCTGTGTCAAGCAAGCCATCTTTCCAACACACTTTGTGTCTCTGTGTCACATTTTGGTAATTCTCACAGTATTCCAAATTTTCCCATTACTCTTCTATTTGTTATGGCGATCTGTGATCAGTGATTACAACTTGCTGCGAGCTCAGAGGATGGTGAGCATTAAAGTATTTTTAAATTATAGGTGTGCACATTTTTTTTAGACATAATGCTGTTGCACACTTACTACAGTATGGTGTGAACATAACTTTTTTATATGCACTGGGAAACCAAGTAATTCTTTTGACTTGCCTCTTCTGGGATAATTGCTTTACTGCAGTGCCTGGAACCAAACCTGCAGTAACTCCGAGGTATGCCTGTAAATAATTAAACACATCCCCCCCAACAGTATTTTCATGTTCAACAGCAACATTCTAGGTACTTTAAGTCAAGTATAATTTTGGGAAGAATTGTTGAATAATAAGAGAAGTTGAGTAAGAAAAGTTGATTTTCCTTATGATTGGTCCTTAATGCTGGCATTAATCTTTGAACTTTATTTGTGTAGAAACAGTCATGGGGAGAGCACTAGTTATACCCTGGGGTGAAATCTGCAAGTGATGTTTATTTATTTATTTATTTATTTATTTTTAAAAGATTTTATTTATTTATTTGACAGAGAGAGACACAGTGAGAGAGGGAACACAAGCAAGGGGGAGTGGGAGAGGGAGAAGCAGGCTTCCCACAGAGGAGAGAGCCCGATATGGGACTCGATCCCAGGACCCTGGGACCATGACCTGAGCCGAAGGCAGTTGCTTAACAACTGAGCCACCCAGGCGCCCCGTGATGTTTATTTTAAATCTCGTTTCATATCCTCACCTTTACAGTGAAAACTCATTTCTAAGTTAAAAAGCCAAAGCCACCACCTCACAAAAAATATTGGAATAGAAAGGGGTGATATTCCTGCTGTGTAAGGTGTTCCTACACATCCATAAGAAAAATTGACAAAGTATACAGGAAGGAAAGCCACAAAAGAAGTAACAGAATGGGGGCACCTGGGTGGCTCAGTCGTTAAGCATCTGCCTTCAGCTCAGGTCATGATCCCAGGGTCCTGGGATCGAGCCCCGCATTGGGCTCCCTGCTCCACGGGAAGCCTGCTTCTCCTTCTCCCACTCCCCCTGCCTGTGTTCCCTCTCTCGCTCTCTCTCTCTCTGTCAAATAAATAAAATCTTTAAAAAAAAAAAAGAGAAGTAACAGAATGGCTTCACCTGCCCAGTCCTCACGGAATGCAGTGGCTAATCTGAGCTTCAAATTGACAGTGGTTGGAAATACTGATGCTCTTTAGTGTCCACCAGAGTTTGGGAAGAGGTGTGCTCTAATTTCAGGGGTTGGTAGTGGACATACGAATTGGTGATTCCTTTTCAGAGAACAGTGTGATAGTATTTACCTGAATCAAAAATGTATTTGCCCCTTTGGCCTAGCAGTTCTGCCTCTAGACGTTTAGTTTCAGAAATAACACAACCATGCAAGGATTTTTCCATACTAATGTATATTATATTACGTAGTGCATAATGTGTGCAGTACTTAAATGTTCTTTAATAAGGGAATTATTTATTTTTGGTATATTTATGCAGTGAAATCCTATGTAGATTTTTAAAAGAATGAGAACAGTAGTATGATTTTTTTTTTTTTTTTTTTTTTTGAGAGCTTGAGCAGGCCAGTGGGGGTGGGCAGCAGAGGGAGAGGGAGAATCTCAAACAGGCTCCTGCAGGGCTCGATCTCATGACCCTGAGATCATGACCTGAGCTGAAATCAAGAGTCAGATGCTTAACGGACTGAGCCACCCAGGCACCCTGATCCTATTATTATCCCCATTTCTTCACAGGTGAGGAAACAGTTTTGGTAACTTGTCTCAGACCCCATAGTGACAGAACCATGAATTGAACACAGTCTGGTTTCAGCTTCCAACTATTAATCATTATTGCTAATTATACTAATAAGATAAGGAAAAAATCAAAAGCACAAGATTTGCAGAGGAGGAGATAAATTTACTGTTTTTTACTAAAACAATGAAAATTACCTAAATAATGCTTATGCCTCGGAAGACTTAATACACATCAACTTAGTAAATGTAAAGATTATTGTATCTGTATCAGTGTTCCTCACGTTTTTAGGTCTTCAGAATTTTTAGAAAGCTGTATTGAGGACAGTACAGTATGGGGGCAGGTTTTCAATGGAAGAAAAGTGAGAGTTCCAACACTGATCCAGGCACCTATGGACCTTGTTGGAGGTAGCGTACTGGATTAATGGGAACAGGAGGACTGTCAGTTCATGCGTATGGGAAAAAAATGAATGCTGATAGCTCATGCCATATACAAAAATCAACTTCATGTGGATGAAGGTCTTAAAGCAAAAATGTTGAAAATATGGACAAATATCTGTCTAACCTTTGCAATCTTAAGCAAGACCTAAAAAGTACCAACATTAAAGGAAAGACTGATAAGTCTAACTGCAATAAGATTAAAGAATTTATCTGTTCCTCATGCGATACCTTAACAAAAGGGAAACAACACCCCTCAAACTGGTATTTGTGACATATTTTGGGGGTGGTAGAAAAATGGGATAGGGGAGGTATCCATACAGGTGGGCATAAGATATAAGCAATGTTTGAAGAGGCAGGTTCCTAAGTTTTCCTCATAAAAACAGCCATAAATAAGCACATAAGCCATACATGGACAAATAATGACAAGAGTATCATGAACCAAGTATTATCATGAATGCAGTTTTGTCAGCTGAGTTCTCATCACTCTCCCTCTCCTCACCGCCCACCCACCCAAAACCTACAATGAATACAATATGGTCTGTTTATCACAGTTGTGTAATAAAAAATCCAGTGGACGGAATAGTCAGCTTGGATTCCGCCTTCTTCCAGAGCTTCCCCAGTAACACATCCCTTCAGAAAGAGTTAGCCAAGGCTGTATTGTACCCTTAGAGACTGTCTGCACATAGCTCACTATAATGTAGGTGAGGCTTCCATCAGCGTATCTTACCTACGGGTCTCAGGGTTTATTGGCAGTGATGTCTTAACTTTACATCCCTGAATGCCTGCCACATTGGGTGCTTGATAGATGTTTGTTGAATGAATACATGAGAGATGAGCAAATACAATGAATGAGACATAGGACTTTAAAAATATAAATGAAGTACCATAGGACAACAGAGGATGGAGATGTAAGAAGACTGGCTGCTGTCCGTGCTGATATAACCTATATTCTCACAGATGCCTTGAAGCAGTTAAGGTAGTTGAATTTCACATCTGTCTTAAGCTTGATGATATTGGGACAGTAGATACAGAGAAGGTCCTTTGACCTTCTCATTCCTCAGATTTCCTAAGTGATACCTGATATTTAAAAGGAGATTATTTGTTCTGTAGGTACAGTTCCAAAGCTTAAATAAAGGTAACACCAATTTGAATGAGTTTCAGTATCAGTTAAATACGTTATCAGTCATTTTCTGTAGAAACCTATAATCACTGGGTAAAGGAAGGTAGGATGAAGGGAAGAGAGCTTGCAGAATTGCAAATATTCATAAACTTCATGCTTGTAGTTGAGGTCTGGCTATCAGTACACAGAGAAATGGGCATTGTTAACTAATGGTCTGACCTCCCACCTTCAGAATAGTCATGCATTTGATTTTAGATGGTTTATTTTATTTTTTTAAAGATTTTATTTATTCATTTGAGACATAGAGATACAGAGGGAGAGGGGGGAGAATCAGGCTTCCCACTGAGCCAGGAGCCCGATGTGGTGCTCAATCCCAGGACGCTGGGATCATGACCTGAGCCGAAGACAGACACTTAACCATCTGAGCCACCCAGGCGCCCCTTAGATGATATATTTTAGGTGGTATATCTAGTGATCATTATTATCGACTTCTAAAAAATAAAATTATTTGTTCTTTAGGAGTTTGCAAACTCTTCTGGATGATGAAGGTGATGACTTTGGAGAAGTCTTTTATATCTATTTTAATGTGAGTAACGATAAGAACCAGATTACAGATCAGTTTTAATCTGATTAATCCTTTACATATTTATCTAGACATGTCACTCTTTAATAAAAGGACAAACTTCTGAATTAGTGCAAAAGGTTTTTTTCCTCATTTTTTATGAGCTGGGCATATCAGTTAGATTTTACTATGTAACAAACAACACCTAAATTTAGTGGCTTAAAACAAACACAATGAATTGAGTTTCTGGACCGGGTCAACTTGGCTGGGCTGGATGGTTTATACTGGCCTCACTCATGTACCCAGTTGTTGGCTGGTTTATAGAATGTGGGCTGGAACAGCTTTTGTGTTCCAGGGATCTCTTATGCTCCAATAAGCTAGTTGAGGTGTCTTTCTAGAATGGTCTCAGGATTACAAAGAGTGGGAAGAGAGATGGCAAGCCTCAGCATACAAGCTCCTTTTTAAGCTTTTACTTCTGGCAGATCCCATTGGCCAGAGTGCCTCACATGGCCACAGCCAGATTCAAGGGCTGAAGAACTGGATTCCTCCTCTTGATGGAGGGCGGGGGGTAGGGGCCAGTAGCTATTGTAAAGTCATACTGCGAAGGGGCTTGAATACCAGGCTGCGAAGAATTTATGAGCATTTTGCAAATCTACTATACTAGGTCTTTACTGTATAAAGTGACTACTGAAATGTGACAATTTGCCAATTTTTTTTTCAGTATGATAATTCAGGTTTTACAAAAATTGATTTTTCATTTTTCATGATAAGATGGTAGTTTTTTATATGCACGTTCCTTGTTTTTATGACTAAAATGTTTACTTTATAAAATCTTGAGGAAAAAAGCTATGCTTCAAAGTGTTTTTGTTAATAATAGATTATTTGGGATTATTTTGGAGATACTATCTGAGTTTATTTGTGGTTACAGGTGCATTGGGACAAAAATGATACAGACTTAATTCCTAATGGAAGTTGCATCATTGTTGACCAGACTAACAAGTAGGTGCAGAGAAGTGAACTATTTGTTTTGTTTATACAGTTTATTTCACTGGGCTCTAAAAATGTCTTACAGTTCTTACCAATTAATCATTTTTTTTAAAAGATTATTTATTTATTTATTTATTTGAGAGAGAGAATGAGAGAGAGAGCATGAGAGGGGGGAGGGTCAGAGGGAGAAGCAGACTCCCCGCTGAGCAGGGAGCCCGACGCGGGACTCGATCCCAGGACTCCAGGATCATGACCTGAGCCGAAGGCAGTTGCTTAACCAACTGAGCCACCCAGGCACCCCAATTAATCATTTTTTAATAAGGCAGAGAGTTGGTGTATATTGTGTGCATGTGTATGTCTCCTAGAGCTTATAATCTGGTAGGGAAGGAAATAGCTTTCGCAGACAGGCTTTCCCTTATCCTCCGGGCTAGGTTTATACCACCAACTTCTCTCTTTATTCCCTTACCCTGTTTTACTTTTTCTTTTCATACCACACCTTTAAGATTTATCTGCTTCTTTACTTACCTGTATGGAAGATTAAATTAGGTAATATATGAAAAATAGCCATATGCACACGGGAAATACTGAATTGTTAGGTGTTCTAGTTCTCATTTTATTTTTGGCCTTCTGCCCACCTTCCCCGGCCCCCTGCCAAGTTTCCTTCCGGGTACTGCAGTAAGCTGAAATCATTTTTTGTTTCCTTAAAGGAGAGACTATATTTCTAAGTGTGTCAATTACATCTTCAACATCTCTGTGAAGGCACTTTATGAAGAATTCCAAAGAGGATTTTACAGAGTGTGTGACAAGGATATTATTGAATTTTTCCATCCAGAAGAACTAAAGGATGTGATTATTGGAAATACAGATTATGACTGGGAGACATTTGAGAAGGTATATTGTAAAGGCCTAGAAGTTTGAATTTGAATTTCTTTTCTATTTTCTGAATACTTTTTTTTTTTTCTCTAGAATGCACATTATGAAGAAGGATATGATAATTCACATCCCACCATAGTGATGTTTTGGAAGGCCTTACACAAATTGACTTTGGAGGAAAAGAAAAAGTTCCTTGGTAGGTATTCTATCAGGAGTAGATCTATAATCTTAGGTCTTTTTTATGGGATAAGAAAACCTTGTTATAGGCACCATTTGCCACCGATCTAGTGTAAGAGCCACTCCGAGTCCGTTTGGATGTTCTCTGTGCCAGGCTGTGCGGACATAGAAAATAAATGTTAATATAGGTCTTCTTTCCTGTGATTTCAGCCCTGCCTGTTGCCTTCACATGTCCCCTTGGTTGTCCATCCAACTGAGATAGTTAACCTGCTTTCTGTATCTGTGACTCAGTTAGTTGTTCAGGCACTGTGGGATTAGCCATATTTTACAATGTCATTGTCTCCAATCCTTTACACCTGCTCTTCCACATTTTGATCTCAATTTCATGCTTACTTGGTTGTTTGCCTGCAGTTTTGCTTAATGACTTTCTCATTTTCTTGCAAAATTTCCATACTTATTTTTGAGAAACATTTACCTTCTTGTTCTTTGTTGTGGATAACACATATGTTGGAAGATACTCAGGCTTCTCCAGAAGCCCAAACTGACTTTCCAATCTTTGCTTTACAGGAAATCATTTCAGCTAAACAGTTCCATCATCTCTGCATTCCTGAGCTCACCTTGTGCCCTCCCACCTCCAGGCTTTCTCTGAAGCTCCTTGTCCTGCCTCGAATCCTCACCCACCTCCTTGTTGCCACTCCAAACCTTCCTCTTCTTAAAGGTCCAGCTTAATTCTGAGCTCTCGGAAGTCTCCCTGGTCATCCCAGCCTTGATTCTCTCTCCCTGCTGTGAACCACACACAGCATTTTCACTCAGGAAGCACTTAATTCCGTGGCGCCTTATCTGCCTGTCTCACACCCTTTTGTTTTTTCCCTTGCTATTTGTCTTTTTCTGCACAAGAATATAGTATTTCCAACCATACTGTAAGTAGCTTGAGGGAAATGTGTCCCCGATGCAGTCTAATGTGGGACTCTGCACGTGGGCCCTCAGTAAAGGTTTTTGAATAAACAATTTTTTTTCCCTCTGTAAGTCTTGGTCTCTGGGAAGCAGATCACTCAATTTTATTCTTCTTTTTAGTGTTTCTTACAGGAACTGACAGAATTCAAGTAAAAGGTTTAAAGAACATGAAAATAACATTTTGCTGTCCTGAAAATGTGAATGAAAAAGATCCCATAAGAGCACAGACATGTATCAGTGTTCTCTACCTTCCCAAATATTCTACAATGGAAAGGGTAGAAGAAGCACTTCAAGTAGCCATCAACAACAGCAGAGGATTTGGCTGACCTGGCCTCACGTTCTTTACCCCTTTTCGGAAATATTTTCAGAAATAAAATTAACTCAAAAATTAATGTAAAAGTCCTGCTGACTCTTAATTGTGTTTACCCGCTCTTTCAGAATGGTGTTTTTTGCGTGTGAGATGTTTTGATAACGATCTAGATTGGGCTGTTAAAACAAGGTGACCCCAAAACACAGTGCATTAAAGAAGACTGAATTTTATTTTTCTCTGATAAATGTCTTGGCTGAAGTGGTGCTTCTCCTACTGCTGTAAGAAAAGTCATAAGTGACTTTCTTGTTGAAAATGTCAATGGAAACCGCCCATTTCTGTCTTAAATCATCTATGTAGCGTTTGAAATTGTCGACTACTTTCTCCTAAAGACTGTTGTGAACCTGGTAGACTGTGGCTTTCTTTTTCTTGGCTTCTTTCCCATTTCCTTTGCTTGTGTTTCTTGTACTCCCCTGACCTCCAGTGCTGGTGTAGTCCTCTGTTCTCACTCTGCACGCATTCCATCAGTTCCATAGCTCTGGTTCTGTCTTGGTGTGATCCTGCCCAGATCTCTCTCTGTCTGACCAACAGGAACTGGTAGATTCCAGCCCCAGCCATTTTCGTCTAGTCTGTGCCTCCCTGCATGTGCCTTGGCTCCTTAATCTCAGCATGTCTAAGAAGAAAATGATCGTTTTTCCTGTATTCCACAGCTTAGAGTGGTACCACCAGTTTTTCTAGGCATAAGCCTGCAGTCCTCTTCCCTTCCTCCTCTTTACTCCACACATTCAATAAATCAGGTCCTGACAATTCTAGTTCTTATATCTAGATCAACACCGCCCCGCAGAACTTTCTGTGAGGCTGGAAACCACCCCCCAGCCCCCATATCTGCACTGTTCAATAAGGTAGACTTCTGCTATAGATAAGGTTTGGTCTTTGAAGAGAGAAAAATTTAATTGGCAGTGGAAAAATGAGTCTGGAGCTGTGCTGCCCAATATGTGGTGATTTAAAGTTAAATAGGGGTGGCTGGGTTGCTCAGTGGGTTAAGCGTCTGACTTCGGCTCAGGTCATAATCTCGGGGTCCTGGGATGGAGCCCCGAGTTGGGCATCCCACTCAGCATGGAGTCTGCTTCTCCTTCTGCCCCTCCCCCCTAGGCGTGCTCCTGTCTTATCTCTCAAAATCTTAAAAGTAAATTTAAAATTCAGTTCTCATGGTGATTAACAGAATTAAAAAAAAATTCAGTTCTCAGTCACACTACTCAAATTTCAAGTATCTACATGTGATTGGTGGCTACTGTGAAAGTGCAAATATGAGCACTTGCCACTGATAGGTCCCAAACCTACAAAACCTTTACATGTGCTTTTTTTCTTGGAAGAAGAGCCACAGTGTGATAAAGCTTCACAAATCAAAAAAATCAGGCAGTAAAGTCATATTTCATTAACATTGTTATCAGACGTCCCAAATCCTTCCAGGCATGCCCCCTGTGCAGTCCCAGCCTGCTCTCCCACCAGTGCCCTGCATACATAGTGTACTTCACTCTACTCATCTGTAACTGTCTCAATTTCCTGAACAGGCCACAGTTTCTCCTATGTTTTTAGTCATGCATTTTCTTCTGCTTGGGTTTGAACTTTCTCATCCCACCCCTATCCCCCCACTCTTCTCACCTCGTTTCAATTCTGCCTCCGACTCTGGGTTCTTCCTCTTGTTTCTCAGGATTCACTTAATCTACTATGGCTGCCTAGTAGGTGCCATGCTAATGTTTGTGGAATATGGCTTCCTAGCTCAGCATTTCACAAATGGAATCTTTCTGGGTACAGTCCTCATTCTGGTTCCTTCCAAGGGCTTAGTTGCAGTGGTTCCTCATACGAGTTAGCCACAAGTGCCACCTAGTGGCCAATGCAGAAGATAGTCACCTCCAGATCGAGCATTTCAGTAAGGGAAAAAACTTGGAAAAGGAGACAGACCTTTCTTCCCACAACCATGCTCAGTAGTGAGAATCTTACTTGAGGGTGCTAGATGATTTCATATTTTCTACCTCCCTTAAAACAACCACCAAGTCTGGAAGTGGGTATCATCATTTTCATCTTCCAGATCCGGAGTCAAGTTCAGAGAGACTTCCTTAGCCCGCTCTGCAGGATTGGAAGAAAAGAGGGAGAGAGGTCATGGCAGGTCTTTTTTTGTTCCCTCAGAGTGAGAAACTCTCACTTTGAAAGCTGAGGGAAGGCTCTTATTCACAAGCTGGGTAGAGGCGATCCTTGTCAGTGATGCAGATGACACTGAGGAAGATAATCTTGTTAAGAGGCTTTAAGGAGCCTCTTATTTTTTTGCTACTGTATTTTTTAATTGAAATATAATTGACTTAGCAGATCTGTTCTTAAGAGTGCTAGTGAGGGGTGCTAGTGGATGGCTTGGTCAGTTAAGCATCCGACTCTTAATTTTGGCTCAGATCATGATCTCAGGATCCTGGGATTGAGCCCCACGTTGGGCTTCCGAGCTCAGTGGGGAGTCTGCTTGAGGATTTCTCTCAATCTTGAGGAATTCTCTCTCACTCTGCCCCTTCCTCTGCTTGTACATGTGTGCACATGCTCTCTCTCACTCTCTCTCAAATCTTTAAAAAAAAAAAAGTGCTAGTGAAATACAGAAACATTACATCCAGGTAGTTCTATTCCTTTTTGTGCTGTTGTCATGCATATTATGTCTACATGTTACAGACTCAACAATACTTGGTTATAATTATTACTTTATATAATTTAATGCCTCTTCTAGGAACAGAGAAGAGAACAAGGATGTATTTGTAGTATTAGTTATATTAACCTTGTTTACCTTTTCAGGTTCTTTTCATTTGTTCCTGTGAATTCAAGTTACCATCTGGTGTCATTTCTTTACTCCCAGTTCAGCTTTGCTCCCATCTACTTCCTTTGTGCTTCTAGTGGCAAATATGATAGAGACCCCAAAATACAGTCTATACACACTGTTTTCTACAAATTGCTCTGCAGATGAGTTAAGTAGAGCGGAAATATGCATTTACACTGTCTTTTATAGTTACATAATTACCTTTACTCTGCTGGTGGCCTGCACCTCCTGGGAAGATGCCATAACCCTTAAGTAGGCGTTGAGGGAAAAGAGTTCCTGGTCTTGGTGGCACCCTCCCCGAGTGGATCGCTCTGAGCTGAGAGGAGGAAGAAAGATGTGGGTGGTGGTTCAAATGCCACAGACTTCAATGTGCAGCACTTACTGAGTTTTAGATTTCCGTGTATGTTTCCTCATTTGGCTGTATGCCCTTGGGATAATTTCCAGAGACTTTGAATGGTCGTTTTGTTCACCAGTTAGTGTTGTTTGACAAAGGGCTTTCACGTGTCAAGTTTAGCTTGTCCTCATAATTTTGTGAAAGAAGCAGGGGAAGGATTTCTAATCCTAGAGATGAAGCTCAGAGACAAGTAACTTGCCTAAAGTTATAAAGCTTGTCAGAACCATGCTTTCAGTCTTTCAGGAAGTACGTGCCTGATCCGTGCTAAGCATCAAATTGAAAATGTTGAACAGTTTACTGTCTAGACAGGAGACAGAAAACAGGCAATTACAGTACAAGTTCAAGTGCTAAAATAGAGATAAAATATATGGTGCTTTAGGAAACAAGAAGAAAGGCATCAGGCTTGAGCAGGAATTTGAATCCAGGCATTTTGATTCCTAATTCTGCTTTTCTTATAAATAGAAAGGATGAGTTTTCTTAAAATAAAGAGGCACTGTATAGTGGTTAAGAAGGCCGACTGAAGCCACGGTGGCTGACAGTTTCGGCTTCGGTTCGGTTATTGCTGTTGCCCTGGGTAAAATCGCTTCAATCTCTGTGCTTCAGTTTCCCCATCTGTAAAATGGTGCCAATATTGCCCACCTGACCTCTTAGGTTATAAAATATTACATGTAATATGCTTAGAACTGGAGCTAGTACCGTTTGCACTATATAAGTGATTGTCAAATTCTATTAGTGAAAGGATGGTGTTAATGATGAACTCCCCCAGGGTATGCTTAACAGTTTCCTCAAAAACGATAAAATGCTTAGCTTGCAAAAGTTGAAATTGACTTTTTATAGTGCTTGTTTTATCAGCAAAATCGTTTCATTTACATTGACCACATTGAGACTGAGGGTAAATTAAAAAGAACAAGGGGCACCTGGCTGGCTCAGTTGGTGGAGCATGACTCCTGATCTCAGGGTTGTGAGTTTGAGGCCCATGTTGTGTGTATAGATTACTTAAAAAACTAAAATCTTTAGGGGCTGCCTGGGTGGCTTAGTTGGTTGAGCGTCCCACTCTTGGTTTTGGCTCACATCACGATCTCGGGGTGGTGAGATGGAGCCCCATCCCTGCATCTGACTTCGTACTCAGCAGGTAGTCTGCTTGAGATTCTCTCCCTTTGCCCCTCCCCCTGCTCACCCTCTCTCTCTCTCTAAAATAAATAAATCTTTTTTTAAAGAAAAAGGAGCAGTAACTCCCTTTCAGGAAATGATAGGAACTTCTGTAATCTTCCAGGTTATTTGTATATTGCCATGTGGTGATTTTTTTTATTTGAGTATAGTTGGCACACAATGTTACGTTGGTTTCAGGTGTACACAGTGATGGACAACATTTTACATTGTGCTAAGCTCACCACAAATGTAGCTACCATCTGTCACTATATAATGCTATTATGATACCATTGACTATATTCCCTGTGCTGTACCTTTTATTCCCGTGACTTATTCTGTAACTGGAAGCCTATACCTCCCACTCCCCTTCACCTTTTTGCCCATTGCCTCTACCCCTCCCCTCTGGCAACCCTCCCCTCTGGTTTGTTCTCTGTATTTGTGCCCCTCCCCCCCCGCCCGCCTTCATTTGTTCTCTGTATTTGCATCTATTTCTGCTTTTGGTTTTTAGATTCCACATGTAAGTGAAATCATACGGTATTTGACATATTCACATTAATACCCTCAAGGTCCACCCATGTCACAAATGGCAAGATCTCATTCTTTTTTACATATGAGTAATATTCCTTTGTATATGTGATGCCGGACAGGCTAAGGCCCCAAGAAAGAGGGCCTCAGGCTCCTCACCAAGAGGGTTTTTGGCTTTGTGCAAGGAAGAATTCAAGAGCAAGCCATCTAGAGAAAGGGACAAAGATTAAGTATACAAGAAAGGAACAACTTCATAGACAAAGTAGCAGTCTTTTCCAGGAGAGGAAGAGGATCCTCCTTTGCCTCTAAGGGTTTTATAAATTATTTTAGGATTTATTTGAGAAAGAGAGCAGGGGGAGGGGCAGAGGGAGAGGGAGAGAAAGAATCCTCGAGCAGACTCCCCACTGAGCGAGAAGCCCAAGGCAGGGCTTGATACCAGGACCCTGAGATCACGACCTGAGCTAAAATCAAAGAGTTGGCCACTCAACCGACTGAGCCACCCAGGCGCCCCTATAATTTTTTTTTAAATTTTTTTATTGTTATGTTAATCCCCATACATCACATCATTAGTTTTAGATGTAGTGTTCCATGATTCATTGTTTGTGCATAACACGCAGTGCTCCATGCAGACATAATTTTTTTTTTTAATTAGCTAACCATACAGGGAGGGGCTTACACTTTTAACTTCGGGCTTCTCATTCACATTAGGCAATTAGTTTTTCCATTGTTTTAGGATTGTGGGATTACCCACAGGGAATAGTTTTTTTTTTTAAGATTTTATTTATTTATTTGACAGAGAGAGCTCAAGCAGGGGGAGTGGCAGAGGGAGAGGCAGGCTCCCAGCTGAGCAAGGAGCCCGATGTGGGGCTTGATCTCCAGACCCTGGGATCATGACCTGAGCCGAAGGCAGATGCTCAACCAGCACAGCGAACAGTTTTAAGAATGTCCAGCCTATGTGGCTTTTACTGCCATTGAGAACGGGGTCTTGTGATCTAGGATTTGGATCTTGTGACTCTCTTTATGACCTGCTGACTTTTGGGGTAAGGGTCAGCCTAAAACCAAAATGGCTTTACTTTGATCAACTTGTCTCCCAAGCCCTCTTCCCTCCAGCCTCATATATATGCCACATCTTCATCTATTCGTCCATTCAATTTAGATTGCTTCCGTATCTTGGTATTGTAAATAACGCTGCAATAAGCATAGGAGTGCATATATTTTTTAAAATTAGTGTTTGTTTTCTTTGGGTAAATACCCAGCATTGGAATTACTGGATCATATAGTATTTCTATTTTTAATGTTTTGAGAAACCTCTATACTGTCCCACAGTGGCTGCACCAATCTACATTCCCACCAACAGTGCACAAGGGTTCCTTTTTCTATATATCCTTACCAACACTTATTTGTCTATTTTAGCCATTCTGAAAGGTGTAAAGTGGTATCTCGTTGTGGTTTTGCTTTTCATTCCCTCGATGTTAAGTGATGTTGAGCATCTTATCATGTCTGTTGGCTACCTGTAGGTCTTCCTTGGAACAATGTTCAGGTCCTGTTTTTTTGGTGTTGAGTACCACAGAGTGATTTTATTTTATTTTTTAAAGATTTTATTTATTTGACAGAGAGAGACATAGCGAGAGAGGGAACACAGGCAGGGGGAGTGGGAGAGGGAGAAGCAGGCTTCCCGCGGAGCAGGGAGCCCGATGTGGGTCTCAATCCCAGGACCCTGGGATCATGACCTGAGCCGAAGGCAGACATTTAACGACTGAGCCACCCAGGCGCCCCCACAGAGTGATTTTATTATTTTTTTTAATCTTTTTTTTTTTTTAAGATTTTATTTATTTATTTGCGAGAGAGACAATGAGAGACAGAGAGCATGAGAGGGAGGAGGGTCAGAGGGAGAAGCAGACTCCCCGCCGAGCAGGGAGCCCGATGCGGGACTCGATCCCAGGACTCCAGGATCATGACCTGAGCCGAAGGCAGTCGCTTAACCAACTGAGCCACCCAGGTGCCCCCCACAGAGTGATTTTAAAAACATGATTTGTACTACAGAATACAACTGAACCCTAAAAAAGAAAAAAAAAAAAAAAAGAATACACTGAACCAATGCAGTGCTAAACAGGTCTCCTAAGTCAGGAAAATAAACTGAAATGTGATTCAAAACATAGCTCTAAGCTCAACAGGACACAAAAGCTTTTTACAAGTCTTCCAACCCTACCTCTATCCCCAAAGATACATATTTTCCTGGGGTAATATTCTATGTGGGGTATTAAGTGCCTATCTAAACATTGCTTACAGTTTAAAGTTCAGAATATTTTTACATTTCCCCTCTTTTGGAACCACACTTTTGTAACCAAACAAAAAAACAACACTTTTTTTTTTTAATGGAAAAGTGTCATTTTTTTTTTTTTTAATTTATTTATTTGAGAGAGAGAGAGAGAATGAGAGACAGAGAGCACGAGAGGGAGGAGGGCAGAGGGGGAAGCAGACCCCCCGCTGAGCAGGGAGCCCGATGCGGGACTCGATCCCGGAACTCCAGGATCATGACCCGAGCCGAAGGCAGTCGCTTAACCAACTGAGCCACCCAGGCGCCCCCGGAAAAGTGTCATCTTGTTTTATTATTACTAATGTAAGCATTTGATGACAAACGAAGATAATTTTACAAACTCAGAATGTTTGCAAGTACATGATATTTCCCTTTTATTGTACTTTTTATAGCACACTAGCTCAAATACGTTTCTCTACAACTACTCCAACATAACTCCTTTGGAATGAATTATTTTAGTCATCCTTAACATGTTAACTCTGCCAAATACTTTAAAATAAACATATAAAAATTTTAATTACTAATTTTTAGATGAATGGGGTAAGAAAGTCATCAGGTGATGGTTGGGACTGTTAATTTCCAACAAGAAACTGCTTAAGTGTTTCTTCTGATACAGTAGTTATAAATTAGAATTTTCAAAAAACAAGGGCAGAACAAAAAATACAAAAGAAACTTCTGCAGCTTAAGCCTCCCATAGTCCTAAACCTCTGAGAGAAGCAAGGCAAAGCACCTTTCCTACAATTTAAGTGGGTTTCCAGTATTTCCATGTAGTTGAGCTTTCAGAGATAGACACAACATATGTATCCTCTTGGCTCTGGTTGTATTAATTATGCCTGAAGAGTTTAATACCCATCCAAGTCCAAAGGTGGAAGAACACATAAACTGGTATGGTAATGGGCAGGAGCAGACTATAAAAGCACAGGCTGGTTGTGTTAGTGCAGCCCTGTGGGAAGTTTTCTTCCACGGAGGCTGAGTAGAACAGTCCGGCTAAAGAGACCAACGGAATAAGTACAGTCAACGTAGGAAGAGACAGAAACATTCTCCCCCACTTATTTCCTGCCACTCTGACTTTTAAAAAGGTAAGTGGTATTAACAAAGTTTAGTTGTGTGTGTTGCTGTTTTTAATTATGATCTAGTGCTGCTCCATTTCTTCTTGCTTCTTATTTTGATGTGTCATCCTAGCTGCCTGCGGTATCATATTAGGGATCCCATCAATAATTGGATAGGCTATTCCCAACTCTTCATTAATCAGTTCATTTGTCGATGCTTCATATCTGAGGGGAGAAAAGGAAAACAAAATGAATTGTGAAAACAAAATGCTTGGAAGAGCTTGGTGTTCAATAAACACCCCTATTTATCCAATTCTTGACAGAGTGTTAATTCCAAAAAAAGCAGAATTAAACTTCTAATTCTAAAAGCAGTATTACCCAATTGAATCATTTCTTTTAGAAAATGAATCTCTAATTCCCATTTTAGTCAGTTTCTCTCATATTTTCTTTTTCACTTTATTCTCAAGCTATACCTTAATATGAATTTTTAAAATCCAGTCAGAAAAAAAAATCTCCCCTTTTCATCCAAATATTCCTTCGTTACTTTGGGTGACCTCAAGACCATCCCAGTTAATTTATTACTGAAACAGCCACTAGAGAAAAATTCAACTTCCTCACTTTAGAATGCATGTTTAATAGAGCAACACAATTGAACCATTAGGAGGAAACCACTGAAAAATCAAGATACACAAAATAAAAGTATGAGGAAGACGAGATAGCAGAAATGAAGAAACTTTAGAAAACAGGTCTGCAGTGAGCTAGTTACACAATTAACTAAAAGGCAGATCAAATGGTCATTTCAAGGTGTAAGAAAATAGTGTATTCGTTACGGAAAATAATCTAGTTAAGAGAAATGCAAAAATATTGAAAATAAAAAATGACTAGCAATGTACCACCCAAAAATAACCACTGATAACATTTTGGTGTTTAGTATATTCAATCTGCAATACTAGTGTTGTCAACATTCAGTTTCCGTAGCCTGGAGCTGTAGAGCCTTTTTAAAAAAAATTTAAATTCAATTAATTAACATATAATATATTACTAGTTTCAGAGGTAGAGTTCAGTGATGTATCAGTTGCATATAACACCCAGTACTCATTACATCACGTGCCCTCGTTAACTAAGCCCATCATCCAGTTACCCCATCTCCCCACTCTCGTCCCCTCGAGCAACCCTGTTTGTTTCCTATGATTAAGAGTCTCTTATGTTTTGTCTCCCTCTCTGATTTCCTCTTGTTTTATCTTCCCCTCCCGGAGCTGTTTTTCTCGACTCTTGGCTCAAGGAAGCCTTTACAAAACCCAGCTAGTCCAGAACTAAGAGCCAAAAGGGGCAGCACCCAGCGTAAACGTTTAAGACCGTCAGGCATCAGCTGTACATTTTCACAATATTAGTTATTTTTCTTTTTTTTTTTTTAAGATTTTATTTATTTATTTGACAGAGAGAGCGAGCGAGAGCAGGAACACAAGCAGGGGGAGTGGGAGAGGGAGAGGCAGGCTTCCTGCCAAGCAGTGAGCCCGATGCGGGGCTTGATCTCAGGACCCTGGGATCATGACCTGAGCCGAAGGCAGACGCTTAACGACTGAGCCACGCAGGCGCCCAAGAATAGTTATTTTTCGTCATCTTGGCTTAAAAATCTGAATGCCTTGGACCAGTCCCGACTCCCAACAGTTCATAAACCTGACGGTACATTAGCACCACTGAGGGTCCTTTTTTTTTTTTAATTTTTTTTTTAAAGATTTTATTTACTTATTTGTCAGAGAGAGCACAAGCAGAGGGAGAAGCAGGCTCCCCGCCGAGCAGGGAGCCCGATGCGGGACTCGATCCCGGGGCTCCAGGATCACGACCTGAGCCGAAGGCAGTCGCTTAACCAACTGAGCCATCCAGGCGCCCCCACTGAGGGTCCTTTTAAGAAAACACCTTCCTCTAGTCCGGCCCCCAGACCGGCTGACGGGGTTGGCCTGGGGTGGTGCCCGGGAATCGGCATTCAAAAAAAAAAAAAGTTCCCTGGCGATACGAGTGCGCAGCCAAGGGCGAACCTGTAAACGCCCCGACCCATCCCTGCGGGTGGGCGGCTTGATTTGGGAGGCCCGGGGCTCGGCTCCCCTCCGGTCTCCTCCCGCCCTTCTCGCCGCAGTCGGAGGTGCGTAGTAGCTGGCCGGGCCCGGAGCCAGAAAATGGCAGCGGAAAATATCCGGATTGACCTGAAGGGCTCCCCAGCGGCTGTAAGCGGCCACGCGGCCCACCCGCCCCCCCGCCCCGCCAAGGGAGGGGGCGAACGCAAAGTCGCAGCCGGCGAGTCGCACCTGAGCGGCTTCTTGGAGAGCGGGCACACCAGGAACTCGAGCAGCGCCGGGTCGAAGGCGCGGGGCGGGTCCCTGGGCCTCTGGCTCTTGTCCGCGGACCGCTGTGACCCCGACGCGTGAAGGCACCTACGGGCGACCGCGAACGGCGGCACGCGTGGACCCCGCAGCGCTGAGGCCAGCCAGCCGCACGCTCCGCTCAGCATGGTCCAGCAGGCCGCAACCGCACCGCAGGTGACCTCGGCCAGCCCGGGCCGCCTCAGCCGATCCCCTGGCAGCCAGCCCCACAGCCGGCCAGACCCCGCCCCCGGTGCTGCGGGAACGCCGCCCCCGGTGCTGCGGAAACGCCGTCCGCGGGCCGGGAGGAGCTAGCGCTTTGGTTCCGAGGGCGCTCCTGACCCGACTGCTTTTCCCGCGGCACCGCTCGGTAGTTACGGGCGCGGCCTGCCGCCGGAGGACTCTAGCGACTGTGCCACCGTATTTACAAATTACAAACAAAACCACTGCTTAAATTGGGGTATTTTGAGTTTTCACCAGGGCTTATCGCAGGGGTGCCAGGAAGCCAGTGGCCGGACCTCAAAGTCACAGTGTTAAACTTGCACCTACGTGGTTATCTCCAAAGGAGGTTTCAACCACAGTGTCACATTGGGTATGTTAAAAGCATTGATTTGTCTTCTGTAAATCTTTACCATAGCTCCTGTAACCTTGTTTGTCTTTTTCCCCCCTTTTCTTATTAAATTAAAACTTTAGAACCTGGGGCGCCTGGGTGGCTCAGTTGGTTAAGCGACTGCCTTCGGCTCAGGTCGTGATCCTGGAGCCCCGGGATCGAGTCCCGCATCGGGCTCCCTGCTCTGCAGGGGGTCTGCTTCTCCCTCCGACCCTCCCCCCTCTTGTGCTCTTTCTCTCTTTCACTCTCTCTCTCAAATAAGTAAATAAAATCTTTAAAAAAAAAAAAAAGAATTAGAAATAGGGGCGCCTGGGTGGCTCAGTCGGTTGAGCGACTGCCTTCGGCTCAGGTCATGATCCTGGAGTCCCGGGATCGAGTCCCGCATCGGGCTCCCTGCTCGGCGGGGAGTCTGCTTCTCCCTCTGACCCTCCCCCCTCTTGTGCTCTTTCTCTCTTTCACTCTCTCTCTCAAATAAGTAAATAAAATCTTTAAAAAAAAAAAAAGAATTAGAAATAGGGGCGCCTGGGTGGCTCAGTCGGTTGAGCGACTGCCTTCGGCTCAGGTCATGATCCTGGAGTCCCGGGATCGAGTCCTGCATCGAGTCCCGCATCGGGCTCCCTGCTCGGCGGGGAGTCTGCTTCTCCCTCTCCCGCTCCCCCTCTTGTGCTCTTTCTCTCTCTCACTCTCTCTCTCAAATAAATAAATAAAATCTTTTAAAAAACCCCAAAACTTTAGAACCTGAAAAGAATACGACAGGCCTCTTAAGCTCCACGACGTCCAGATTCTTACGCTGTGGGACTTACTGTGAGTTCAGCTGCGTAATAAAGCACAACCAGTTTATAAAGGACCTTGCAGACCGCAAGGTCTCTAAGTAACTGTGGGATCAGGCAGATGTCCATTAGTTGAGTGGGAAATCCATTTAATGGATTTTTCGCCTCAAGTTTGCCTCTGGCGCTCTAAGGAAGTGATCTTTGTTACAGTGTGATAGATTTAATGGGCTCTGGGGCCTGGCAGCTTGGTTTCTGGTGCAGGGTTGTCTAGCTGTGTGACTCCAGCAAATGACTTAACTACTCAGTTTCTTTACCTGTATAGTAAGATAATGGCACTTACCTCCTGAAATCTCCTCCTTGTGGGGAATAAAATGGGATCATGCATGCAAAGAACATTTAGAAAAGTGCTTGGGACAAATTAATGCTCAGTTAATGTTCTCTATTGTTATTTTTATTTTCTCTGTACGGTATGCTAGAAGATTCTTTGTTAGTCATCAATTTTTTTCCCTTTGTTTTGCTGAACATGGACTTGAACCTTTTTTGTTTCACTGGACTTTATCATCTTACACTTTGAGCTCTTGGGAGATAAGGGTGGGAGTGAGGGACACAAAGATACAGATACAAGATGATATTTGCAGATTTCTCTTCCACCCAGCCATGTGAAAATAGATTGAGAAATTTTTATAGTTTATTTTAAAAAATATGCTATATTATTTGATGCTTTTTGTTCACTAATGCTCAGAAGACTTCAGCATCAGGCAGTTTTAGGGATGTAGCCTCAGGAGGGACTATTGTAAAGTTCCTATGTTTACTTTCGCATTATTTCCTACAAGGCAGTAGCAGGAATTAATTTTTCAGTTGTAGTTAGTTGATACTTCGGGCCCTACAGAAGGAGTGGATTATAAGAAAGATATATTTTAACTATGTTTCCGTGAGCTATGGGGAAGCAGAGCTTGACTTTTGCCAGCACTGCGTGGACCCAGGCCAGCCGGGGCAGGCCTAGGGTCTTAGCCCTTGCGGGATAGAGGTAGACAACTATGCTTGAGACCAGTTTCATTAGCCTTAGTTTGGCTAGCCTGGCTGACTGATCCCTATCACCTGGGTTTTCTAACCAGTTATAAATAAATTAGTTCCAGTTTGCTGCCACCTAAAAGGTTCAAAGCAGGTCAGTTTACTTTCATTTATGTTTGTATTTGGGGGAAATGGAGAGTAACAGCAAAGCATTAAAAACGTCCTCAAATTTATAAAACCAA